TTAAATAAATTCATTTACTCGACACATTTTACAAATCGTCGTATATTTGACCTTATTCTATCTATTAATAATAATTTTTTTATAATGATAATAATAATAATAATATAACTATAATAATAATAATAATAATCATATCTTATTGTGACAAACGACCACAAGAATAATAAAAAATAATACATTCAATAAATTGACATGTTATCAATTTAATATTAATAATAATAATCAATATATAAAAAAAATTCATCACTACCATCTTTGGGAGAATATAATATAGAAAAGGCGTTTTTATCATTTTTTTTTGTTTTTAGATTTTTTAAGAGATAAAAGATGCGGGACAGATGAGGCGGGTGGTGAAGTTAATTCATTGAAAATAAGAGCACGGGGCCAGATAATGTAATTGAGATGGGAAGGCCAGGAAAAGGTCGGGAGGGGGAAGGGATTGGTTTCGAAGCAAAGTAGAGCAAATTATGGTAATTGGCTATCGTATAAAGGCAGTTATAAAGGTATTTTTTTTTATTGCGATATAAAAATGAATTTCGGGTTGAATGAGGAAATCGAGATAACGCTTACACGGTAATTCATACATACAACATTGTAACTATAATTTCTGTGTTAATCCTTAATAATTCTCATTCGAGCCACTTTTATAATTATTTGCGCAAAAGTATTAGTTTTAAATTTAGTTTTTTTTTTTTTTTGACAATTTTTTGTTTTTTGTTACTTTTTTTTTGTTCACGTTATAAAACAGTCTTTCATTGTATCATCGATGCACCAAAATAAGAGTCCCTGGTCCGGGCGTCCCTCTTATTTCGCTCGCTTATATTTGTATACTTAATTTTTTTTTTTTTTTTTTTTTTTTTTTTTAAGTTTATGATTTATCTTTCAATTAATTAATTATTATTACATTTATAATTTTCGTATAAATATAATTGTACGTAGGTTCAAATGTTATCTAATAGAATTGAAAATTGTAAATAAGAAAAAAAAAAAAAGTCATTCACATTGCCGGTCACGTCCGACTGATACTCGGTCTTACTACTTACTATAAAATTTTAATTATTTTTTTTTACTTTTATTATTTTTATTTTCATTCCCACTTGGGTTGTTATTTATTTAAAAAGTTTAAAATTTATTTTTTTACGTTATTTATTTATCATTTATATTAAACTTGATGGTTACTTTTATTATTATTTATTATTTTTATTCATCCCCTTCGTCATCTTCTATTACTACTTCTATTACTACTACGTATCAGGTATCGAGGTATGGGCCTCCGATCGATTACTTACGGTGCGCGGCGTCCCGACGCTACGTGCTCGTACATATATCAGTGTGATATATACAAGTAATCCACGAGAATAAAAGAGACATATCTCTTTTTTTTTTATTATTATCATCCCTCTTCCCTTTTTACTCAGCCTCAAACTCTTTCTCATTCCGCCTTTATAACTAATTATTTTCCGTATTAAAAAACTGTTTATTTATTATATTTTTTTTTTATTTATTCATTTTATATTTGAAAGCTTAAAAAATTTAACGCGAGTACAATACGTGTCGTCGGATCGCTGGCCCTCGATAAATGAAAGCAGTCACTTAGTACAGTCAATTATCAGCGATATTGCACAACCAGTTTTCATTTTAAAAAAATATAACAAATTAATAATAGTTATATAACAATAAAAATAAAAATAGTAATTAAATCACTTGTGTCAATAATTAAGCAAACGTATAATAAAAAAAAATGGGCAAGTTAATTGAAACTTCAATAAGTAATTTGTATAATTAATTACGTTGGATAAATTGAAATATTTACGAAGACGTAAGAGGGACGTACGAAAAAGGGTATTTATTTTTTAATTATTTTTATTTAAATAAATGATATATTTAGTAATATTAAAAAAATTCGTTAATAACCACTTCATCTGACGTGCGTTATAATTATTCCATATAATTATTATTTTTTGTTCATTTTGTAAAAATGCGATTAATCACATATTATCATCATCATCATCATCATCATCATCGTAATCATCTTCCTCTTCATTATCATTAATCATTACTAAGATATTAGTATTAGTCGTCAAGAACAAATCACTATCATCACCAATCACTACTATTATTGTTATTATTTAGTTCGCAGTACACGCGATACATTTTTCTCCGGTTATTTATTTATTCCATTTGTTTTTATTTTTGTTTTTTTTACTTATTAAATTATATTGAGTATTATCAATTACTCAGGTTACACTGGTGATTAATATCAACGATTACTCGTTTAAAAATCCACCCGAATATTCCGTCAGGTGTTGGTGGATGTTGATGGTTTTCTATTTGATTGTAACAATATCCAAAAGTACTATCGGGTATATGTATATACATACCAGAAGTTTTCAATTGAAAATGTACGCCAGTGCTCGATTAGAATCTTTTCGTGTATAAAATACGGTATTAAAAGACTCAAAAAAAAAAAAAAGTTTTAACCATGTTTCTTTTTTACTCGGCTTTCACAGTAATATCTTTTTTCGCTTTCCATTTTATATTTTTTTTTTTTCAGTTGAGTGTTGTATCGAGTCTTTGATTGACATACTGACGCGTATCGAATATCGTAAAACACGAGCACATCAATAGATTCATTTTATTTTATTATCTTTTTTTAATTTTTTTTAACGTTTTTCTATTTAAAAAATTTTTAAGGTAATAGCGCAAAACGTTGAACGTGTACAGACTTTGTTTTAACACTCGCGGCACATTCACATGAGCAATATACATAGAACCGGTGAGTATTCATTTATTCCAAGTCTCATAGTGGCCATTTTAATTTACCGACGATGGGATTTTAAATGAAACACCTGTAGCCGAGTTTTTAGTCCCTGAGCTCGTTTGATAAAAAAAGATTTAATTGAAATGAAGGATACGTGATGGTGACCTGTCAGCTTGTTACTTAACTTAAACTACTGGATCAGATGCTTGAACTGGTGGTTTAACAGCTTCCACAGCTGGTGCTTCCTCACCTATAGCCAGTGATATTGCTTCTGGCGATGGTGATGCTGATGGTGATGGCGACGGTTTAATTTAATCCTTCAAGACCATAAATTTAAAGCCGTCTCATTGAGCGATCAGTTAAATTCAGTGATTACTGAATAACGTTAAAACACTGTCAAAGCCACTAAGTATTTTTTTTAATTTTTTTTTTTTCATACATATATAAGTATAGATATATACGTAAATTTTTTTGCGATGTTTACTTAAACTTATTCTCCACTAAAGTCAATAATCCGTTTGGGTCTGTTACGATTCACAAAGTTTAAAAAAATAAGCCAACGTTAAAAGGATCACTCACGCGAATGTGAACTCACTGACGGTCGCTTTGAAATAACAGTCGATAGTCAAGCTTAAATTCAGACTATAAGCTCTCAGACTTTATATGTGTTGCTTAAACTCGGCTTTCCTCTTTTCTCCTTTCAGTACAAAACTTAACTAAATTCAACTCAACTCAACAAGACTCATTTATCTTTTTCACTTGACTTTATCTCTGTTTGTCGGTTATTTTCTTTAACGGACGACTGCTCGCACAACTTCTCTCTACACACACACACACACACACACACACACACACTAACAGTCCTGACCAAAACGTACCGAAGAAGACGAGGAGCTCAAAGCTGGACACGCGAGAAAGCACAGCAATCGTTTTACCAAGATGTTGATACCGTTCAAAGGTCCAGAACTAATTCTCCGCAAGGACAAACGTCCTGGATATTGCTCTCTATTATTATTACTATTATTATTATTATTATTGTTATTATTATTATTATTATTATTATTATCATCATCATTATTATTTTTATGAGTATCATTATCCACAAAGTTCTTGTCGTAACTTCCAGTATTAGTATACTCACGGTTATTACGCTCCATAATATTACTATTGTGGTAATTACGATAATAATAACGATGTTGACGCTCTTGGTGATGGAGATACAAGTAATGATTTTGATGCTCTTGTTCTTGGTTATCCTGTTTCTGATGCTGCTGGCGATTATATTGATGATTTTTACGATCAGATAGACGATATTTACACTCTCGGGCGTCCCTGACACTCGGACGTGGCAGTGGAGGATGAATAAACGAATGTTTTGGGACGCATTCCGCAATATTTGGCGAGTTATATAACAAAGATGATGGTTGTAATGGCGGTAGAGGCGATGGTGATGATGACAATGGTAATGATGATGATGATGGTGGTGGTGTTACTGATGATGGTGGAGCTTGCACGTAAGACGATGGGGCCATACTCGGCCTCATTCGGGATCACCAGTTAGCCATGCCCGGTTTGTTTAACGTCATGAAGTAAATTTGACATGAACTACCGCCTTTCGCTGACGAGAAAAATACCTGCAATCCAATAAATTATTCATTTAAGTAGTACTTTATGTTTATTATGATTATTTTTGTTAATCAGTTGGTTTGTTAAATATTCAATAGACTTTATAATTCATGTATTTAAAATGTTGATGATAACATTTTATATTTATAGATTTAGCGAGCTCAGTTTTTTTAAATTCTTTTATAATAGTATTAAAAGGTGTACTTAATTATTTACGAGTAAGCAAGATACTTAAATGAGCTTATAAGAATACTTTCATCATTATAAGTTTATTTTTTTTTTTTATGCTGAAATATTTGAAGTAATTAAATTGTCCGGAAGTTTAGTTGGAATATAAAAAAAATCTGTAACATCAGTGACTTTGAAGTTTGACTTGTTAAAATTTGTTGATACATGTTAAATTTTGAGTTTTTATTTTAAATATATTAACCTTAGAGATTATTTTTTCAACTATAAAGTTGTCGAGAATTTAATTAAAGATTATAAAAGTTGCCGACAAGTATTGACATGCTATTATTAAAGTTAAAAAATTAGTAAAACTATAATACAGAAGAAAGGATTTGTAAATTGTAAAAGTTAAAGTTTTTAAAGTAAATAGAAAGATAAAATTTACCTTATCATTACGTTCACAAAGGAACTTGAGCCGTTGAGCTTTTTTGTGCATGAATACGCCGTCAAGATGACCAGTCTCGACACTTCTTATTTCAATAGCTTTATTACCCCAACCCATTATTTGACCAGTACCAATATATGCCACACTAGTTGGCATTTCGCCCCACTGCAAGACCATTGTCTTGGATACACGACCATACGTATTGACGTAAACACCTTCGTTGTCGTAACACAACAATAATTGCATACCATTACTGTGTGGTAATGCGACAATACAGTGTGGACAAATGGGTCCCTGAGTCTGTAATTGCAATTATTTATTTATATATTTATGTATTCATACAGTATTGTATCACGTTTGAAATGACAAAAGGGCTTGTGTTATTTTTTTTTCCTATCGCTTTGCAAATATATTTTTATAAAAATGAAAAAATATTTTTACAAAGCCAAAAGAGTGTCTCAAATTTTGTTTTTAAAAATTGAAAATTTTTTTTATAAATCATTGCATATTTGGAACGCGATGTGTATAAAAATTTATTATGTAGTAAATAAAGTAAAAACAATAATAAAAAAAATAAAAAAAAAAGATTTGAATGAAAACTCACGTGTTTTGTAAATATATTTTAAGCATAAAAATGAAAAAATATTTTTCCAAAGCCAAAAGTGTGTCTCAAATTTTGTTTTTAGAACTTGAAAAATTTTTTTATAAATCATTGCATATTTGGAACGCGATGTGTATAAAAAATTTATTATGTAGTAAATAAAGTAATAACAATAATAATAAAAAAAAAAAAAAAAAAGATTTGAATGAAAACTTACGTGTTTTGGAAGATAAATATCGTAAACAGTTGCGGAGTCCAAATCGACCGCATGAAAACCGTCGGCACTGCCGTAGATAACTTTTAATCTGGAACCCTCTTCGACAGTGAGATCGACGAGTAGTGGACGGTGAGCTAGCTCACCGAATGATTTAAAGGCCATGAATTTGTGATAGGGTTTCGGTGCCCAAGCGTAAATCTCTATCGAGTCTTTAAGAGCGATGACGAGAAATTTTATTCTCTCGTACTTGACTATTTTGAAGTGCACAGCACCCTGGAGATCGCCTACATTTATCCATCCATTACGTCGTTCTACTTGCTGTTGAATAATTCCAAAAAATAAATAAATAAATATTGATTTTAAATTGAATTTAAAATAAATAAACTGCCCGAGTATTCTCAGTAAATCGAAAAAATACTAAATCTCTTTATTTAATAAACGATAACGGGGGCTAAGGATTTAAAAGCATTTTTCTTATTTGAATATAAATTTCTTAAATTTTCATCCCGGAATAATGAATAAATAAGACGACGAGACATGAAGTAAACCCTTTATAATTATTATATTCTTGGTATTCATTTTAATAATGCTGTTTGTAATCACCCAGTAATTGAGTTAAACAAAAGTTATTATTCATTATTTAAATAAGAGAAAGAATTTATGGCACATCTAGATCGGTTAATTAGTTAAAAAGTTATTATGAAAAAGTTTGTAGAAAATAAGTTTTTTCGGAAAAGTTTTAAATGGATTTTTATTTTTACGCTCTACCAACCCATAATTTTTAAATTTTTGTAGCATAGAAACTTGTGTTTAGAAAGGTTTTCTAAAGAAAAAAAATAATGAAATTTATTATTTTGATCTATTTTATGAGAATACTCTAACTTGTGAAATTTGAATTAGTTAGCCTTTACTTACGTCACTGTGGCCATCAGTCCGCAGTATTTTACTCTTGAGCCAGGAAAGGTAGTAAACCCTGACACGATTTTTTTTTCCGCTAATAGTCACTAGAATATTTTGTCCTTCGAGTACTTCCATCTGCTGAAATCGTCTTCTGCTTATTAACTGATAGACTTTCCCTTGTCCGCTTCTGTCTAGCAACATTAACCCGTTCTCCGTTCCAATTAGCAGATTCACGCCTAGAATTATTATGATTAATATTATTATCATTATTATTATTATTATTATATCATTTTGTTCAAAGTTATTATGAGTAATGAGATTTTAACTAAATTATAATTTATACAATAAACGAATAATTTAATTATTATCCCGGTATTTAAAGAATCATAATAAATAAAAATTATAAACAAATTTATAACATTTTCCTCACGGAATCTTTCGATGTAATTAGTTAATTTTTTTTATTAAATTAATATTTAAATTATCTTAATTATATTATTTCGTCAGTTTCAAACTTTATAAATATAATGGTGTAGTCAATGTATAGTTACAAACTATGTATTCTTTGATGTAAAGACACAACCAATTACTATGATCAATATTTACCTCAATATTGTACGATAGAGATACTAATTTAGTGCTTTGCTGGCTTTCTATACAGTACGCATCAGTTTTGATAGCACTTCTTTTATCCTCACTCTAATATTATTCTTTTCATCTTTTTATAAATAACTTTCTTCGTACTCCATACAGTAATTTGAAAATTATATGAATAATTGAATTGTAAAAAAAAAAATGTGTTTATACCTGAGGCAAAAAATTACACTTTAATTTTATACCTCTAACTTTGTAGACAATTCTCAATTATATTACCGTTGTTTATTAAAAATCAATTCACAATTATCATGTTTTGTTTTAGGCTAATTTAATATAAATCAACAGTTGCTTATATAATTGATAAATTTTTATCAAAAGTCCATTAGAAAGTTTAAGCAGCCTAGTTAAAGTTTATCGTCAATAATATACTATTAATTAATTTACTGGAAAGTTTAAATGAAACTTTTTTAAAAACTTTTAGTTTTTTAATTATCGATCGGAATGTAAGAATTATTAGGATGATAAATTAACAAACTAATTTCAAATATTGAAAGGATAAAATTTTTAATTAAAAATTCTTTTAAAGAATATTACGTTACGCTAATAATCAAAGTTTTCGTGTTATTTACATAAAACTTCATTTTAAAGTTATGATACGCTGCTGTCAAATTATTTGCTTATTGTTTTTACTACTCTAAGGTGTGTAAGTTAACATTAAAATTTTTCCCTCATAACTCAAACTATAAATAAATATGTTTTCAGTATAAATAATATTTGACGTATTTAATTAAATGAAATATTTACTTTGATGTTTAACTTTTTACACTATAAATAAAAAATTTTTAGCAAAACGTTGAAATGATATGAATAATTAATAACATTTCTATGTATATAAAAAAGTTGATTAAATATTGAAACATACTGTAAATAAATGACAGCGGGTCAATAACTCTGGAATTAAACTTGGCGAAAATTTAAATATACTAGTAAAGTGTAGCACAATATCGTGTAATATAAATTTATTTACAGTTGACCAGAAAATGTTATGTTTATTTATTTGCTTTCATCAAGTACTTTGAATTTATTTATTCAGATCTATGTAATCGTATTGAACTGTTTGTTCATTTTATATTATTCAAATAAAATATTCTGCACCAGAAATAAATAGACATTGAATAACAAAATTAATTAAATTACATAAAATATTCTCTAAATCGGACGAAAAATAATTATTATATTGATTATTGTCATCAATAACATCTTGCTAACATTTATAATAGTAAATTAAAAGCAATTTGACGTTTTAATTGCGTCGACTAAATTTTATCACAATAATTTAACATTTAATTGAGCTGTTACGATTATCTACATTTATAGTATCTGTAGTAGGAAATTTTATGGGTTCCATATCTATGTGATAAAATTAATTCAACTAATTGAATTAAATATTGTCGTTAAGGTTAAACTTTCATTGGTTATTTTATAGTTTCAGAAATTTTTGAAGACAGATAATTCCATAGGTTTAGATAAAATTATCGTCCATTAGTGATTTTAAAAAATTTTAACATTAAAAAAGGAGATATTAAAATTACTTTTATACAATAATAATTTTTAACTAATTAAAATAATAAAATAAAAATATTTACCCCATAATGCAGCGCAAAGTATTTCACTATTGAAACGTTTTTTGTATTTTCGTATTTCAGGTGTATCTGAGGACAAATCGTGACTTGTTGGTGTAACATTGACGTTAACATGTGATTCTCTTCGTGCAGGACCGGCACCAAAACCAAATGTCAGGAATGAACGCTGTTTCTGTTGGAGTGCAAGAGGTGCGGGTGTTTTAACAGCTTGTCGATACTGCTGCAACAGAGTCACTTTTGTGAATTAACAAGTTCCGTAGTAATATCGTAAAGGATGCCGTAAAATGAGAATGAGCAAAGGATACTTTGAGAATATAAGACTCTGAGTAAGAATAAAACTAAAGATAGAAAGAAAAAAAAAAATAAAAAAACAAAGTCGAGCTCGGCATCGAGTTAGAAAGAGCGTAAAAAACAATAAGTATAAAATCAGATTACTCAATTACATAAGAATTACTACACTCTAAAGCGTTATGGCTGTTGCACCAATACTTATTTCTACTTAAATACAGAAAAGAATATAACAAAAAAAAAAATAAAATAGAAAAAAACTAAATTCTTTCTTACATTACTGTAATTACACGTGGACTTATTTACTTTTTACTCAATTTTATTTATTAACCTTTAGCTTTTAAATAAAATTAAGCTTTAAATTTTAATCTTTTACTGTTTAGCCGACTGCTACTTTATGAGTCTTCCAGTAAATGAAGCAACAACCAACACATTATATTTATAATAACAACAGTAGTTATGATAATTATTGTAGTATTATACGAAAGTGAGAACAAATGCCAATAACAGTAACACCAGTTTTAATTAACACAATCACTATACAGGCAATTTCTACCTCACTGAAAATAAAATAATAGTCATAATAAGGGTCTCTACTAAAATAATAATAATTAAAAAAAAAAAATTAAGTAATAAAAAATACAAAGTTTGATGTACAGTAATTATAAAATAATAGACAAGAAAAATAATATTCGTTTAAAATTTACATTTATAAATTGTTTTTTGTACATTGTTATTTATTTACTGATTAAAATTTTCTTTTTATTTATTATTATTTTTTTAGTACATGCCAATTGCACAAGACGAATAGCACACTCATCCGGTAAAGTATAAATAATAATAAGAAAATGAAAATATTTATGTATATATATTTTTTTGTACCCCGAATAAAATGTTTATGATAGAATAGAGAAACATAAAAGAAAATATTGAAATAAGTAATAGAAATAAAACAAAATAATAAAAAAGTAATTGATTACAAAAGGAGTACGAAGATAAAAGAAAAGATCCAGCTAGATTACAATAGTTTAAATTGAAAGTAAAAAATGATTCCCGTTCATAAAGTTTTAAAATAGAAAACCCATTGTTTTTAAAGTTATTTTTAATAATAGTGATAATAAATAGAGTTTTTTTGTTAGTTAGTTTTTTAAAAAAATGACCCTTGAGATATAGAAATAAGGAAGCGACACTGATCTGATGTAGATGGATAAATACTTACATTGTAATTAGTATTGGGATGGGGGTGGTCAGTAGATAGGGCCCTGCCGTTCAAGTTAGAGCTCCCGCGTGTCCCACAACACACAACAATTGTGAATTAGTCACACGTAATAGATAAATACGGTAATGTAGTATTAACAAGGGCCGTCATAAATATTATTGTTATTTATACATAATGCATATGTTGAAAAATATTTTTTTTTAAATATTGTACATTGTTCATATATATATATATATATATATATATATATATATATATATGCTTATTTTAATGTAGCTAGAAAAATAAAAGGATAAAAAGTAACTAAAAGGTACTTATTGTAAGTGTTTAAAAAAAGAGTTAAATGAGTTTCAAGAATAATTTTAAATATTTCTCTGGCTACATTAGCATTGAGAGCAGATTAGCTCATTGTGCTGTTTTATTTTTAAAATACCGGGAGTATTTGAAGACATTAAGTACTGGAATTGTTAATTATTCAGACACTTATTTTATTTGGTAGATCTTGATGATAAAAGGATTATTATTTTATTTTTTCTTGTCAAAGCTAACGAATAACAAAAAGGGAAAATGAATAATCTTTTTTTAAAAAAATGATCCGTCGACTGAGACAAAAGCGAAATTTTTCAAAGAGTAAAGGCGCAAGATATATCTAGTAATTGAAATTAATCAAACTTTATTTCGTTCTCCCTTTTGCTGAATTATTCGTAAAAATGAAATATTAAAACTATGACAAAACTGCGATTGCAAACAAATAGAATAAATTGTCTATTTTTATTTACGAAAGAATAATTGAAAAATAAAGAAAAAAAATTTAATTATAAGTAAATGAAGATAAAAAAAATGTAATAATGATTATAACATAAATAGACATTACAAATTAAAGCTTATACTGAAGCTAGAAATAATAATAAAGATTTAGTGAACCACTTTTGCTCTAACGTAAGTTCTTTGTATGAATAATTAAATTGACTGGAAAATCTTAATTTTAAGCACGAAAAGTTTGAGCAGCAGCGGTGGGTGGAGGGTGTTTTGACCCTGATAAAAGATACGAGCAAAAGTAACGCTGAGAGAAATAAAGATAGTTATAGAGAGAAAGATAGGTAGACAGGATAGAAATTCTTTATCAATTAATTGAAGTGAATTCAAAATTAAGACAAAACTTTTCACAAGACACACTATATATTTTAAGCATAATGGAATCTTTAAAACATTAATGCGGGCCCCACTATATTCATCACGTACCTAATTAAGTGCACAAGAGCGGAACGTAATTCTAAACAACTTATTTTATTTATGAGGAACAGTATTCTAATTATTACTTTTTTTTTTTTTATAATTTGTTTTTTCGTAAAATTAGATTTCTCGCTCGATAAACTGTTGTTTAATTTTAAAATTGATTTAATCAAACTGTAAAAGCATTATTTAAATTCAAGTTTCGTAGCGAGAAATTTAATTTTTAATTATTTTTCGTCAGAAATCGTGACTCTTAAGGATTTTGTAGTTTTTAGAAACTGGTAATTATGCAGATTTATGATCCGATCTCTTTTAAGTCTAAAAAAAAAATAGTTTTTTTTTGCTTTATATTTTTATAATAAAATTGCAAGGTTACAAGGTTATAAAAAAAACTTTATCAATTTTTTATTTATCTTCATTGACAAACTTTTTAAAATTATTGCTTGTAAATTTTTTATGGATGTAGTTTCTATGAATTGAACACTAACGAGCCCTTTGTTTCAGAGAAATAATGTAAAATTTATAATTTAACAATACGCTCGCTTTGTAATTGAAAGCTATTGAACTCTAAAATCAGAGCATTCGAATATTGAGTTGAGTTTTTTCTCATCAGTCCGCAGATGACTGAATATGACAAAAAACAAAATATTACACTAAAAAATATACGAAGCAAAGTTTCATAATTAAAAATGATTTAAATTAAAAAAAGCAAAAACAAATGATGTACATGTGGAATTAAACGACGAGTATTGAAAATATCAATCGCTCTAAAGCTTCAAAGCTTCATTTGGAATAAACTCAGTTAATACTGATAAAATGGAATTTTATGCACAAACAAAAAAATAAAACGAAACGAAACGAAATTCAGGAGGATTTACGAGCGTATCGTAATGATAAAAGCTATAGTAAGTACATTTGAAATTCTGAACATATTTCTGCATTCCAATAAATGTACAAAATCCTTCTAGTGAGCCTATTTATATAGTCACAATAATAATAATATTTATAATAAATAAATCCAATATAATATATTTAAATAAAAGTTTAGCGTTCGTGTAGCTTATAAAGCCAGAGTATAGCACAGAATAATGTCGAGTCAAATCGCTAAAAGAGAAATTTCAATTTAAACTATTAAAGTATTAACTTTTCAGACTATAAACACATATATTTTACACGTACATCAAAGTTACACGATTTGATTTGACTTATTTCTGTGGGGCTTCTGGTGTGAGGTGAGTGATGAGGCGGAAAAGAGCTTAAGGAAGGAAAGGAGCAAGGGACTGATGACACGCGGAAATGGGTACCGGTAGATGTGAATGTATGTGTAAATGGTGATACACGAACGATGAATAATGCTGAAAATATATATTAAATATATCTGTATAGATAAGTTTAGGTGGCTGACCTCTTCGCTGGTTGATTTGTCCTGTCGCTGACCCGGTGACGAGGTCAAAAGGTCTGGGAGAACAGAGCTTGGTCGTGAGCCTGGTGATGAGTCTGACCTCTGGAAATCACCGCCGCCGCTACTTCTCGCACGATCACCATCACGATTCTGTAAATTTAGATTTTATTACAATATAAATAAATCATACACTTATTTTTATTGCAAATTAATTGATGATTGCTGATTGCATTTACTTATTACATGTGTGATAAAAAAAAAATAAGATACGGGGTGGTTGTTTTATTTATAAGGAAATAAATAACAATAAATAATAAAAAAAGTATGTAAGAAAAAAATAAATAAATATGAGAATAAGGAAAAAAATGAAAAAGCAAATGACTACTCCAATGCTGGTATTTATGACTTGTATTATTCTGTAAGGATATATATGGGTATAGGTATATAGGTATATATATATATTTATATATAGCTAGATAAAATATAGAGCTAAATAATACTGAGTCGAGTTACTGAAGTTATTTCCATTCTCCTGTCTCTACTAAAACTTTGTAAATATTATACATTTCTCTGAATATGTATTTCATTTTTTATACTCCTCTGTCACCATTTTGTATGAATATTTCATTTTTCATGATGAGCCTGAGCAATTTTAAGTTTAAGACAGTTCCGACATAACAGCTTTTTTTCTAGAAATGTAATAAATTTTTTTTTCTTTTTCATATTATTTTACGTTTCAATTAATACGAAAAAAAAAATTTTTAGATCAATAAAAGTGATGAATATTCTTCCGCTTTGGCTTTTTAATAGATTGTTGAGTGATTGTCATTAATTTATGCTCGGTATATTTTAAAGAGAATTTATGTATGTTTCAACATAGCATTTTTTTTTTTAAAGAATTTTTTAATAAATTTTTATACGCAAGAATAATGAAACTAAAGAAAAAAAAATTTAATTAACAATTTTTATATCTAGAAATACAACAAACTTGTAACATACAATACTAACAATAAAACGGTTAATTGCAAAATTTATTATATTGCGAGAGATTTAAATCGATAAATACAAATATTAATAAAATTCGATAAAATGAAAATCGTAAAAAATCTCAACTTTAGTAAAATATTTATCGTGGCTGGATACGTTATTATTCTGATTATAACTACTATACGGTGCATTGGGCAATCATAATAAATGTTTGTCATAAAACGAAAAAAATATAAAAATAAATCACAATAATAAAAAATTATAGAATCAGGAGCATAGTAAACTGCAGTACTGATATAAAGGAATTGTGTAGACTAAATTGTAAAAAAAATAACGTAAAATTAAAAAAAAAACAAGACAAAGATAAAAAAAAATAACTAAATACGATAACTAAAAAATAATTACATACACAAGCGCGCATATCAAGCGCTAGCCATACACTTAACATGTAAAACATAAAGTAAAAAAAAAAATACATTAAAAAAAAATTTTTAAAACGTAGCAACAAAGGCTGCAAATGTGCGATGCATTTTTTGTTCAACTGTCAGAGTGATGGTTGCACGTAGAAGAGGACATGAAAGTACAAAAAATATGTATATTATAATATATATAAATAAATATATAATAACAATACCATAAATGTATAAAGTGTCGGATAAAATTTTTTTAGATAAACAAACTAATGTAGTATTTTTTTTTCTCAAGTTCCTACTTTATACAATAATGTCACATAAATTGATATACACGTGCTAATCATCACGTTTTATACATATGAATGTAAATATATGTATGTATGTATACGTATGTACATAAAAACGTACAACAAGTATACTGTGAAAAATACAAATACACATTGTTACATATACTTATTTTTTTCTCGGTCCACAACGATAACGTGCAACTATTACGCGTCATCCTCATGCCAGTTTTCAAATCATGCTTTTATGTTCATGTTCATCTACACATATAATAGTAATACACACTTAGACATACACATATATGTATAAAAATATGTAATAAAGTGTTTTTATAAAAGAGCAAGGCAATGGCTGGTTGAGATGACGACGATGTGAAAATGTATATTGTATCATAACATAACAATCAATTGCAATAATATAGTCTTTTTAGGCGTTAAAAAAAAATAAAGCAGGTCATGCAACGGTCGTCACGATCATCTTTATTATTGTAACAATGTTACTGTTATTATTATAGTTATTCTTGGTCGTTTGTCAGACGCCAATTACAACGAGTCGACAAGTTGGTGATGAGATCTCGAAAAAAATTCACATTTACGCTATTTCTTCTGATCTTCTCATTATTTTCTTCGGATCGGCTTCACTTTTTATTACTGATTGCTGAAATTTTATAACTTTTATTTTTTCCTAATATTATTTCATTTGAATGTAATGATTATGATCTTCTATCAGCAGTCAATCGTGAATTTGTGAGCGAGTTGCAGTCTCTTGATTAAAGAATATGGCTTCATGCTATATAGATATACATATCAGTAGCAGCAGGCACGTGAACATGTGGTTCAATGAATCAAGAATATATATATGTTACATGTTAACACAATACACACATAGTTATTAATTTATCACTCGTGAAACATAATCAAAAGTCTTTGTGTTACTAGTTCAATGAGAGACTGGTCTACTCAAATGTAGATTAATTATTTTAGAACTATCGTTACCATTATTATTATCGGTATTATAGTTATGATTGAATTATTATTTCACGGTGACTATTCAGTCATCGTATGTACTCCAAGTGAATTCAAAAAATTAAATATAATCCTTTTTTTGCGGTAGATTGAAGTAAAAAAAGTAAAATTGGTTAGTGAGTACAGAAATAATTTACAGAAATATATATATATATATTTTTTTTAATGAACGAATAAAATTTTAATTGGAGGAAATAATAATTTAGTTCAAGAGTTGAGGGATTTCAAATAAATTTTTTCTGTTTTTTTTTTTTAATTTAGGTATTAAGACAGCAGCTTTGTCAGCAATTAATGCGTGCAGTGATTAGCGTACACGAAAGCATCGCCAAGTCCATGCGATTAGCTTTCAATTTTATTAGTTATGTTTGTTATTTTTAATCTTTTTCTTTTCAGTTATTAATTCGGTTAGTTACAGTTAAACAATCGCGGTAAGCGAATCCCAACATTCACCCGCGGTTATACATGAAGTAGCAAGTATAAAAGTTTAATGAACGATGGAAATGAGTGAGTTGAGTATATAAGTAAGGGAGAGATTCATTATAGATCAGCGTTTTTATAATTTTTTATTTTAATGGAGAGGATTTTTAGTAAGTGAAACTTTGAAGATGATTATATATTGATTGTGATGTTGAAAATTGATGGAAAAGTTCCCACATCGACTGCTAAAATTTATTAGTCTATTGATTTATATTTTTTTATTCATTTTATCGTTTTTATTACGGATTTTAAATGGAAATTTTAAGTAAAATTAAATTGATTGGAATGAAAATTAAAATAAATAAAACATTGCATTTAATTACAAGTTATGATAGTACTTTAAATCTAATATGAAAATAATGATAGTGGAATGATACGAGATAGCAGTAGCAAATTTAATATTAAACTATTGAATTATTAATAATTAATTAGTTAATTTTCACTACTCGTATTAAAAAATTTTTAATTAATACATATCAAGGAGGTTTTTTTTTTTTTTATTATTTTTTGCAGACACTAAGCTCTAATAAATGCAAAGAAAAATTTTTCTTCAATTAATATTTTTCTAATACTATACTTAATTAAAAACCTCCTCAATGAAAATAGCAATAAAAAATTCTATATTTAAAATGCGTCTACTTAGTACTGCCTCGACTACATTAATAAGTAATAAGTAACAATAATAATAATAATAATAATAATAATAATAATAATAATAATAATAATAATAATAATAATAATAATCTATTGAGATATTTAAATCATTCGTAAATAAATATTATATATCCGTAGATGCGGGAAGTTATTATCAAAAAAATGATGATAGGAAATGAGTTGATAGATATAGTATAGCGTAATGAGGACATTATGTTTATAAGTAAGTAGGATAGAAAAATAAAGAGTAAATAAAATGATGAGGTACTAGGTTTCTAGGTTGACGAGCCAATGATCTGGCAGACGGACAGGCAGTCAGGGCTCGTCGACAAGACTGACCTGACTGATAACCGGGCTGTACTCGCTAGCAGTTGTACTAGCCGTAGATTTAATAGTCCCTCCATCATCGGAAGACATTGTCGAGTTAGTAGCATTCAGCGAGTTTGAGGTTGGACTATCCGAGGGTCTAAAACTCCGTCTTCTTGAGGACAAGTCTTCCGCAGCAGTAGCAGCAGCAGCGCGTAACAGTCTAGCCTCGTGACGTTCTCGCAAAAAGTCTTGCTGTCTACTGCTACTGCTACCGAAAACAATTTCACTCTCTGTCTTCTCGCGTCTTGGCCGCTGAAGTAGTCCACTGCCAGCGGCCGGCGTAGTCGGTTCTCGTCCATAGGAGAATTCTGTCAGTACCGGCTCACCGGGTGCCAATCCGCTGGACTTTTTTCCCAATATCCCGGCGACACTTATCTCGCTGCCACGTCTGTTCCCGCTGGAGAACATACTAGACCGCGGTTCAGACTTTTGCAGGTAGGCCGAGTGCCTCGTTGATGGGAAAAAATCCGAGTTCTCCCGTCTGAATGCCCGGGCAAATGCACTCGTGTTTCCCAACTTTGAGTCGGACTCTTGACGCCGGTGAACCGCTTTCAGTTGCGATGACTGTGAAGGTTGAGACGATTTATGACTGTTCTGTTTATGATGGTGAACCTGAGGCTGGTGAGGTTGAGCTTGAGGTTGATCTTTTCGTCTTCCCACGGCGTCGTACCGCTTCAATGTCCTGTCACTTGAGGATGATGACCTCTCATCACTAGCAGATTTCCCACTGCTGCTCGCCTCCTGTTTCATTTTATCCAACCTTTCGTTACACCCTTGAAAGAAGCGAGTAAAGTCCCACTCCTTGAGGAGCAATTGCTCGTCAATTTCGGAGTGCCTGTTGCTCGCAACTACCGCTCTATCGTCCGTCGTCGTCGTTGTTGTTTTACTACTGTTGCTATTTGTCATTGCAGTCGTGCTTGGTGTTGGTGTTGTTGTTGTAGTTGTTGTTATCGTTGTTGATGATGATGATGATGATGATGATGATGATGATGATGTTGTGGAGGTGATTGTTGTGATTGGTGTTAATTTCTACTCGACGACGAACGTATAGAGAAGACGGTAATCGAATGGTCGGGTAATGAAACAGTGATCAAGAAAAAAAAGAAACAAAAAAAACGATACGTAGTTTGTGTTGTGTTTGATGAATGTTTTATTTAATTTACTATTTTATTTTTTATTTATTTACGGATGATTACTGTATTGTATTTTTTGTCATTTTATTTTAGTTAACGTATGTTTTATTGTTATCCAGTCGTGGGTATTGAACGTGAGCGAGTGGATAAAGTGTTGTGTTATTGCCAATGAATTGTTAAGAGATTACCAATGGAAGAGTGATGCTTTAATTAAACATGTGACATGTCAAAAAATATTTTTTGAGTGCATGTAATTTAATGGGTGAATTGTGATGGGTTTCAAGTGGTAGCTGGTGGTTTTGTGTATGTAAAATGCTGGCAGACAATCCGCCGATACTTGTGATACATGTATTTTATTTACACATATTGCAGATTTATATGTATAAATATATTAATAAAATGTTACACAGGCCCGAGCAAGTATCATATAGCAGGCGACACTGTGATGGATCAAGAGCCAACACGAAAAAATATTTTTTTTTTTTTTTTTTTTCGATATTTAAATACGGTGTCACTTTATAACTAAAATATTTAATTTATATGAATAATAATAATTTTAGTGCTGAAATTTTATAGTTTTAAATTAAATTATTTTTTACTTTTATTAATAATTATTTTGTAAAGAATTCAGTGATGTTATCTATGGATTATCTATGGAATGTTGTAAAATTTCTGTGCTAAACTTATGACTGACGTAGTTGAAAGAATTTATTGAATTCAACGTCAAAATATTGTTTCGTTGGAAACAAAATTATGAGAAAGAACAAATTTAACGTAAATAATTTAATAATAAAACAAAACTAAAACTTTTAATGAGCTATAATAAATTTCAGCAATATTTCAATATTTTTTTTTTCTCGTTTCTTGTAAATTGTAAATGTGTAAAAAATTTTTCTTCGTGTACTGTTTATAGAATGAATAAAAAAATAATAAAAAAAAAATATATATATATATAATTTTGACAGGCATTTGAAATAGATTTTGTATTTGTCTTTATCACATATCAATGGCATTCCTGTAAATAATAAGTTCCTGACTTTGCCACGTGTAAACATGTCAGTGGTCCCAGGAAATAAGTTGTGTATGCTGTTGCCGAATTTTCCAAGAAATGCTGCAGCCTTTGATGCTATCTACAAATATTTTTTTTTAATAATTTTTCAATAAAAAAAAAAAAAAAAAACAATTATAATTTTAATAATTTGAAAAATTAAAGAATCAATTAATCCTAGACTGGTCAACAAACGCGACCTAACGACTTTGACAGGTAGAGACTAGAGGTGTTTTCGGCAACGCCGCGGACAAAAAACTACTTACGACTCTGGTCAAGCGATGAGGAAAGCCCCGCAAATTTTTTTAAGAAATTTTTTTGCAGCAAATAAACGTTTTCGAAGATGTTTGAAAAAATGATTAATATAATATATTCTAAAATGTTCAAGGAACAAAGTCAAATTTTTTTGAATAATTTTAGTAAATATTGAAGATGTAATAAAAAAAATATAATTGAGCGCGACGTCACGCTCATACGTTGACCAGTCTAGGGTTAATAGGAAGTAATTTTGAGTAATTATAATTTTACTCAAAAATCTTGAGCACTTGAATTAAATGTAACTAAAAGTTTATTGTTTTATTAAAGTAAGTAATGGAAATTTATTAGTAAGACTTAATTATTAATTTATAACAAGTAGCTTACAGTATTAAGAGTTCCTAAGTAAGCACTATTCAATATAACGATATCATCATCTTCAGAACCTGCGGATGCATCCTTGTTGAAGCGATATAATCTGTATACGGTGAAAGTTAACTCATCGAGTTCTTCATCAACTTGAGTCACTCGTTTCTGAACATTCAAGCTAGACATTGTGGCAAAGTAATGCAATGTAGGTCGGTAAGATAACGAAGTACATTTTAAATATATATCTATATAAGTTATTACAGTAGGTAAACTGGTTTTTGTGTAATTGCAGTGTCTAGGATTTCGATTTAATGAAAAAAGAGTTATTAGATTGATTGATAAATTATAGGAAGGTTGATACAATAAAGTTTTTTATTATAAGTCTAAAATTTTCAATATAACTTTAAGTACTAATTTTTCAATTAAAAAAAAAAAAAAAAATAATAATTGATATTAAATTTAAAATTATTATTTGCTAATCACATCAAGGAGTTTTAATATTGTAATTTAATTAATAAACATTTAAAATATCAATGTATTTAAAAAATGAAGACTTTTTGACCGATGCTTGAATGGATATAATTATAATTAGTTTAATAAAAAAGTACTTACTCATAAACATAAGGACCGCGTTCCTCGAGAATAGGACTCTCTCCTTCCATTACATTTTCGGGATTAGTGACGTGAAATAAATATACATTAAAATATATATTTAAATCTTTCCATACTTCGTAACCGAATCTACCTTCTTTTAATTCTGCCGACTAAAATTAATTTTCACAAGAGAAAAATCAAGAGAAAAATGCAATACGATTGAATTTGAAATAAAATATACTAACCTCACGCAATTGAGTGACAATAAAATTAGTGTGGGGTTTTTCAACTGCAAGGTAAATTCCTAATGATATCAACAATAGTCCTGGAATAAACGACAGAAAATTTCGACAAAACGAACGGCAATTAGACATTTTATTTTAAAAATTGTATTTTTTATTAATGTCGGAAATTTATTCACTATTTATAATTCTTGTTGATTTTTTTTTAGTTTAAATCATTTACTTGTTGTAACATTTTTTATCAAATGAGTAACAGTGTATCCTCGATACTAACGTTAAGCCGTAATTTTATTTTATGTGCAACATTTTATAGCTGATAATAGTAGGTATTATTTCAAGTATTTATTAATTCATGAGATAACTATCAGGTATATCATACATCTATGAATCGTAAACTAACAACTTTACTAGCATTAATATTTTATATAAGAGATAATAAATGCGCAAGTGCAATAATTTATAATTCATTACATTTTTATATTCTTGTAAAGTAATTTTGTCATGATATTTTTCAACGTTATCAAACCAATCGATCATAAATGCTGCATAAATAAATACCAACATTAGTTTAATTAAAAATATTAATTGAATAATTCTCTAAATGATTTTTAAATACTTAAAAGCTCAGATAGCACGTGATAATATAAAAATATTTATTTTAACAATTATAACGCCACAACAGAAAAACATTTTTAGAAAATTTATTTTTTAATTCAAACTTTATTTAACTTCCCGCTAAGAAAATTGAAAATTTTTTCTACTGCTTTGTTACGTGAAATTATAATTGAGAATTCAAATTATAGGATAATGACAAGTTTTTTAAATCGATAAGTCGTACGTTTATTAATACAAATATTATTCCAAGCCCTTTTTCCGACTTTATCATCCCCTTATGACCTAGTGTTTAAACTTATAGTTCTATTGTTGCATCTATTTCCAAGCGATTTCAATTTTCTTATGTTCGTTATTATGGGCACTTATTTTACAATTAAGTTATGTTTAATAATTAACATAATATTCATCTGTAATTCGTTTTTCAAAAATGATTCAACTTTTAATGACTTATTATTTACTTTATGCAGTTTTTTAAATGAATAAATTTCTCCTTTTAATTTTAACCAATAATTTAAAAAATAGTAATGATAAATATTTCACGATTTCATTAATAATGTATGGTGTGGTTAATGCTAATAAAAAATTACTTTAATCAATAATAAGTTAAGCATTAAAATCTATCCATTGTTAATAACAACTAACATTTTTTAAAATTAATAAATTTTTTTTTTAGAATGATAAGAAAGATATTAATCATATTGAAAACTTATTTATTTTTTTTTATTTTTTAAATTCTAGTTATTTATTGTCACTATTAAACAACAAGGATCCATCTGCGCAAATTTTAATGCAATACTTCACACTAAGCACATTCTAATAAACTGTAACTTGTTCACCAATTAGAGAGTTGAACATCGCGTTCTATCATTCAACACCCTAATCGGAAATCTAAGAATCATCCATTAGTACCCGAAAGACACCATTTTATAAAACCACATAAAATTTATAAATTGAAGATTATCATAGAAATTTTTAGAATAATTTCTTACTGTTGTTAGAAAATGGTGTTATTATATTGACAGGTAACTTTGACACTCGTGTCAGTTTCACATTGGAGCCCTATACTAACGACAAAAACAGCCGTACAAATAATAATAGTGCGTTCAGCTTAACGATCGTAATGTATGGCAACACTGTTCTACTGGTGTTATTATGAACATTGATTTGATAATTCAGTACTATTCTTAGTATGTTTACGTAAATATTACGTTACAGTGCGATATCTTGTCGATAACTATCGAAAAAGCGCCAAAAGTAATAAATAGAGAAAAATTGAGAAGAAATAAAACTAAATACTTGAAAATTTTAATCAAAACTAAAATAGTAACATCGAGATGTTCAGAAAAAAAATAAAGAATAGTGTGATGACGTTCGAAGAAATTTGGAGCATTGAGTTTGGTGTTTTCAAATTAATCGGAATATCATTAGGAAATGCTCTCGTCGGTGAAAATTGTAAACCAAGTTTGTTACATTGGTTCAAATTTATTTCGGGGGTATCTATTTTAAATATATTTGTTTTTATTTGTATTAACACATTGAATGACGATAGGTTTGATGATATTTATCATGCTGCTGAAGTTTTTTCGCTTATTTTATCAGTTTTACTAAGTATAATAAAGGTTTGTCAATAAATATACATGTATAGTTTATTAAACTCAATAATTAAATTATTTTTGGATATATAAAATATGTCAATGATTGACTAGTTAAAAGACTCAGTTTTAATATATTATTTATTTATCATATTATGAAATTTACAAAGTATTTGCAGCTATATAGAAGACATAAAATTAAAATTTCTTCAATTATTATTAAAGTTTTCTTTGTTCATATCAACACTGAAAAATAATTCACTTGATTCCATAAAATAAGTTTTAAACTAAGAAAATCATTTTTAGGAGTTTTACTGTCTTGAGACGTGAATAATTCTCGAATCAAGTAAATTATTTTTTAAGTAAATATAACAATAAGCTTTTATTAATTTACAAAGGCTTCAGCGCTATGGATCTATCAAAGAAATTTATTAGAAATTATTAAAGATTTCCACAATCTTTGGAGCTATTCTGAAACAAAATTAACTTCGAAAAATGACTTAAATAGTTTTATGAAAAGATCTAAAATAATGATAAAGTGTTATTGTTATGCAATAGTTTCTCTTGGTTCTTCTTACGCTCTACGGCCATATTTGTAAGGAAATTACTCGTAATAATTATATTCGATGTTATAAATTAAAATTACCTTTCATTACAGTACAATATTGATTAATTATGTGAAAATATTATTCAATGCAAGCAGTCACATTAATAATTCGATAACTATTTTTCCAATAAAATATCCATTAGACTCCGACGCAATGTATAAATATATTTTATTGGCACTCTATGAGCAATGGGTTGTATACTATGGGTTGATATTTTGGACAGCATGTGATATTCTTTATATTCAACTAATAACCAATCTTAGTATAAATTTGATGGCAAGCATGGAATTAAATTTATTATTACACTATAAGGCTCGTAAATTATTAATAACAAATGATAATGACAACTAATCATAAAATATAAGTTTTTATAGGTACTAAGCGATGACATACGTAGTTTAAATCGATTTCGAAATACTGAATACAATTATAATGTCCAGTATTTCATCACCAGAATAGTTGAACGGCACCGTTACATACTGTCGTAAGTACAATTAAAAAAATAGACAACACTATAATCGCAATCAAATTTTTACTCTAAATTTTAACATTCAATTAATTTTCATTAGAATATTCTACAAAGTTAACACTTTGTACAGACCTATTTTTACATTCACATTATTGTTGAATGGCGTGGATCTTTGTTGCTGTATATTTACTTTAGATAAAGTAAGATTTATTGATAATCAAATTGTAAGAATTTTGTAAGAAAAAAAAAATTTTTTCCATAGGAGTTTTCAAGCGGCCATTGGTCAAAAGTAGGAAGAAGCTTCGCTCATGCATCCACTCTTTTTATACAAATAATTATTTATTGTAATTATTCACATCAAGCGACGGAAATGGTATCTAAAATAGGGCTCATTTTGTGCTAAACTAATAAAAGAAAAATAACTTGATCCAATAGAAGAAATCTCAAATCAAAAACATCATTTTTAAGACTTTTATCATCTTAAATCAAGTTAATTTTTTTACTCGTGTATTCTTGTTTATTTCTATGATTATTAAGAAAAAAAAAATTTTTTTTTAAGACACTAAAATTAAGTGATTCTATTTATGGCTTGAAATGGGAAGATTACGACGTAAAATTAGTAAAAATGTTGATTATGATAATGATTAGAGCAAATAAACGGTTCAAATTTTCTGCTTATGGTGTGGTTGATCTAAATAGGCCGCATATGACTCAAGTAAGTTTATAGAATAATCACAAAATAGATTAAATGTATTAATGATATTTTTAACTATTTTATTTAGATCATCAAACGAACTCTTGGCTATTTAACACTCTTAAGAAGCTTCTCATGACGATCTTTCTGCCACGTAAGACACTTTAGTTGAAAAAATAAACATATTTACTCTTTTTTAAAGAAACAAACGGCTAAAACTATTTCAATAAATATTGAATAAAAAATAACAATATTTTTTATAAATAACCTGCCTATGAATTTATAAATAAATTATTAAGCCACTAATGTGTAAGAATAATTAATAACTCACCCTTTAATCCTTTCGGAAAAAAATACACCAATAATAATTAATATTTTCATTGAATGACGGTTCTAAATTCCTTGAGATACTATCAATGATTGATTGATTAGACAAGTAATGTCGATGTTCTCTTCTAAAAAAAAGAAAAGTTATAAGAATATTATTAAAAAGAGTACTCTATGCAAACAGTATAAAGTTTTATTAGTAACCCTCATGCAGAAGCTATCGATGTTTATGCTCCGGCAGTTATCTTTCTATTGCTGCCTTCCACCCTCTGGGTCCCCGGTACCGACAAGCTCTAGTCATCGCGACGACAATACTCATTAAAAATTAATGCGTCCCCTGCAAGACAATATTACATTGTTAAATTGCTTGAAAAGTGTAATTTACTTATGGTTAATATTGCAAAGTCAATTTTGAAATTAAGTTCAATTTTCAATAATTAGTTTCCTAGGAAACTAAAATACAAACATTTCGATCGACCCTTCTTTGCATAAGACTTATCCACGGAAAATGTTTAAGAGGAAAGTAAAAGAAAGTCATATCAATGAAATGCCTTTTAAAAAAATTTGGATTTTGGAGATATTTTTTTTTAATAGAATAGGAAAATCTTTGCGTGATGCATTTATTGAAAAGAATTATGAAGAAAAATTAATTGAAACTTTTTTTTTCTTTCTTGATTTTTTTTTACACAGTTCATTTATTGTTATTTCATTATATACATTGTTTGTTGTTGAGTGCGATATGCTTTTTCTTGCAGAATTAATTCCTCCATTATTCGGTGTGTCAATAATAGTAGTCAAGGTTTGTCATAACTTTTATTTCGGTATTCTTTTATTAATTTTATTATAATTATTATCTTTCAAGTGAAATCTAAGAATTGACGATTAATTTTTTTTGATAATTATATAATAAACATTGATTAAAGTTTTTTCAATGCAGTTACATTAAAAATTGTTGATACAATCCTTAGATTTCATGAAAAAAAAAATCAGTGATCATTGATTAAATATTAATAAAAATTCTCAATTTAAAGAGCGCAGCATTGTGGCTTCATAGACGCGATTTATTCACAGTTTTACGCGATTTTTATACACTATGGAACTACAATAAAACAAAAACAGACTTACTCAATAAAATTAATAAGCTACTAGTAACTTCTAAAAAATTTCGTTATTATTATATGTCCACAATCATAATGAGCACCGCGGCGTATGCATTGCGGCCTATAATGTAAGATCATCAAACTTCTTGATTAAATTTCTCTTAATTTATTGACACTACTTATAGGCATATTAACTGTTGAATTTTCTTCTTCAATAATTGCAGCATAGTCTCTACGTACTGGGCAAGCTTATCAGAACAATTAAATAGTACATTTGACTTTCCAATAATTGTTTATCCACTGCAGTATCCTTTTGAGTATCAAACAATCGCTCGGTACTCGTTACTGATATTGTATGAAGAGTTGGTAAATTACTCAGCTGCCTGTTGTTTGATATGTGATGCTCTCTACATCCAATTAATGACACATATCTCTATTAATTTTCTGGTAATTGATTATTTTTTACAGCTAATTGTTTTAATTCTAGGAATTACGGTAAGATAATGCAATCGTTGGATAGAAAAAAAAAAATATTTACAATTGATGTCTTTTTAGGTTTTGGCTGATGATTTTAAAAATGCAAGTCAATGTATCGATAATGATGACAATGATAACAAACAGATTAAAAATATGGTTAAATTGATTAATAAACATCGTCATATGTTAGTGTAAGTAATTACAAAATAATTTTGAATATTTTACTAATAGGAGGATTTTTTAACTGTTTTGAGCTACAATTATTTTATTATAGCTTAGTTTTTTAAAGAAAACCATTAAATCGGAAAAACTATTAGCATGCACGAATAAAAACGAACTGTATTTAATTATGCTGTTTTATTCTGCGTAGACAGTTACAAAAAAAAAATGTGTGGTAAATAAGAGATCTTAGAATGAACTAACTTATACAAAAATCTTAGTACAACATTACAACTTAGATTAGGGCGTAAATTAGTCAAGCAAAATATAAGGAAAGGGAAAACAAGCTTTATTATTGGTGGAAAAGTACGGAAAAATGTCAGGAAGGATATTTTAAGGAACTATTGGCTAATTAGAGGAATAGAAGGCGGGTGTATATTGTCAACCTTAGGCGCAAAGAGAGGGTATGAGGTACTGACATCAGGTAAGGACTTGAAGGGACTAATGATTTATGATGGGTGCAGACTTGCAGGCGTCTAAGCAAAAACTTGGGAAAATATTGCAATTAGAAAAATGTGGGTATTGTAAATAAAAACTAGCTTAAAAAATAAGGTAATAAACGTAATCCAGATGCTAGGCTTAAGTTGTAAATAATGGAAAGCATGTTGAAAAATAAGGATTATTTTTTAAATACTTAAAATTTCCAAAGATACGAATGTCTTGGTTAAAGTATAGAAAATACAATAGATGGGAAAAACCTAAATGACTAATAAATAATAAATCGAAATACAGATGTTGAAACAAGGAATTATTTCGAGTATTTAAAAAATAACCAAATTTATAGCTATCTGGGTCCTTCAGATACGATAACAATGAAGAGAAAAAACCCAGGCAATTAGTATATGGATTATGTTAAATATTAATTATGTATGTAAGAAATTATTAAACATAAAATTAATTAAATTAAATTGAAACCGAACATTAACCCTTAACAAGCTTTATTAAATGTTGATAGATAATTTTTTTTGATATTTAATGATTTAATAAATATGTATTAACAAATATGTATCAAAAGTTAAAAAAACAATTAATTATATTTAATTAAGACATAAATTGTTTCCAAATAAATGAATTTTTTTTTTAAATAAATAAATTCTCCTATCAGTGTATGTAAAATTTAAACCACGATTGAAAAATAAAACTTTGACATACTATTTGTTTGCGTACAGAATATGTAAAAAAGTTGAATCTATATATAATCCTATTGTGTTCTTTACGATAATAATAAACGGACTGGATCTATGTTTCTGTGTCATTGTTTTAGATAAGGTAAGACTTATTTACAATGATAAACTTTTCCGTGTCATGTCATGTATAAAAATTTATTAGGGATTTTCAGACGGAAATTGGGCTTTAGTAGCAAAGGGTTCCACCCTCACAGTCGCTATTTTTGTACAGTTACTTATATACTGTAATTTCTCACATACAGCATCAGAAATGGTATTAATCAGCAATATAATTGACTGAGACGTTATCAAAACAGTTTTTTTTTATTAAATTTTTTTATTCAAGACTGCAAGTATTGAAAACTCTATTTATGATTCCGAGTGGGTCAATAGTAGTGAGAAATTTAAAAAAATGATTTTGATGATAATGCATGCAAGCAAAGGATATACGTTTACAGCGTACGGTGTTTTTGATCTAAATCGTGAGCAGTTATCGGCGGTAATGTTCAATATCACTGTATACAGTCAAGTATTAATTTTTTATTATTAAATTTTTTTTTGTTAATTTGATTAGGTTATCCAGACAACAATGAGCTACTTCACACTTTTGAGAAGTTTCACATAATTTTTATAAAATCCAATTGGAATGCTGCAACTATCAGAGCCATTGGGATTGAAATCTTAGATTAACTAATTGTTGGAACATAGAATTTATCGTGAAAAAAAAAAATGTGTTCATTGTTGATTGACAAATTAATATATTTTATGATTACTATCACTAATTTTGTTTTTTTCTCAACAACCTCAAAAAATAATTTTCATTTAAATTAAGTGAACTTTATTATTTATGTAAAAAAAATTATTAACTTACCCTTTAATACAAAAAGTTTTAAATCCCAGTTTGGATTAATGGTGAACTAAATTTCTTCAAGTATTGTCAGAGATTGATCAACTAAAACAAGCAATGTAGTCGTTCATCTAAAAAAAAAAAAAAAAAATAAAGTTGATATTATCACATAGTCAGAGTAGACAATGTAAATAGTATGAAATATTATTGGCAGCCCTTGTGTAAAAGCTAATGTTTATGCGTCAACAGTTGTCTTACAACTCCTGCCTATAATACACTGGAGTCCCGATAGCGACAAGCTTTAGTCTTCGCGACGACCATGCTCATTCAAAATTAATGCCTTTTCTAGCAGAAAGTATCTTTCTATTGTTGTACTTCCTAGCGAATGTAATTTTCTTATGGTTAATAATGCAAAGTCAATTTTGGAATTAAGTTTAATTTTCAGTAATTTGTTTCCAAGGAAACCAAAATGCAAACATTGATGCTGTTTTCCGGTCATTCTCTTATGTCTTATTTCGATCGAGAGTTGCTTGCATAAGACTAATCCGCAAAAATGTTTAAAAGAAGAGTAAACGAAAGTAACGTCAATAAAATGCCCTTTGAAGAATTGTGGTCAATGGAAATATTTGTTTTCAAAATGATGGGAAAACCATTGCGTAATGCATTTAATGATATTTATCATGAAGAAAGTTTAATTGAAAAAATTATTTTCATTATTGGATTTTTATTACACAGTTCATTCGTTATATTTTCTTTTTATACCCTGTATACTGTTGAGTGTGACATGCTTTTCATTGCCGAAATCGTTCCAATTTTATTCGGTATTTCGATGAATATCATAAAGGTTTGTCGTAATTTTCAATTTAGTAAAATTATATTTATTTTTTCATGCGAAATCAAAGAATTTTTCTAATTATTAAATATTGATTTAATGTTGTTCTCTGTCCAATAAAAATCTCGTTTTTTTAAATTAGAATCAACGTTTGATTAATAAATGCTTATTACTACTCAGAAAAAATAAATTTACTTGAATCAAGTAAATAATTATTGAAGAATTTCATCTTTTTGATTTAAGTAGAAAAATTTTTAAACTAAGAAATTTTTTTTTGTTTTAATCTAAGACAATGAAACTCTTCAAAATTATTTTCTTGGTTTCAAAATTCTTCTCTTGATTCAAGTTAACTATTTTTTTTTTGTGTACAATTCTTAAATTTCACACAAGAAAATTATGGACTATCATCATTATTGAACACTTATAAAATTTAATTTAAGGGCTTAACATTGTGGTTTTATAGACATGATCTATTCACGATTGTACGAGATTTTTTAACCTTGTGGAATTGTAATCAAACGAAAACGAACTTGCTAAATAATATTAACAGCCTAATAAAATCCTCAAAGCGAGTGCGTTATTATTACATGTTTACGATTATGTTAATTGGTACATCTTTTGGATTGCGACCTTTAATGTAAGATCATTAATGTTTTCTAAAAAAAAAAATTTTTTTTTAAATATTGAATTTTTTTTTCCATCTGCAGTATAATTTTTACTTACTGTGTAAGTTCATCAAGACAATCAAACAGTACATTCGATTTTTCAGTTGTTGTTTATCCACTAGCGTATCCTTTCACGTATCAAACGGTCAGTCGATATTCATTATTGCTATTGTACGAAGAATTTGTTAATTATTTCGCCGTTTGTTATGTGATATGCGATGCTCTCTACATTCAACTAATGACACATATCTCTATTAATTTTTTGGTAAAATATATCAAAACTAATTTTTCAATTTTGTTAAAAAAAAATTATAATTTGAGACTGCAGGAGTTGAATTATTTTTGTATTTTTAGGTTTTGGCTGATGATTTTAATAATGTGAACCAATGTGCTGACACTGATGACGATGATGAGGGTAAGATTGAACATATGGTTAAACTGGTCGATAAACATCGCCAGATGTTAGTGTAAGTAATTGCAAGGAAATTTTCAACATTATCGAGTCAATAGCAGTAAATTTAGCGGTTTCAGTGTAAGAAGAAGCTAAACTTATAATCAATTAAACCATTGAAATACTATTTATTTTCGTACAGAATATGTGAAAAAGTTGAGTCTTTCTATAATCCTATTGTGTTCTTCACGATAGTAATGAACGGGTTGGATCTATGTTTATGTGTCATTGTTATCGACAAGGTAAGATTCATTTAGATTGATAAAATTATCTGCTTTATAAGTAAATATTTATTTTATTAGGAAATAGCAGAAGGAAACTGGACTATAGTGATCAAGAGCTTCGTCCATGCAGTCGCACTTTTTGTGCAAATAATCATGTATTGTAATTTCTCGCATACCGCGACAGAAATGGTATTTATCTTGAGCAATATAATTGACCGTAGAGTTGAAAGAAAGGATTGTTTATAATGAATTTATTTTATTGAAGACTGCAAGTATTAAAAACTCTATTTACAATTCCGAGTGGGTCAACAATAGTAACAAATTTAAAAAAATGATTATGATGATAATGATGCGTACGAGCAAAGAATACAAATTTACAGCGTACGGTATTCTTGTTTTAAATCGTGAGCAAATGGCTAAGGTATTGTTCAATTCTACTGTACACAATGAAATACGTATTGTTGAGTATTTAATTTTTTGTAATTGAATTAGGTCATCCAGACTACGATGAGCTACTTCACGCTTTTGAGGAGCTTTACATAATTTGGAAATGATTCTATTCCAATTTTATGATTTTATACAGCCATCGGAATTACAGTCCCAAGTTTTATTATTGTTAAAAAATATAATGTATAATACAGTAAAAAATTTAATATGTTAATTTTTAATTGACGGCTTAACATACTTAATTATTAGTATTATATTTTTTTTCTTTCCAAGCTTTAGACTTTTTTCATAATATAAGACTAGATCCTAAATTAATATATATATATCTCTTCAATTAATACAATGAAAATGATAAAAATATATGACGATAAGATATGACTTACCCCATTAATACCTCCAGGGAAAATATACATGAATAAAATTTCTATTGAAAACTTTAAAACTCCTGTTCGTTTTGTTGATGGAGTAAATTTCTTTTAAATAAAGTATTATCAGAAGTAAATTGATAAATTTTATCAAAGAAAAAAAAAGGATTAAAACTATTGAGAAGTTATAACATTCAGTATGTATCGTAGTAAATATTATTTAAAACCATCGCGTAAAAGCTATCGATGTTTTTGCCTTGACAATTGTCTTTCTACTGCTGCCCATCACCCAAGCGAACCCTATAAACATGATCTATTCACGATCGTACGTGATTTTTTAACCTTATGGAGTTATAATCAAACCAAGCCAAACCTACTAAGTAAAATTGACAGACTAATTAAATCATCAAAACACGTGCGTTATTATTACATGTCTACAATTATAATAATTGGTGCAGCTTTTGTATTGAAGCCTTTAATGTAAGATCATCAATGATTTTAATTTAAAACAAAAATAGTTTTTTTTTTTAAATACTATAATTTAAGATCTCGGCTGCCCAATTATAAAACACAGTAACGGCAAAATTTTTATATCTGATTTTTTTTTAATATTGCTGTATTTTTTATAACTTTTAGACCTTAATTTCAAGTATTTTTTCTTAAAAAAGTATTTTCTATTCATAAATTAAATTTTTTATCAATTTGGCGGGTAAACTTTTTTTTAATAAGAAAAATTGGAAAAAAATTTGAAATGTTAATTACTGTGTTTTGAAATTGGGCAACCGATCTGACTAACGTATTAATTAAATAACAATTTTTTTTCTAACTGCAGCATAATTTTTACTTACTGGATGAATTCATCGGGACAATCAAACAGTACATTTGATTTTTCAGTAGTTGTTACTCCACTAACATATCCTTTCTCGTATGAAACGGTCAGTCGATATACATTATTGTTAGTGTATGAACAAGTTATAATTTATTTGGTTGTTTGTTATGCGATATGTGATGCTCTCTACATTCAACTGATGACACATATCTCAATTAATTTTTTGGTAAAATTTATCGACACCAATTAAACAATTTTGTAAAAAAAAAATATAAATTAAGACTGCAAGTGTTGAATTATTTTTATCTTTTTAGGTTTTGGCTGATGATTTTAATAATGTGAACCAATGTATTGATACTGATGACAATGACCACAATAAAATCCAACATTTAGCGAAACTGATCGATAAACATCGCCATTTGTTAGTGTAAGTAATTGAAATGAAATTTTGAACGTTATTATGTCAATAATAGTAAATTTATAAGCGAAACCAAAAATTGAAATGATATTTATTTTCCCACAGAATTTGTGAAAAAGTTGAGTATTTCTATAGTCCTATTGCATTTTTTACGATAGTAATGAACGGACTGGATCTATGTTTGTGTGTCATTGTTGTAGATAAGGTAATATTCCTGTAAATTGATAGACTTACCTATTTCATAAATAAACATTTATCACTTTAGGGAATATCAAAAGGGAATTGGCCTATAGTGATAAAAAGTTTCGTCCATGCAGTCGCACTTTTTGTACAAATAATAATGTATTGTAATTTCTCACACACGGCGACAGAAATGGTATTTATCATGAGCAATATAGTTGACCGTAAAGTAGAAAGAAAGGATTGCTTATATTATAATAAACTAAATTTGATTGAAGGCTGCAAGTATTAGACAGTCTATTTATAATTCTGAGTGGATCAATAGTAGTAAGAAACTCAAAAAAATGCTTATGATGATAATGATGCGTGCAAGCAAAGAACATAATTTTACAGCGTACGGTATTCTTGTTCTAAATCGTGAGCAGATGGCCAAGGTATTGTTCAATTTTATTGTACAAAATATTTTATTGAATATTTTATTTTTTTGTAATTGTATTAGGTCATACAAACGACAATGAGTTACTTCACGCTTTTGAGGAGTTTCACATAATTCGGAAATCATCCAATTCCAATCTTATGACTTTATACATTATTATTGTTAAAAATTATAATATATAATAGCGTAAAAAATAAATATGTTAATTGTTGATTGACGACTTAATATAGATAGATATTTATTTTGCATTGTACAACAGTAAGAATTGTTTTTTACAATTTTTTCATCACAGTTTCTTAAAATCAAATCTGCATCTTAGATGTTATTTAAAGCTCTGGTTCTAGCACCACATTTACTTAAATATTTCATTTCGTCTTATTGATAATATCACTTTTAACTAGCTTAGGTATTTTAGAAATTTTTGAAACAATTTATATTAAATCAAAATATATTAAAGACTCTACAAACTAACTTTTATGGCACTTGTTGGCTAAAATTAAAGGAATTTACGATAGCCTCTGTGAGGCAATTATGAAAAATAAATATTCTGCACTGGTTGTCTACTTCTTTGACTGCCATCTAAACACCTTCGTTCGGGACTTGTTGGGTTGCTGCTTGACGACTTAATATATTTTATCGTTACTATCGTTAGTATTGTATTTACTTCTTTGCAAAAATCTCATTGGTTTATCTTTAGATTCAATTAATACTAAAATGCTAGATCCTAAATTTATACACTGAAAAAAAAAAATTAACTTTAATAAGTAAGAAAATAATTTTGACGAGTTTCATTGTCTTAAGTCAAATAAAATTTACTTAAACCAAGAATTATTTTTTAGTTTAAGAATTTTTTCTGCTCAAATCAAGAAGATAAAGTTCTTCAAAATGATTTATTTGATTCAAGTTAATTTTTTTTTCTGTGTATAAATTATATTATTCATATCACTTTAATCAACACCATGAAAATAATGAAAAGACAATGCTAAAAAAATAGCGTAAGTATATATATGACGCTAAGAAAAGACTTACCTCATTAATCCCTCTAGGCAAAATGTACCAGAATAAAATTTTCTTCATTAACTTTGAAACTTCTTTTAGTTTTAATTTTTAATCGAATTTCTTCAAGTACTTATTATCGCCGATTGGGTGAAAAAAAAAATTGATGTTATTGAGAAGTTATAGTACTCAATATGTATCGTAGTAAATATTATTTAAAACCACCGTATAAAAGCTATCGATGTTTTTGCTTCGACAGTTGACTTTCTATACTCAAAATTAATGCTTTTTCTATAGCAGAAAATATCTTTCTATCGTTATACTCTCTATCAAGGATAATTTTCTTATTATTATAATAATATGATTAATAATGCAAAGTCAATTTTGGAAATTCAATTTTCAGTAATTTGTTTCCACGGAAACCAAATGCAAACTTCGATGCTATTGTCCGGTTATTTCCCCATGTTTTATTACGATCGGCAGTCAAACCTTGTTAAGTATGATGAAAAAAGATGAAGTTACCACCGATAGTAGTAATAAAACGCCGTTTTCAGAGTTTTGGAGTTTGGAGTGGACTGTTTTTAGATTTATTGGAAAATCATTGCACGGTGTATTTAGCGGTGGCTATTACAAACAAAATTCAATAGAAAATTCGATGTTCGTTTTTGGAATTTCATTACTTAGTTCACTCATCTGTTTCTCAATCTATATATTGTTTGTTGTCGAGTGTGATATAAAATTTGTTGCTGAGTTTGTTCCAATCATACTCACTATGTTTACAGTTAGTGTAAAGGTATGTTGTAATAATGGCTTTGACAATTTATAATATTTCAAAAGTTTCCAATTTAAATAAAAATGAATATTGCAATTGTTGATATGAAAAAATTAATGTTTTCTTTTTATAAAAAAAAAATTATGAAAAAAATTTTTAGTGTAAACATATTTATAACCAACGACAGCAATTAACGTATCTAAAATTTTTTTTCTCATAAGGCTACACTTTGTGGGCAAATAGAGTTGATATATTTGGAGTTTTGCAACAATTCAGCATCCTGTGGATTGGTATTCAAACAAAAGTCGATTTAATGTATAAAATCGATCCATTGTTGAATATTTCGAGGAAAATACGCTATAGTTATATAGTGACGGCACTGTTTCTTGGCTTTTCGTATGCATTACGGCCAGTTATGTAAGATCTTTTTTTTTACTGATATATTTTGAAAAGAATAATAAAAAATCAATTAGCATTATTTTTATTTCTTAAAAAATATGAAAAATTAAGAGTAAAATATTTAGAGTACATTTATATTGCAGTAAATAATTTTTTTGATCATAACCGCAGCATTATGTTAACTACCTACGTTGGAACAACATCAGGATCAAATAATACGATTGATTGTTCAATTACTACCTGGCCAATAGAGTACCCGTTTGTCCATCAAACGATCAGTCGGTACATTCCATTGTTAATGTATGAAAACTTGATCAATCATTTCGCCGCTTCATACCTGATATGTGATGCTCTGTACATTCAGCTAACGACGTATCTAGCTATCAATTTTATGGTATTAAAAATAAGAAACAATGATTATCACTTTATTAATAGATCATTTTTTTATTTTAAATAAATAGGTGAACGGATAATATTCAACACTTGATCGAATTGGTCCATAAACATCGTGATCTATTATCGTAAGTTGAATTAGTGTCTTTAAAACTGATTTTTTTATTCTAATAATCATGTAGCTATAAATCATGATCGCATTTAAGGTAAAAGACCCAATTAGCGACACCAGCCTAATTATTGACACTTGCAATTTTATTTAAATTAAAAAAAAAGTCAGCTCTAATAAACTTATAAATATAATTTTTGAGTTCTGATATTAAAGTTAGCTGTCACTTCACAATTTTTTAATTTATTTTTAAAAAATTGCATTTTTTATTTATTAAAAATTCTACATGTCAATTTTTTTAGTCATTTTTTTTTTATTTAATTTATTTATTCGAAAATTATCAAATATCTGCTGAATTAATTATAATTTTTGAGTTATAAAGTTTAAGATAATTGGTTTTTTGAGAACATTTTATTTTTTTAATTAGAATAAAATTGCAAGTGTCAACCAACTAGGCCATCGTCAATAACTGGGTGTTTTACCTTAGTCCTAAATTATTTTATGTATTGACAGATTGGCTCAGAAAATTGAATTTACATACAACCCTGTTTTTCTTGCTACAATAGTATTCAATGGAATAAATTTATGTTTATGTGTCATTATTGTTGATAAAGTGAGATATATATTTTGAACTATTATATAAAGATATAATTGAATTTTTATCAAATAATAAACGCAATGATTGTCCAGGAAATATCAGAAGGAGAGTGGACACTTTTAATGAAGAGTTTAATACATGCGGCTGTGCTTGCAACACAGATTTTTATTTACTGTGATTTTTCACATACGGTTACGGAGACGGTATTTATAATTTATAATTGTCTATTTCGTATAATTACCAATAAAACGGAATATTTATAATTTATTTATTTGTTCAAAGATCGACAGTATTCCAATATCCCTTTACGATTCTGAATGGGTCGATAGTACTATTAAATTTAAAAAAATGTTGGTAATAATATTGATGCAAGCGAGTAAACAATATAAATTTACAGCGTACAATATTGTACATAACACTTAAATTAATCGCGAACAAATGACGACGGTATGATACAATATTAAATTTAACTGTAGTGTAAAAAAAATTTTTTAACAATCGAATACATTTTTATTAATTATTTTTTAAAAAAGATTTTTCAGACTACGATGAGTTACTTCACACTACTGAGGAATTTTACTTAAATTTTCTAAGCTTCAATTTAATTAAAAATTTTTAGTATTTAATACATATGTATATTTTTTTTATTTTTAATTACTAGATCAACTTCTATCAAATTAAAAAAAAAAAAAAATCAACTGATAAAAATAAAAATGATAAAATCACAAAGCTCAAATAATCAGGGTAAGCTTGTGAAAAAAAAAATAACTCACCCTTACTCTGGATCAAATATGCAATAATAAAATTTCTATGTAACAATTTTGAATCCTGACTTGCATTATTGTTAAATTAAATTTCATCAAGTATTATGAAGATTAATCGATCTCACTAGCATTTTTGTCATTTATCTAAATAAATAAATATAAAACTAAATAATTAAAAAAAAAAAATTTAAGACTTTTAAAGTTATAAAAAATGTAGAAAACTCACTATAAATAGTATTAAATACTATTAAAAGCCTGTGTGTAAAAGCGAGTGATGTTTATATCTCGGGAGTTGTATTTCTACTGCTATCTACCACCCACTAATGCCCCACTACCGACAAACTCTAGTCCTCACGACGACAATTCTATAGTAAATAATTGATTCGTTTCTTGCGAAAAAAATATGGTAAATTGTTGTTCTTCCGAGGGACTGTAATTTCTTAATAGTTAATATTTCAAAGTCAATTTTGAAATTAAGTGCAATTTTCAATAATTAGTTTCCTAGGAAACCAAAATGCAAACATTACTGCTATTATTCCATCATTCCTCCGTCTTTTATTTCGACTGACAGTTAAGCGATAAGAAACATGATTGAAAATAGCAAAATTACTGATAATTATTCAAATGACATACCATTTGAAAAATTTTGGAGTTTTGAGTTGTTTCTTTTTAAATTAATCGGAAAATCATTGGACGGTGCGTTCAGCGGTGACAATTACAAAGAAAATTATATTGAAGATTTGGTATTTTTTTTTGGATTTAGTTTGCTCAGTTCATTTATTTGTTTTTCGATGTATACATTGTATACTGTCGAGTTAAGTATAACATTTGCGGCTGAGTTTGTTCCACTTGTGCTCAGTATATTCATAGTAACAGTAAAGGTTTTTATGTAATTTTTTTTTACAGACAAAAATTAAAAAAAAATTTTTTTTTTCGATTACTTACACACTTACATTTAATTTTAGGCATCAATTATGTGGTTCTATAAAATTGATTTATTTACAATTTTACAACAGTTCAATTCTCTGTGGATCCACGCCCGAAAGAAAGTCAATCTAACAAGAAGAATTAATAAATTGTTGAACACTTCAGAGAAAGTGCGCTTTATTTATTTAACAGTATTAATCTTTTGTGGATTTTGTTATGGAAGTCGACCTTATATGTAAGATAAACATTTTTTTGTTTTTATAAATTTTAACAAGTAATTAAAATTCAGCCAGAAATATTTCTATTATTAATTGTGATAAGAAAAAAAAGATATTCTGAAATTGTAAATTTTTTTTTTTGTATTGCTTTCATGCTTACTCCAGCGTTATGTTGACAAACTATTTGGGAGAAACACCGGAATCAAACAGTACGATTGATTTTACAATTCTCGTTTATCCATTAGAGTTTCCATTTTCTTATCAAACGATTAGTCGATATATTTTCCTCTTAATATATGAAACTTGTTTGGTTTATTTTTGTGTTGTCTACCCAGTGTGTGATGCTTTATATATTCATCTAATGACGCATCTTGCAATTAATTTTTCGGTATTAAAAAATGATGAATACTAAAAGGATCGATTAATTCATAGATATTTTTTCAATAAATAGGTATTAGCAGATGACTTTTTTTACGTACACGAACATATTGATCATCAGGATTGTATCAATAATAATATACCAATAGTAGAATTAATTGAAAAATATCGTCATTTATTATCGTGAGTCTTATTACAATCTAACTGTTAAAAATCCACGACAACTCAACCGAAGACATTTCAATCACATCAATGTAAAAGATAAAAAAATTTTTGTCAAAAATTTTTAATAGGTTCCTGTAGAAAATTTATTGTATTTTCTGAAACCACTTTTTAACTTGTCTGTGCAATTATTGATGACTGAGATATTAATGTTAAAATTGTCGGAGTTGAATTGTAACAGAACCGCATTTTTACACAAAAAAAAAAAAAAAATTAATTCGACCCTTAAATTAATTTTTGAATTCTTACAGGATGGCGCAGAAAATACAATCAATATTCGGTCCCGTTTTTTTTGTCACAATTATTTTGAATGGATTAGATCTATGTCTGTGTGTTTTAGTTCTAGACAAGGTGAGCATATTCTTAAAATCATCAAACTATCATAAATTTATGATAAAAAAATGAAGTAATGGTTGACTAGGAACTGTCGGAAGGAAATGGGGTGCTATTAGTAAAGAGTTTGATGCATGCAGTTATAATTTGTGTACAGATATTAACTTATTGTGATTTTTCACACTCAACAACAGAAATGGTATCTATTGATATAAAAAATTGAAAAATTATAAGTGAAAAATATAAAAAAAAAAAAACAGTAATAATCTATAACTGTATAGTAAAAAAGTTAATAATCTCATTGATTGGTTGAAGATCAACAGCATCGATATATCTATCTACAATTCGGAATGGGTGGATAGTACTTCTAAGTATAAGAAAATTTTGATTTTCATAATGATGCGGGCGAGCAAAGAATTCAAATTTACGGCTTATAACATTATAACTCTTAATCGTGAGCAAATGACTAAGGTATGAAACATAAAAAGCTCAAATTTTCAAACAACTAATTACATATATTAACGATTTTTTTTTCACAAAAGATTTTTCAAACAACAATGAGTTACTTCACACTCTTAAGAAATTTTGCGTAATTTTGGCGAAGTTCAATGTGAAAAAAGAATACAAACGATAAAGATTGGTAAATAATTCAACGTTGGTTACAACTAATTTTTTTAAAAATAACTGTGTAGAAAAAAATTTTATGGAGTATAATTTAATTGTTATATAGTTTTGTAATTTTAGTAAAATAGATTTTTAAATACCTTGACGATGACTTGATGAATAAAAGCACATTCTATTTGGTAGTAAATTACTCCTTTTGATTTTCAATATTTTTTTCAAAATCACCACATTCATGTCAATCTTTTAAATTTAAGTTTTATGATATTCAAGAAGGGATTATTCACTTGAAAAAAAAAAAAAAAAAAAACTCATCGATTTACGAAATTCTCACCGATCAAAAGTTTTTCCTTATTTTTTGTCAGGCTAAATTTTTCTACTAGATTTTTCATGATAATGAAATGAGCATATATGTTCTTGATAGTTTTTAAAATAAATTACTATGAAAAAATATTATTTAAATTATCTTATTAATTCCTATATGAAATTTTTTTTTTCACTAAATAATTTTAGTCATTTCTTTATTTAAAAAGTTATAAGAATTCTAAGAAGTCTTTTAGCCTGGTATCATGATTTATCTAGTTGTCAGCTATAATTGTTCAACAATGCTGTTTCACTAAACAGGACCCTACAATTACATAAATTCGAATTAACAATGATACCTTGTCACGGTAAACTAAATATCATCAATTAAAATTTGAAAACATTACCACCTGTAAGCAATTTTTTTCGTATAATATGGAGTACCGTAATATATTTAGAATTACTCAATTTTTATATCGACAGCTGGAAATATTCTTCTTAATTTAATTAATAAAAAATTTTTGATTTTTCTATCAACGATTTGTCTGTAAAATTTTTAAATACAATAAAAATCATTCACCAAGTACTATGAAAACAATACATAAAAAAATAAAAAAAAAAGCTTCTATTTATTTATAGTATTAAAAATAGTTTCTTTTTAATACATAATTAATAAATTTTTTTTTTCAAATTAAAAATTAAATCAAAATTAAAGAAGATTTGGTAGGAATAAGTGTGAGTGATTGATACTTAAAATTTTCACTTTAACGATATTTATTTATTTTATATTGGAACTTACTACAATCGTTGTAAAATTGAAAAATACGGACCTATTTGCTTGATATATTTTTATACTAATATGTCAAAAAAACTTGATAAATTTCATGATTACTAGTCAATAGTACGATATACTCTCTAACAATCGGATGTAAAACTTTTATAGTCACATGCAGGACTATAAATATTATTAATGTTTTACAAATACATATATTTTTTTAAATATACTCAGTAATAATATATATTGATAATGTAAAACGTGCATGATTTAAAAAATGAAAAAAAAAAAAATTTATAATAAATGTAATCATAATTAATCACGGGGAATGTTCCGTAATGGCTACAATAAATCACATAAAAAAAATTAATCACTTCACCATTTGGATATTTAATTATCACTCAATAGTACGATCGTGCAAAATATAAATGAGATTGAAGAAAAAATATATATATTTATCTCATTTAAATATCGAGGTCAAAAATTAAATCGTTTTTGAATTCGGTTAGATCTAAATTTTTGATATCGATATCGTTGACTTGTGATTTTAATCCGTTATCACTTTTGTTATAATTATAATTATTTTCCTGATCAGATAATTTATGATTCGATAATTTATCTCGATTAAGAATTGACTTTACATTATTATCCACAGCCTTTTCGCCTTTGTTATTTTCATTAGTAGCATTTGCTTTGTACTTGTCGCGATCTTCAGTCTCGGAATTTTCACTCTCACTCATGCGTCTTTCGTGCGCCTGCTTCTTCTTACGCAATTTTCGCTGGTTTTTTTTTCGGCGCCCCAAGATACTTGAATTAGATCTGTAATTATTAAATTCAGTTAATTATATTATTTATATGTTTATCAGGAGTTATCATATAACAGTGTTTTTCAGAATACACAGAAAAAAAAATTTCTTGACTGGAAAATAAAATTCTTGGCTCAAGAAAATTTTCAGCTGCCTGAAGGAAAACCGAAGTTGTATTGGCCGACGTAAAAATTTTTCTTAAAATTCTATTCTTGGTGGAAGTTATTTTTTCTTAATTCAAATTATCATAAATGCTTGATACAATAAATTTTTTAATTTGATCAAGATTCTTAGATACTTTAGGGAATCAGTACTACCTACTTCAGCTGAGAAAAAAATTTTCTCACCTTCAGAAAATTTTTCTCTTGAATATTTGATACCCATTTTATATTATTTTAGCGTGCAATTACACATATTGAATGAAAAAAAATGATTCAATATTATTTGATTTTCCCATTAGACATGTTAATCAATAAAAATATTAATGAAAATTTACTTCTATTTTTATATTTAATTTTTTGGAGCAAGAGAGAAATTTTCTCAAGACAAGAAAATTTACTTCTATCAAGAGCTAAATTTTTTGAAGCAAGATACGTATTTCTTAAAACAAGAGAATTAATTTTGTTTGAATAAGTGAAATTTCTTGTCAAAAAAAATTTTTTTTTCGCTCAAGAAAATAATTAGGAAGAAAAATATTTTCTTGGCTCAAGTGAACCTTTTTTTTTTTCTGTGTATTTAATTTATAACTTACTAATTTAATATTTCATGTTATCTAATCAATCCATATTAATTACAGTCAAGTTCATTAATAAATTATTCATTAAATATTTACATATTACACTAATAAAAGATTAAATATTTAATTTAATAAAAAAATTACCTGAACAATTGTCTGGAGACAACATCATTAAATCTAACAGTCTTTTTCAAACTGCAACAGTCAGACTCCGAATAATGCTCTTGTACTGAGTCATAATTAAAGTCAATTGACGATACCAATCCAGTAGTATCATCAATACTCGATTCCGAAACAGATCTAGAAAAATTACCTCGTCCGTACTTTAAAATACCTCGCGATTTAGTACCTTTATTGCTGCTATCTGGAAGCTCATCGCCGCTGCTTTCAGAAATAGACCTGCACTTCTTCAAGCATTCCCTCTTTTTTTTATCATTAACCCCCGTTTCAGAATACTCATCATCCGAATCCATATGATGATGATTGCCAGCATCATCATTATCTCGGCCATTAGTAACTTGCTCACTATCCTCAGGACGGTCGACTTGAGCACCAACTTTGTTAGCCGCTAGCAGTTCTTCATCTTTAGTTTTCAAAAAAGCCTCATATTTTTTAGTAAAAGATATTCTATGAGGCACATCCCGTGCCTCCAAAAATTCTTGATTTAATCCAACAAAGTAACGAGTCATTTTTTCAGCGTTCTTCATTACAACACTGACAATAACATTGTTATCCCAGGGCTCAACATTGATAGTATCCGCATCAAATGATGACCCCTGATCTAGTTTTAAAAACAATGCATAGTTAACGGGGAAAAAACCTGCACCAATAGACACCAATACGATACATATAGTCGTATTGTTGTTCAAAAATTTATAACGAATTGAGTCAGCGTCAACATTTTTAACGTCGATAACTAGCGCTATCGTATCGTCATAAAAATTACAATTTAAATGCGGAAGTGAATACGTGATATTGGTATTGATAATTGATTCAATGTCTGTTGTTGTTTTTATCTTATGATGATCAGTGGTATTTAAATTTATTTTATCACAATCCACTGATGTTATTTCACTTATCAAACCATTGGAAGCCTCTAGATTATCAACGATTGTTTGTAAATCGTCGAAATGAATTTTAGAGTCATCGGTATCGATGCTTGATGACTCAGAAATAACTGGAGAATGATCGCTCTCAACTCCGCTGTCATATCTGGTGACCTCAGAGAGTTTAACGACCTTTCTAATAACTGGCAGTGTTACTGTTAATTTCTTTTTACTCGTATCAAACTTTGCGTTCCCATGATTTGGGTCAACGTGATAAGGCAACGGAAGCTCCAGGCGATACTTTGCTGGTTTCTCGCTAATTAGACTCAACAAACGCTCCTGCACGTCCAAAGTTGCATCGCCTGCATTACGCAACAGTGGCAAATCAATTATAATAACCAATTTTTTCGGGATTGTTGCATAAATTTTCGAGTTCTTTGCATTTCTAAAGTCTTGAAGATCTAAATCCGTCTGATGTTTTATTATAAATTTAGGAGTCGCGTATTGGACGTCCTCAGAATTTGATATTTTATTATTATTAAAATACTTAGTAGTTGGTATTGGTCGTGACTGTTTTTCGGGGGCCAATACTTTTTTGTTGTACTTTTCACGCGCTTCGTCATAACTCGTGATTAATTTTTGATAAATTTCTGGTTCATACTCTTGAGATTCTTCAGTTGACTCTGACGATTTTTCGCATTCTTTTCTTATGACGCTTGATTGGCTCGTTCCTTTGAAATTAATCTTTGGAAATTTAAGATTTTTTCGATCTAATTTGACCTGGGAAAAAAAATATCATTCAGTACTTGATTATTAAATTAAATAATAATTATCATGTACAGTAATATTTATAAAACCGTATCTTAAATCGATTTTACTTATCAGTAATTAGACGTTAATTGACGATAACATTTATAATTATATGATTAAAAAATAATCAAGTATTATTTTCAAGGACATTGAATGAAAATAAAATTATTATAAAAACAATAAGAGTAACTATAGTGCAGAGAATAATAATTCTAGCAAATTCGATGGCCGCGTAGCAACGCAGTCAGTGCCGGCTCTATAGCTCGTGATTAAAATCATCTTTCTGATGGAGGTCACTCACCTTAAAATTTTTTTCAATACTGTCCAACGCTGTATTATTGACAATGTCTTTAAATCTTGGATTTTTCGATGCTAAATACAGTGTATCAGGATTAAAAACAACGTCAAAAACAGTACAACGTGAATTTTTTTTATCGAGGTCATCTCGCGGCGGTGCAAGGGTATGCGGAATTGACCACTCCAATCCGCGATGTCCACTGTCAGCATTATACGAGGGCTGACTTGTCGGCTTGCCAACACAATCGTTTTTACTTATATTGATAAAACATTTTTTATCACCATTTAAACTAGTCTTTATGACGTAACCCGGCTCAGGGTTTACAAATGTAACATCAACGCCACGTTCACGTTCAAGTTTTTTTATTTCCTCCTGATATAATTTGCGATTTTCAGGATTTGACACTTCTTCAGCATACTCAATAAACAATTTTCTAAATTCATCCTTTTTTAAACACTCATTTAATTTATCAAACTCTTCTCTTGTAACTTCTAACTCGTTCCAATTATCTTTTTGTATGTCACAGGCATCCATTTTCCGGGTAACTGTTTACAAATACACTCAATAACACTTGTACTACTGCCGCTGCTGCTTCTGGTCTTTAAATAAATTGTATAATCGATAGCTATCGATATTTCCTACTCTCGATTCATAGTTTCAGCGATTTGGTTGTCAACTATCCAAAGACGAGGTTTTGTAATGATTCAACCTTAAAGTGATTGAAAAACTCAAATTTATAAATTTTTATTCAATTATTTAAATAATATAATTATTATTGTATCTAAACTTACCTTATTACAGTTTGCGCATGCCCGTCAAGATAAGAATTTTAAAAAAAGGATAACTGTTTTATCAATTGAGCTGTTAAGTAACTATTTTTCAAACTACTGCTGTCACTAGTTATTTATTTCTAATAATAATAATAAATGATTATTTAATTTATTAAAATATTTTATACATATCATACTGAAGTTGAGAGACTTCTGAAAATATTTAATAATTTTTTAACTAATATATATCAAAAAAAATTTATTTTAAAAATTCTATCATTAGAAGCTTGAAAAAATTATAAGTGCAATTTTTTATAAGTAATTATTTAGACCTAGTTTATTATTGAAAAAAAAAAAAAAATTAAAAATTGTCAAGTGTTTGCCAATTTTAATGTCATTTGTAAATAAATAAAATTTATTATAATACTAAAGTTAGCCGACGTTTTTAATTTTTTTATTATTTTTCATTTATTAAATGAGAACTAAAAAATATTTTTAAAAAATTGCACTTAGAGTTTTTCAAGTTTTTTGCAAATGAAAATTTTTTTTTATTTTTCTGTCATGATTTTTTCAATAAAAAAAAATTCTATAAATTTTTAGATGTCGGCTATCTTAATTTTCATAAATTTATTACATTTAAGTTGGTAAATTTTTCAATAATGAAAAAATCAAAAATCTAATAAAAAAAACAAAATTAATAAAAATATGAAAAAAATTATTTATATCTTAAAAGTTAAGTGTAAATATTTCCATCTTTTTTTCCAATAATAAAACTAGTTAAATTTTAATACAGTGAAATTTTTTTATAATAAACTAATAGTTATTAATTTATCTTTAATAGCAAGAATACGAGGATACACACAGAAAAAACTAAAAAGAAAAATATATAATTCTAAAGCTTGTATATACATTTAATAACATGTTTTTATCGTTGTTACACATAATAACTTAGCAATAAAATTTCTAGCAGCTAAATAAATTTAATAAGTAAGCGCGCGAAATTTAAATTTATTAGCGCATGCGCTTAAAAAAATTTATCACTATTTATGGGTAATAAAATCAGCTGATTCTCGCAGTAATTACAGGATAATTATCTAGATGACACTAACATAAATTTTCTGTTGAAAGTCACTCACACATACATGTGGATAATTACACAGTCGACATAAACACAGCTGGTATATCTCTCGGCGAGATTCATCAACTGGCCGTCAGAGATCGCTTTTCAGCTGTCAAAAATTAGCAATTGTGTAAACAATAATCTTAAAACTCACACTCACGTATGAACGTATGTACACTCATAACTCTCGGGTATAAAAACACTGTAATGTTTATAAACAAAAGCGCAGAGCAAGTAACAATGGACAAGTATAAATAAATAAACCGAGGAACTTTATTACCAACGGTTGAAATAATTAAACAAACGCCAGAGGCGCTGTCTACATGATTAAGTTAGTCCTCGTGGGGGGGAACCAGCCATCGTATGTATATGTACCAATGTACCATCAAGCTCAAGACCCAACTAACAAGTAATATAACAACCAAGTGTATAAACTAGCCAAGCAAACTTTCAAGGCCTCTCCATCCATCGAGTATGTGGAGAGTTGAGTGAGAGAAAAGTAACAGAGTAAGACAGGACACGACACAGAGTGCCAGAGTTTGGATATATACACAAGTTGCTCGGGACGTCAGCACGGGAGCAGGACTAGGACATTTGTGTTATATATACCTCCTGCCTGCATGTACATGTCGTTATCAATTGCATTGTGTTGATAGTGTGCGGAGTTTTCATGGAATTATTCGCCATGTGCGACTCCGGGTGTGACTTGACGCGGCGTTCGGCCAGCATCCAGAATCATCAATGACCTAAACCATCAACATCATCTACGAGTCTGAACGTCAACCAACGCACAAGGTCTCCAATAAAAAACAAATAAAATATTTTTTTAATTAATTAACAAGTTTATCTTGATTTAGTGCATTGTATTATATTGTAGATTTATTTATTTATTTATTTATTTAAATTACTGTAAAAAATATCTCAACTGCTGTATTGAATCTTATATTATGTGTACATATTTGTTTCAGTTGTGTGTGTGTGATATCCTACGAGATAGAGTCAACGGGAAGATTGAGAGAGGCTGCTGTTGCTGTTGAATATAGAGAACGGACAGGCAGACAGTGTTGTAGAGGCGGGGACGAGACCCGTGCGCGGTATTGCCCGTCACATTTTATACTTAAACTAAAGAAAAAGGAGTAAATAATATTTGAAACAAAATATAAATACTCTTGGGCCCTTCTGCGGGTGTGTCGGGCGTGTCTTATATATTATATACAAATTTTAAACGTGTTTTATTAACGCTAAATAGTAACCCTCATCACGGGTTTTACTTTACTTACTTACAAGACGGTCGGTCTTGTGTTATTATCATTGTTATTATTATTATTATTATTATTATTATTTAAGTAATAATAATAACAATAATTATTTGGGTAGTGATTTTTAATCGTGCTGTGCGGGTGAAATAGTTGTGTGCTGTAGTAGAGATTTTAGTTAGATAGAAATCTAGTGCTGGAGAAAGAAAGAGTGCGAGAGAGAAGGCGAATATTGAGGATTTAATACAACAGAGAGAGAAAGAGAACACGAGTCGTGTATCAAGATGGCGCATAATTTGGCACCGAGCGTTAACTGCTCGCTCGACGACATCGACTTGAATGCACTCAAGGTATATTATATTTATTTATTTACATGACATTACAGATTATCCTACCTAATTTTTTTTATTTAAATTAACTAAACATCTTGTGTATTTTATCACCTAAATTCACTATCCAGTTTTATTTATCAACTCCGTAAACTCAGACATTTTCTGTCACTCGATTTTTATTTTTTTTTTTTATTCTTATGTTTTTTTTTGCTTAGGATTTAATTGTTGGTCTTTACTTTAAATATCTTTATCAGTTGTGCGTAATTATTTACGGTCTTATCTGTTTCGAAGGGGAAAGTTTTTTTAATTGTTGTGATAGCCTGGCTTTTTTTTTCTGTTATTTTTTATTTTTTTTGTTTATGTTACGTATATGCTAATGAATTATTTTATTTAAAACTTAAATTATAGAATATTTATTTATAAATGGTAATAGTAGGTTTGGTATGTACTAGATACTAGATACGTGAAAACGTGTTAAGAATGTTGAATTGCATTAGAGTTAAACAAGAATCTGGAGCAATGAGTGATGATTGGATTTAAAGAAGCTGATAGTACTTGTCGATCATTGTCATTTTTAATCGTCATTGACACGGATGATTTCTTGTCTACCAGCATCATTATTTTTACTATTGTCATTATTAATTATAATAATATTTTTATATTACTCCTATTGTATTTATACATAGATGTATTTATAAATGTAGATATTGAATATGCTAGAGTGTATATATCCTATTCTAGATTAGATACAAAGTCCGGTTATTCACGAGAATTGTCGGTTGACTTAATCAGAATAATGTAGTAGTAGAATCAAGCAGGCAATACAGCCAGGCAGGCAGGCAAGGCAAGTGTTAAGAGACACAGTCATTCTTTGGATATGCGTCATCAATATGTCTATGAAATATGCTGCCTTTGACTTGCTATCCTGGGATATAATGCTATGAACATGCATTTAACATAACAAATATATTTATTATATGGTCAATGCATTCATTAGTTATGTTAATAATATATTAATATATTTGTCGACAGGATCCAGCGGGTATCTTTGAGCTCATCGAGGTCGTTGGCAATGGAACTTACGGTCAAGTTTACAAGGTGAGATGCTCAAAATTTTTAATAATTTTAATATTAATCTATTTAAAAAAATTTTTTTTGGTTGACTGTATCAAGAGAATGAAATTGTTACACAGAGACTTCCGGTTTGTCATACCGCGATATTTTGGTGCGTTTGTGCGTATACGCGTGTTGAATATTTCACGAAAGTTGCTTACTACTTGAAAACGTGTCTGACGAGTTATTATTGTTGTTATTGCTATTTATTTACTCGTTTCTTTTTTCAATGTAGGCGATTCGCCGGTCAATACAATATGCACCGGCTACGATTTCAGGTTGAGTAGAGACTTTATTATTTTTCATAGCATACGGGTAGAAATTTTTTTTTTTATTCTTTTAAAGCATTAGTACTGGGTCGTTTGATATATAGAGAGGTAAAAAAAATTGCTCTCTATTAACCGGAGAGTTATAAAGCTTTTACGCGAATGTATCATTCATAAAAAATAAATGCACCGTGTGATCTGTGTGTCATTCATGGATGTCGCAACAGTAGTGCGGTTCAGTGATATTAAATTTTTTACTTATCATTTTTTTATCTCTCAACATTCGGTTTAATCACTTTATCTTTTATTCCGTCAAACAAATCTTTCAACAGCTTATACTAAAATCGTTTTGTTTCATTTATTTTTATCTTTTTTAATCAGTATAACTTGATTTTTTAAGAATGTGTATCGATACAGTTTGGAGTAAAAATTAAATTTTTTAATCAACTTGTGGCAGTTATTTTTTATTTTTATTTTTTGCGTACAAAGATTTCGTTTGATCAAAGGAGAAGAACAAAAAATTTGAAATATTGTATGGCCAAGTCGAAGAGAAAAACGCTGGCATGCGGTATAACTCCCACGCGAGTTTGGTACCACCGAGAGACGCTGAGAAAAAAAAGAGAGAAAGACGTATTAAAAGTATATAAAAGTAACTACTACTCTCGCACGCACGCACGTTGTCATCTTCGTCGCCGACGTTTTAGTTGTCTCTTCTGTCTTTACTTGCTCTCATGATAGACTCACCCATCCGTACTGGTGCATCACCGGTACTAGCAACTGAACCGCGAAACTTTACTACCCAAGACTACACAACTAAACACCGGTACACTACATTACACGAGTACACTGTCTACTTATTATATTACTACTTAAAATGTTGTCTTCCTCAACTTTCAACTGCACTACTGTGCTGTACTTTACTTGTACTTTAAATTTTACACTATTAATTCTTATTCTTCCTTATGTTTTGTTGGAGACGTTTATTACATCTTGTTCTATGGTACTACAATTTACTCCTCATAATTCTCTCTCCGGTATATTCATTCCTCCAAAAACAACTTTATGAAAAGTAACCAAAAAAGTATAAAAAATAAAAGCCTTTAGATACACGATGAATTTTTTTTAAAAGGCCACAAAGTACAGTATAAAATTATCGATCGACCTAAAAAAATAAAAAAAAAATTATATCAAAGGTGTATTTTAGTTTCAAGTATCATTGCAAGTAGAGTAGAGTTTGCCATTGATACTTTTCATCTTGTAGGCAACAGTCCACTCACTCTCTTTCTTCTTAACTTTATTTTTCTTTTCTTTAAATTATTTTTTATCCTCTCTTTCTCCCTCTGTTCCCTCTTACTCTTCTCCTCTTAAACTCTTACGACGTCAAGTTCGCAATGCCCGTGGTCGTCGTGTTCTATTTCCGGATATTTGCGAGGGGCAAAATAGCTCGCATGCATCGTATCGTGTGTGCATATCCACATCACATATTATGCGGTACCGAGAACGATGAGAAGCACAAGAGAAAATTTTCCTCGCAACTTCCCGACCTCTGGCATCGTCAATTTAATTAAAATAAATTTACTAGCACTTTTTTTTTTTTTTTTTTTTTTTTTCCATATTTATCATTCTATTTTTCTTCTTCTTCTTCATTTTCTTATATTTATAAACAGTGGGGTTTATAATTATTGTATTTTTTATTTTTATTCCCCATCAATGTCAACCGTATCTATATTTATAACTAAACTTTCCTGGAATGTCCTGGTTAATTTATAATAATCAACGGACAGATAGATATTTTAAATAAAAAAGACTTTGATCGATCGGTTGAAAAATTACGGGGGCGATCGTTCGGTCGATGGTGACTAATAATGTAAGTCTCATGTGAAGATTAAAAAAGCTAGTCGCTCTCACGTGTATTGTGTCGTCTTGAGAAGTATAGAAAATGAAAAAAAAATATTTACTGTATATATGTATAAATTTATTGTATAAGGAATAATATGTCTGTGTGTGATGATTCACATTGAAAAAATTTTACCTTGTGCTTCTCGTCCTTGTAATGCGTGGGGACGACTTAATAAAATATATATATATATATATTTATATACATAAAAATGAAGACTTAAAGACAGTAGTCAAGTGTATATTGTGCATTGTGAAGCCATTATTCTTGGGGCTTCTTTGAATTATACCATAGAAACAGGAGAAGCTTGACGCTGCACATTTGAATAACAAAAATAATGTTTCATAGATTATTACTGATGTATTGTGTGTCTGAGAAGTTTAATTTAAGTATTTTATTGAGTTAAAAAATGATTGTAATAAATATTAAATTTTGCGTGGGCATTCTATTAGCTAGCGAACGATTTACTCCCCGAAGATGTCATTGGTACGGGTTTTATTTAAAGTTAGAGATGATCAGCTTTAACAAGGCAAGGGTATGAGTGAATAACGAGGAAGAGAAATAGCGGAGGTAGTTTATAAGGCGTTTGGGAAAATTAAAAGTAAAACAAAGTAGCGGTGCCAAAATATAAGTCAACGACCTGACAACCTCTATCCGGTCTATTGAAACTAATGATTGTTCTCAGGGGGAAGTAAAGAGAGGCATGAGAGAATTTCTCGTAGCTTTCGCTGCACAAGACTTCCGATTTAAAATGGAGTTATTTTTTTTTCCTTTTAGTTATTTTACTTTGAGAGTTCAAAGTTTAGCCAAGGAGTTGATTAATAAGAAATGAAGGATTTATTTTATCGCGGTTAACTTATAGTACTATATATTATTAATTTATTATTCATTATATTATCAAGAAGATTAAAATTTAAATATTCATGTTTTAATATATTCTCAAGTATTATATACTTTAATCCGCTGCACTTTTTTAATACATTATTTTATAAATTTATTATTAGCTTTATTTCTTTTTATAAAAATTGCTGGAAAAAAAAATATTTACAATTTAATTGAATAATTTAATTCAGTTTAGTTTAATGTTTACTTTTTTTTTTCCCCCCTCGACAAATGGCTGATAAAAAAATTAAATTCATTATTTTTATTTTATTTAACTACTCTTTTACATCCCGGCACTTGAAACTCCAGGATAAAAAAATAATAATGATAATAATATATAATGTGGATTGTTGACGAGTACACTTGAGCCTCAAATGTGTCGTTTTTAAAATAAAACGAGTTGAGACACATTACACATTACATTATGTATTTTATTTCATGATGTGATGTGTAAGTGATGGACTTGAATTTTACCGCAGTACTTGGGTTTATCAGTGAGTACGGTGGATAGGAGGAAAAGCGAGAGGAAAGACGAGTAGACGACAAGTAATATGTATAAAGAGAGAATCAAGAAAATAGTATAAGTATACGTATTCGTATGATAGAGTTTAACCAAGTACGAGGGAAAGAGAGAGAGAGAAAGCTCGTATCGTGGGGAGATTGGAGCCCCCTAGACGGTTGGTTTACACCGTCTTACGTGTATTTCATGCGTATATATGTATATGGATACATAGTTACATACATACATACAAGTATTGGAGTATTGTGTGGCTTGAGGCCGATGACACTGTGTAGTGTTTGACGGCAACGAAGACGACTACGATTCAACGTTATATGTTACCGCGACAACGACAATGATAGCAAATATATACCTCTATGCATACATATAAATACAAATACTTTACATATATGTCCATACATTTATACACTTTACGTATATGCAATTTATATACACATATATAGATACAGATATATATTTAATAATTTGCGCTTGCGCAAACTTTTACACGATTTCATTTATGACACACGGCATTTAGATGCATCGGTATGATATTGTCAGGATATCATTGCACAAAATTCCATATGTACATATAAATCGTTTTAATTAACATACTTTTGTCATGCCGTTTATTAAAGTAAAAACTGTATATTATTAATAAAGATAAAAGTAAGAAAAAAGAAAAGGACATAACGGAAATCGAAGACCTAAAAATGTATCCTCATTTCCTCATGTTACGCTTATTTGCCTCCGGATATAAAATTATATATGAGTATAGTTTATTTGTACATACATAAATATATATCTATATATCTATGGTGATACCAAGAAGGTTTGGTTTTGATTTCAAGCAGTGCTAGGCTGTATATGCCATGCTCCGTACATCTAAACTCAAAACTTTTGACATACTACATACAGCCGTCTGACATTACGATGGTATTGAAAAGTTTACAATGAATGAAAACCGATACCACGTCTACCATTATACAGTTTGGCTATGTATGCCTATATATTTAATTTAATAACATAATATGTATTCGCTATCGAATATACATACGTGCATAAGCTATTATTATTATTATGATTATGATTATTATTATTATTGTACGTCTCCGTTCAACTACTCATGCATCTCTGTTCTCTGTTTTACATCACGTAGACACCGTTAGATTGTGTGTATATAATACACTCCGTACCTGCGTTTTATCAACCGTATAAATTTATATTGCTTAATAAAAATATTACCGATGAATTTTTTATTTATTTATGAGTCTCATTAATTTTTTTTTCGCTACAGATATATACGATGTATAAATTGACAGCAATATAATAAAATTTTCGAAGAATTTATAATAAATTTTTTTTTATTACGTAAATTTTTCGTTAATTATTTAGAATTTTTAGAATTATTATTACTATGATTATTATTATTATTATTGTAATTGTAAAATAATTTTTTAAAGTTATGATTTTTTCTCTTAAAATTTGGGACATAAGAATCCGTTATTAAGCTTCTGTTAGAAAAACATAATCCAATCATCTAAGAATTAATCTAGTTTATAATTTCTAATGATTGTTATTTTTTTTACAGGGCCGACACACCAAAACGGGCCAGCTGGCGGCCATTAAAGTTATGGACGTCACGGAGGTGAGGACCTTTGTCTAACCAATACAACAATATTCAGTCAATGACCTTTATTCCATTTTTATCTCCCGATCTCGTATTTACCTTCTTAATTACCATTATTAAAACTCCATAAAAATACCGATAATTATCGCGCTTAAAAGTTTAGCGGTTGAAATAATTTTTCCAATAAGACTACAAAGACTTGATTACTCACTTATAAGTATACTTATATTTTTAAATGTAACTTAAACTATCACTAAAGTTAAACACAATTGTTCACATCGATAATAATGAAACAATAATTTACTATAATGACCCAGCATATCTGATTACTCATACTCGAGATAAAAATTTCCGAGAATCTCATGAGTTTGTTAGTGATTACCGAATATCTAAATTAAACAGAAGCCGCTTTTATGACTCCATTACTTCTCTTTCTTTTTAATTATTATTATTCTCTGACATTCTCGATTTCCAATTAATCGGTTAAGAAAAAAAACCCGTTGATTACAAAATAACGCAACAGTAATACTATCTACTCTTTGCGATGTTATGCTACCATAAAATAGCGATGACCCTGCATCAAATTAAATCTCAACACATGAGTGTGCATTTATTTGTATCCGGTATGCGTTTGAACAAACGATGACGTGTTTTATTACGAATCACTTGATCATATGATTTCTAACTGCAACAATGCTAATCAACCTCAAGAATCATTGAATCTTATAATTATTAATTTATTTAAATAAATAACCGAGCGCGTAAATACATAAATGAGTAACGGAATTAAATCGTAGCATTTAAATAAAAAAAAACTAAATCTCTATTTCATTTTTCTTTGATATAACGCCTCAGCTAATCTTGACTCTACTTACCTACTTAACGACTGATACGTAACATCGTTTCATGATCTTTAGTACTACAAGCTACAAGAAGTATAAATCCATATCTCTTACTTTTTTTGCTGGCTTTTCTATTTTTATTTTTTTAAATGGACTTTAATTGTTGGACAAACAAAATTATATACATTTGTAATAATATTTTAATTAAACTTGTTAACTATTTATAAATTCAGCTTTCTAATTAATTTATCCGTTTCTTACATTTATTAAGATATTAATTATGGTAATTTTTGTAATAACTATGTTTGTTTTATTGCAGGACGAGGAAGAAGAAATAAAACTCGAAATAAATGTCCTCAAAAAGGTGAGCGATAAAAATTTTAATTAATAAAAAAAAAAAAAGGCATTTATTAATAAATATCTAATAATATTAATTCATTTTTCAGTACTCAAATCACAGAAATATTGCAACATATTATGGAGCTTTTGTTAAAAAATCACCACCCGGGAAAGATGACCAGCTGTGGCTGGTTATGGAGTACTGCGGGGCTGGCTCGGTCACTGATTTAGTTAAATCAACAAAAGGCCAAAGTTTAAAGGAGGAGTGGATCGCTTATATCTCGCGAGAGATTTTAAGAGGACTCAGCTACCTTCATAGTAATAAAGTAATTCATAGGGATATCAAAGGGCAAAATGTATTGTTAACAGACAACGCCGAAGTCAAATTAGGTAATGTTTTTTTTTTTTATTTATTTAATTTAATTTAATTCAACATATATCATGCAATAACTTAAACATTAATTAATTATTTTTTTTTCAGTTGATTTCGGTGTAAGTGCACAATTAGATCGTACAATCGGTAGAAGAAACACATTTATTGGTACGCCATACTGGATGGCTCCTGAGGTTATCGCATGTGATGAAAATCCAGACGCAACTTATGACAATAGGAGTGACCTGTGGTCTCTCGGTATCACGGCACTCGAAATGGCCGAATCACAGCCTCCTCTCTGTGATTTACATCCCATGAGGGTAAGTTGAATTCTACCTCTATAATAGCTTCATTTAATTAAAAACAAAAGTACATATTAATGTTATTTGAATAATTGCAGGCCCTGTTTTTAATTCCACGTAACATGCCGCCGAGATTAAAATCTAAAAAATGGGCCAAGAAATTTCACGGTTTTATTGAAACGGTCCTAGTAAAGGATTATCATCAAAGGCCGTATACAGAGCAGCTACTAAAGCATCCATTCATCCGGGACCAACCAACGGAGCGTCAAGTAAGGATACAGCTGAAAGACCACATCGATCGTTGTAAGAAACGTAAACAGGAGAAAGGTAAGATAACTTTATCATTTATCTATTTATCATAATATAAACTAAGCATCCTATCCCATCTTCATCCATCTATCAACGAACTTGATAACTCTTGAGCAATATTTACTTGCTGATTTATCAAACAATCACTGACTCTTATCCATTATCCATTATTATTATTATTATTATTCTGACTAAATAAATTTATTTATATGTGTATATTTACCTTTTTTTTTTTTAATCATATTTAACCTTTATCAATTTACGCTTTTTTATATATTTATTTTATTTATTATTTTATTATCGCAGAACGAGATGATTATCGGTACAGCGGTAGCGAAAACGAAGAAGACGAGCCAGCGCTCGCTGGTGAACCATCGTCAATCGTTCAAGCACCTGGTGGAGATACTCTACGCCGTAACTTCCAACAGATTCAAGAAGGTAGAACGTTGACCCAGGACATTCCCCAGCAGCCGGCGCATCCGAACAAAGAGAAACAGTCTAGTAGAGGCCAAAGAGAAATTCCAGAACCTGGTCCTCCAGCACGACCGGCTATTCCTCACAGACTTATCGGTATGTGAAGAAAAAAAATACACTGCAATTTAAATTAATATAATGAAATTACAAAAGAAAAATACCAAGATCTGCTGAATGTTTAAATTTATTCGGGTCAAATATTCTTTGCAATAGAACCTCAACCGCCTTCTCGACCTCTACCGCCGACACCTCGTGACGATCCAAGACAACCGCACAAAGTATCAACTCCACCGTCTAATCATCACTCAGCAGTCAATTCCGGTGGAGCTGGCAGTGGAGGATCAGGTGGTCAAGCCGCTCCACAGCGAAATAGCCATATCTTCAAACCTATGGTAAGTTATATTTAGTCGCAATTACTATTGTTATTATTACCATTGTTATTATTTTTAAGTAGCTGTTAAAGCAATAGAATAAAAGACAATAGATAAGTTGAAAAAAAAAAAAAAAAAAAAAAAAAAAAAAATCAAGGTGACGCTGCGAATGCACGTTTACTTTTCTGAGACAAACGGCTAAGCGTTCGAACTTATGATGCAGTATTTTAAAATAAATAATCATTATTCTTATTATTATAATAATACGTTCTATGATTCTACTTTTATATTTTTGATTCACACACCTCTGAGTATTTATCTGCTAAACAATAAACTTTTCTAGTTTATTTTCCCTATATGCAGTGCACGTACAATTTAATTCCACACTATGGCATATTATATGATTAGTGGCTGCATGTAAGCGACTATTTTTTTTTTTTTATTAGAGATACAATTATGTAGTCCCCCGCCGTCTTACCTCACTCGTAAGCCACATACATTTGCATCGATGATCTATATCTATCTATCTATCTATAGTAATCTTTTTTCTATAATTGTCGACGTAAAATGTATATGGCGTTTTTTTTTATTATTTTATTTTCTTTTTTTTCCATGTTCACATGTAATCTGTAGCTGCCACCAAGAAGGCCGGAGGTAAGAGCACACTACACTATTCCTCTCGCTTTTGATAACTTATTTTATTGGATAGTATTTTATTATTAATGGGATTTATTATCTATGAAAAAATGATACTCTTTATTTTCTGAACAATTTAAATCTTTTTTAATAAGGTCTGCATGTTACTAGTTATAATTTATTGCTAAATGTCTCTCTTTGAGTGTATATAAATAATTATTTATCTATACATGTATAATAATGTCCACGATATTATCCAACGCTTTATGCTTTGCTCTGTATAAATAACAAAGAAAAAAAAAATCGGCTTTCACTAACAAATTCTTTTAACGTTTTCCAATAAACATTTCACGACGTTTTAAATCAGTCACAGCCATGCTTTTTACCTGTTGATAAATTTTTAAAAAACCGTTTACATAACTCGCTTAGCTGAGTAGAGAGCTATTGAAAAATAAAATTAATAAGATAAATAAAAAATATATATTTCAATAACTTGATTGAGTGTTAAACTCTTATGTTATATTTAATTAAAATCAATGTTACGTAACAATTCTCTGGTGATTTAATTTTTATTGCTAGATAAATAATACTTATCAGCTTGAGCTTGTTCTTGTGATTTTAAAAATAAAATAATTATGGAGAAGGCTAACAAATGAATTAAAAATAAATCAACTAGCAATTGTGATAATAAATAAAAATGGTAAAATGACAATGTGACTAACGGGGTAACGTGTGTGCGCGTTGGGTGGTAGGACTTGGACATGCTGTGTGCTCAACTCAACGAGCTTGGTGTGTCACAGGGCCCAGAAGCCCCGCCGAGGCCCAATCGACAACACAAGAGCCCCGCACCGGCACAGTCGACAAACGCGGCACCGCACTCGGCTCAACCTGTCGCCAATAATGAACAGAACAACAAACAGATGCCTCAATCCTCCAGTATTCTTGATCAAGTAAGCAAGCCATACAACAACATCAACGACAGCAGAAAAAAATTTAAAAAAAAAACAAAAGTTGAACGGTTTAATAAATCACTTAAATAAATAAATAAATAGAAAAATTATGCTGCTCACTACTCAAGATATACAAACAAACGATAAACAACCCGTTTAATTAGTACGGTACCATATTGTACCTTCTCTTTATCTTTATTAATACCTTCTTACTTATATGGTATTTGTCATTTTAGATTTATATAGACATATATATACATCTTTTATTGTTATTATATGGGTTTTTATTTTCACTGTCAGCACTACTATTTTTTGGGTTTCTTGTGGATTGTTTAATTTATTTTATTTTATTTTATTTAAATTTATTGTTCTTTTAAAGTTGGATGTAGTTTTTTTATTATTTGTGATAATTTTAAATATGAATTAATAATTCATAAAGTAATTAAAATAAGTTTTATGAATAAAATTATAAATTTTCCAGACACTATCAGTTGAAAGTGACAGTGACGACGATTTCGAAGATGCTACCGGAAATAATGCACGAAATGACGGAACACTATTAGCCAGTGATCCGCCAAAACCTCTGTAAGTTTAATTGCCTTATTAACAATTGATGTTTTGAATTAAATATTCAAAAACAAAAACTCATAACTCATCTTTCATTTTTAATTACTCATCAACTGACATTCAACTGATTGATCTACGGTAATATATATTTGCCGTAAAAATCATCGAAAATCATCATTAATCGTCATTGTCGTCTCATCTCTAATCGCCGATGAATTATATATTTCTGTGGCACGTCTACCAGTCCTGAATTTGCTTTCAGACCGTCTTCAGATTCATCTTCATCTTCCTCGCACAATGCCCAAAACCATCATGAAGGTAAGAACAATAATTTTACGTACAAATACGACAATAAGTACCAACAATAACAATAGTAGACTATGAACAATGAAAGTGTTTTTTTTTTCTTTTATAAAACCTAAAATTTAAATGTTGAAAATAAAAACTAATCGATATCGTATTTCTGTTTATTCATTGTTGTTACTTTTTCAAGGAGGAGGCGCGCCAAATCGACCGTTACCACCAACTCCAGACGAAGAAGAATCTGGTGATCGTACGCTAGTCATGAAAAGAGTGAGTAGCTTATCCTTGTTAGTAGCGAGTGCAAGTAAGAACTTAATTATCGTAGCTAATTTTGCATACATATATATATATGCACTATTGTATATGTATTGCACTGCAGTGTATCATTTTACACGTTACTATTACGTCGTATGACTGTTTATATACGTAATTATTATTTGTTTATTTATTTTTTTTTTTTTATTACTATTATTATTTTGAGTACATAAGTGACGATAGACTGCCATCAATTAAACGGTCCACGAAAATTTCCCCTCTACCTTTTCATACATTGCAAATCATCGAGGTGATGCAATCAGACGCATGAACAAGTAATTGTCATCAAACTGCCATATACGCGTTTGTAAAGCCTCTCTCCAAGGATCTATCTCCACGATCGATCTAGCGATGATATGTAACTTTCTGAAAGGACAAAAGCCTCCGATAATTAGTAACACCGACGTACCAGACAACTATTTATACAGTTTCTTTAGCAGAGTAAAAATTCTTTTTACATCTATTTTGTATTCATATTATATATAGTTTTTTTATTCATAAATCATAAATCATATATAACTTATTACAATAATAATACAAATGAAAATAAATTTACAACAAAAAATAAATAAAAATTCATAATTTTTTGCAACATAAAAATAATTAAACATGTAAATTTATCTTAATTAATTAACTAATTAAATTAAAAATATCTTACAGAATAATGACACTGAAACGGGTCCCTTTACAGTAAATCGTGGAGTTAAAGATAAAGATGCGTTGGGCAATACGACTTCTTACAAAAAATTGCGCGTTACTAAATATTGGACTCAAAAAGAATGTAACGTAGTATCGGGCACAGATGCAATAACTTGGCCACCAATGACTGAAAAGTTACCATACGTAACGGTATACGAGCCTTATATATGTCGGTATGTACAAAAATAATTATCTACGTTTTTTTTTCTGCTATTATTGTAATAAACAATTATGTTAAATCACTGTATAATCACACAGCATTAGCTAATAACTAATAATTAATAATTAATATACATACTAAGTATTGCAACATTGTACTGATAAAAATAACACAAAATATAAGTCAAATAATATTATGCAAATTACACGTAATTGTGATTGTAATTCTAATTATAAATAATAATAATAATAATAATAATAATAATAGACAAGTACGGCCCCGGTTTAAAGAAGAAGTTACTTTGAACGGCATAATGGGCTACCGGTATGAAATGGATGAGAGTACTTGGGATAAAGAAAACAGCGAATGTTACTGTCTACCTAATGCAAAAAAAGTACCGCAGTGTCTCAAAACCGGTCTTATGGATATCGTCAAATGTCAGGTTTTATTGATGTTTATTTATTTATATTTATTATATTATTTTAATAAATGTTTTGTTGTTTTGAAACTCATTCATCATCAATTTAATATAAACAGACAGTGACGTTGTTTTACGCACGTTTTTTATGCGTCATCGTTAACTGTCAAAATATTTTCATTGTATTTTTGGTAATTATTTAGAATTGTTACTTCGCATAATTATTTTGATAAAATAAATTTTTTTTTTATTTATGAAAATTGGTTAAATTAAAATTTTCAGTCAGTACTTAAAAAATATAATACAATCAAACTATTTAATAAAAATTTTTAGACTAAAAATTATAAAACTGAAAGTAATTTATTTTCATTCGAAAATTTTTTTTTTTTTCAAAAATTTCAAACTGACATTTCTAAAACTCGAATAAGCAAAAAAAATTTTATTAGGATGTACCGGTAATATTTTCTGAACCTCATTTTCTTCACGCGGATCCAATTCTCTTGGAGTACGCTCGCGGGTTGAAGCCAAATCCAGTCGAACACTCAACATACATAACAATTGAACCCCTAAGCGGAGCTCCACTCAGCGGCGCTAAAAAACTTCAACTCAACGTTAAAGTTACACCATTACCTGGGATTACACTGCTCTCAAATGTATCCACTGGATATTTTCCAATTCTTTGGGCCGAGGAGGTATTTATTAACTTATTCTCTCTCAATAAATATCTCAATGAATGAATAAATTAGACAGCCTAATTTATTCACCTATTTATTTATGAATCAGCTAATTAACGGTCTATAAATTTAAATAATCAACTGAAAGCTTACATTATTGGTGTATATTATTAAATGCCGGTAGACTATCTGCAAGGCCAGTTGCCATGTGTGTGTGTGTGTGTGTGTAAAAAATAATAAATTACAATAACGATCCACAAAGCTGATCGGATTTTATATAATATCCTTCATTATTTCATTTCATAATAATTAATTCTATAAATTGCATTTATAATTAATGGTTATCATTTTTTTTTTAATTCTTTTTTTATTGTGAAAATTTTAATTAAATATTGAGAAATTTTGTTGTCTAATCGCAAAATTTTAATAAAATTTTCGTTTTATTTTTTGTAATAATTTGCAACGGGATAAAATAACTCTGATAAAAAAAAGTGTATAATTTTATGTGAAATTTTCACTAATATAAAAAATTATTTGAAAAGCTTATAAAAATTATTCAAATTTTCTAAAATTTTTTAATAAATTTTGAATGTTAGTACAAATATTACTCATAATTATACACTTTTTTCAGACATTAATTTATGAAATCATGTTTGTATTTTAAATAAATATTGAATTAAATTATTCTCAACGTAAAAGTGTGTAATATCACTATTCTTACAAGTGATTTTTGCATAAATTACTAAGTTTCAATAATAGTTATAATTATAATTAATAATAATAATAATAATAATAATAATAATAATTTATAGGCAAAAACACCAGACATTACAGAACTAAGATCAATGATAAACGCTCATCGTCTGCTGAATGTCTTTAAATTCATGACATGGGTACCAATAATTATCGGATCATTCTTAATAATAAAACTGCTGTGGTGTCTCTGCGCTGCTAACAGTGAAGAAAAATTAATGGAGACAAATCATACCCCGATACAAGCAATAAGAATATCACCACGTTCACGTCCGATAGTACTTGAGCCGAGTCAGGGATTTGGCTCCATAAGACCCGCGAATCGTAATCGTCGCAATATCTTTGCTAAGTGAAGGCCGTGTGACGTATTACTCTTTAGTTGCCCTAATTATATTTTTTTTCTTTTACTAGTGATTACAATTATTATAATCATACGCTGTAAGATCAACAAGATCCTTGATGAACACATGAATTAATGTGTACAAAGATGTATAATTCCTTAAACTCGCATACTACTACTTGTTAAAATAAAGACAAGTAGGCGTCGAAAAAAGTTGGGTTGGAGCGACACTAAAATTCCACGTGTTCCAAATCACTCGTTTGGCCTTGGATTCAACCCAGCCGGAATTTATTTCTTTTTATTTAAGTTATTTGTTTTGCTTGTTGCTTTTTGCTTTGAAACATATGTAGAGAAAGATTAAGATTTTTGTCGTTTGAGTGTTTAGTTGTTTTTAGCTTTCAGTTTCGGATAAACTTCTCATAGTCTTTGATTATGTCGGACATAGCGACCCACGTGCCAGATATCAATGCGAGAATTGAGAAGACGAAGAGAAATATGTTCTTAACAAGCCTCCAGTAGCACGTACCTAGGTGACCTTCCCAGCATGAAATTGTCTCAACGACAACCGGGATTGCGATCCCCAGAAAGGAGAAAAATACTGCGCCGACTAGAGAGATAAATGGCTCGAGATTCGGTATCGCCAGAGCGATTACAACTGTAACAAAAAATATCGAATATTATTGACTAAGCTGTTGCATTTAATTCTTTAATTTTACTAATTTATTTTTTAGTTAAAATTCAGCAGTCAAAATTTGACATTCAATACACTGATGAAAAATTGACTTTATATCAAAGAAATAATTCAAAATCAAGAAGAATATTATTTTGACGAATTAGATCACCTTCGAGAAAAAAAAAATTAATTCTTTAACTAAAAAATTGGTCTTGCTCTCTCAATTCAGGATAATGAAGTTGATTTTTTTCAGTGGATAATTAATAATTATAGCGACTGATTTTTTGTTTGCGTATTGTTAATGCATGTATGGATGTGAGAAAAATAATGTACTGGTGATAATTACCTGTAAGCAGAGCCATTATTATTCTCCATATTGTTTCGCCAACACCGCCGTACTTGTGGCTCAATCTAGATCTTACTGCTAGTGATGTTATTTCGAGTGGAACGAAAAATTGTAGTCCATAAGTAAAGAGAATCGCTAATGCAATTGTTAATTTAACGACCTGAGCGAATCTGAAATTTTATTATGTAATTTAGATTTTCATTTATATTGTTATTATCTTGTGTACTTGTTACTGTAAGTGATAGCTTAAATAATGTCTATAATTAAATTTGAGAAATTAAATTTTTATGATATTTCAAAGTTAATTAGAAAAAAAAATTTTTTTCTACTCTTGATATTTCTAATTTTGTCAAAAAATTTACAACTCAAATTTTTTATAACATTAAATTTTTTTTTTTTGTGTAATAAGCTTAAAATAATTTTTTTTTTTTATGAAAATTGTTAGATGTAAATTAAAAATTTGGTAAATAAAGCAATGCTTACACATCATCAACAGCTAAATTGAGAGTAATTATTGAGGCCGTTTCTTCGCCGTATTTCAAGTATCCAAATATTCCCATAATCGCGTACAAAGCAACGACAATAGTCATAGTTATGTTAAGAACACTTGGGCAGCCTAAGAAGTGGTGGGGTTTTTCCATGCTGTTTTCGATTGGCATTACCTGGTGGTGATTAAATATTTTGTATAAATATGAACAACCAAGTAAATATTATTATAACATAAAATAAAGAAAGGTATTTAGTCATAAGTCATAACTGTCGTACGTGATATAATGATAATAAAATTGAAAGAAATGAATGTTATCAAAAATTTCAATAATAATCTTGTTTTATGATTTATTTAAAGGTTAATAACATTATCATCCATTACTTTTATTGCAATGTAGGAATTTAGCAAGATAAATTTACGATATTTCAACAAGATAATCTTAATCGAGCAATGAACTTTTTTTATTACTGTGGGAGACAAATTTTTTTAATGAAAATATTATTTTATTACAGATAATTATTCCTTACCACACCGATTCCCTCGATGGCGAAAATCACAGTGGCGAAAAATTTAGGAAGGTTTTCGAGTTTAGCGATGTACTTGATGTCACTGTGCGGCTCAAAGTCTTTAAAAACGTAGTAGAGAGTACTTGCTAATCCGACAATCATGAATACATTTGCGAGCGCCGAAAACGGTATCAGATATCTCAGATTACGTATTTGAGATAGTAAAATACACGCTGGTATCAGCGCTAATATGTATAGCCTTATGTTTATGTCTAAGCCCGTATGATAATCGGTGATCTATTGGAGAAATCAAAACAAAATTATTATTATTATTTTATTTAAAATTTTGTGTTTATTTTTAATCGATTTACATAAAAAAATTCACCGGTAAAAATTACTGTACTGCTATAATTGTCTTCATTTCGTATTTAGTTGAAATTTTGGAGCTTATAATAGTAAAAATATTTAAAGAATCAATGACACTACGACTTTAAAATTCTTTACACAAAGTTTTTTTTTTTTGTTTTTTTATGTAAAATTCAAGTAAATTTCATGAATAATTAAAAAACTTCCTTTCTCATGAAAATTTTATTGATCAAAATTTAAACTCGAAATTCTGAGCTGAGAATTGAAGATTCGAAAAAAAGCACAAAGATCTTTTTTATAGAAAATTAAATTTTCTATAAGTAAGTTCTTTGTTAATTTTTCCGTACCTCTAATCTTTTAGTCGGAAATCGAGTTAATAGTCTTACGACTATTCAAAATTATTTGAATATAGCACGGTAAAATTTTGTATCTAATAAAAAATTGTTTCAAATTTCAAGTCAAAATTATGAGTTAAGAATTGAAGATACGAACAAATTGTAAAAAGACTTTTTTTATATTTTAAATTAAATTTTCTACAAGAAAGGTCCTTGTCAATTTTTCTATATCTTTAACCCTTTAGTCATATTAGTCTCAAGAAAATATTTTTGGATTATAACTTTTCAGGTGAAGTCTTGAAGTAAATTTTGTGTTCATACAATTTTTTATCTTTTTATTCTTTCATTTCAACCGAGATTCAGATAACTCACCTGTTTGATAGTCGTTGAAATAAATACAACGTAAACACAGGCACCGCCAAAATACGTACAGCACAGCGCAATATCTACGGCTAGTTTCATGAAATTGGCGTACGGTCTTAGCGCCTTAGGCCCACACGCAAATGCTGTTTGGGCCGTTTCAGAGTACGTCATTTTTGGAGTTTTCGTCCGCCTACAGAGGTGATGTGATGATCTGACGAGAATGTGGACGCAGTGTCCGCAGAGTATCCCTATTAGCAGTGTGCCTATTCCACCGAAGAGGAGACCGCCGTTTTTTAAGGCGTTTGGCATCGCTAATATTCCCGAGCCGAGAGATGACTTTACCATGTGGACTAGCGATCCTAGGTCACTGATGTCAAATATTTATATTATAATTATTATCATTAGCAATTTAGTGAATTTTGGATGGTCAAAAATAGATCGGACTGTTTTAACTAAATAAAGCCGATTTATTTTACTACAATAAAGTAGCTCACACTATGATATGAAAGCATACTTTCAATTTAAATTGAAAGTTTTATTTTAAATCCGAAATCGAAGAGGTTGAGGGTCGAGGTTTAGTTTCCCAATCAGTATTTTATTTATACTTGTTGAATCTCTTTAATTTTTTTCTAACCGACTATTCGCTTCTTAACGCTCACCAACTTCGTATTACATGATTCGATCTTTTTGACTTTATTAAAACTATTATATCGAATGATTTTACTTTCGAATACACTCTATTCAATATTTTTAAATTTACACTTGTAATAGTATTAAATTTTCTGATAAAAAAAAAATTTGATATCTTTTGAAAATAATAAATAAAAAAATTTAATTATTTAATGTTTTTACAATTATTAAAAATTTTTCTACCAATTTTGTAATAATTAATTTTATTAAAAACTAAAAATCAATTGACATTGATCCGAAAAAAAAATTTTTTATCGGTGTTTATTATTGATCAATGATTATAGATTTTTTTTTAATCTAACAGATAATTTCGAATGAATCATGTATTTTTGTTTTCATTTCCATCAACTTAATTTAAAAAAAAATATTTTATTATAAAAAAATTTATTAAATAATAACTGAGGCATTTTATTTTCGATAATTTTATTTTAATTACCAATTATTGATATAATTAGTGAAACAATATTTGAATCAAAGAAAAATTATTTAATACTTTCACAATCACGAATCTGTCAAATTAACTTCCAAACTCTAAAACTTGATTTATCTTGAGTACTCAAAAATATTTACATACTGTTAATAAAATAATAACAATATAATCAATAAAAAAAATGTCAATTTTTTCCTCATTATTTCAGGCCATTATAATACTGCACCGAGCGTGCTAATCTGTCTTGAAAAATGAAAACAAGGTGAAATGTAAACATAAAATATAAATATAATATTGATACTTACGAGTAGGTATTTTTTTTATCTCGGTGTTCGAATGGATCATAGAGTTCATCCTTCTCGTTGTACTCCCCGATAGTCGGCGCTATCTTCGTGCTGTTAATAAAAATCAAACGCAAACATATATATCACTATTGTACTCATCTATACGACTAATAATCATGACCAGTTATCTATCGCATAACTTTCTGTGTAATCACTATCAATGTCAGCTGGCTGATTAATCGTAATACTACATCTTATAATTGTGAAAAAATGATCAGAGATATCATCAAACTTGTTGAATAACTATATAATAATTTATTAATTAGATTACAGAATTCCTTGATAAGAACGAAAAATTATCGGGAACAAATATTTGTCTACAATATTTTGAAGTGTATCATAGATATCAAATTTATACTTTATCGATTTAATAAATCAATATAAATGATACTGCGAATTGTTTTTCTCAGGTGTAAGTGCCCGTTAATAATGATACAAACAAAATGTAAACAAGAAAAAATTTATTTAGATTTATTCTCTTAAAATTTTTAATGATCCGTAGATTAATCTCGCAAAACATAATATTTTTTTTCGAAAAAAAATGAATTATCCCAAACATAATACGCTTTATTATCAAACATATATTACGATTAATTTACGTCAGATTATTCACATTACACAATTTGTTTAGTGCGTCATTACTTTTTTTTATCTCAAATCTAAACGTAATTTTATTTTAACCGTAAAAAATCATATTTATTTTACGTTTTTACTTTACTAAATAATATTTTTATAATTGATAAATATACACGAAGAACTTACGTGCTGCTAAACTCCTTCATTTGACTTCCTGGAGTCTCTTTTTCAGAGTTATTTTTCCACATTTTTTTATTATTATTTTGTTATTTTGTTAAAATTTTTTTTTCTGAACCTTGTCCTGAAAAATAAACAAATTTAATTAAAATTATTTTTATCTAATAAACAATTTAGATCGTGAAAAAATTTTATGGACATGGAGAATCAAGAAAATATCACTTTATAATTTTTTAAGCAATAATTTATAAAATAATTGTACCCAAAAAAAAATCTAAATACAAATTTTTAATGTTTGATTTTTAAAATAAAATAAATTTTATTTTAAAAGAATGTCTTTATATATGACCTTTAAAAAATTTTTATAACAAAAAATACTTCATATCTGATGAACAAACATCTTAAAACTTCATTCCATGCCATTAAAAAAAAATGGTAAAACCCAAACAAAAATGAAATAAAGTCTTTATCAATATTGAACGATTAAAGATCATCCTTCTGATAAAAAGCACTCTTAAATGCAAATCTCAGTAAAATAACAGATTATCAGCCCTCATCAAATATAGAACAAAAAAACCAGTTAATTAAAATAAATAATTATAATTGATAAAATGTATGTTAAATAAACAAGAAAAAAAGTAAATTAGACGGAAGAGAAAACTCATTGTTGCAGGTTATTGACTATTTTTTTCCAATTACACAAGGTCATAAATATAATTTCTAATCATCAGTTCACGTAAGTGAAATCGTCGCGATGGCATTGACACAAAATCAAATACGGAAATAAAAACACTATTAATTTACGGACCACGTGTGTTTGTAAATAAAAAGCGAAATCTTTGAATTAAAAACAAACAAACACGTTACTTAACACTAATTAATCGATTAACTTAATTAACAGTTTATTTTTTATAATAGGATCGACAACCGGATGTCGTCTATTTATCAAATTAATGTATTAAAGCAATTTTAATTTTAATTTTTGACATTGAAAAATTCATATCAGTTTTGACATTTTGACATACAAATTAAGAATAATTTTTCCCGAGATTTTAAATCAATGAGATTTTATCCTCGGAATATCCAAGCGTGATAAAGTATAAGTATATCAATTGATTTATTATCATTCTGATAAATACCGGTATAAGAATATTACTCACTAAAATATTATTCAACAAAATTGACAATAAATAAATTTAATTAATTAAAAACTGATCTGAAAATGCAAATGCAAACTTATGAATAAAAAAACTGCGACATGAATTTAAATTATTATATCAGTCATAAAAAATCGAATTGCAAATTAAAATCGACGTTATGTTATCTAGTATGATAATTATCAAACCGCTAATTTGTAATTTAATGTCATGTGTTTTTTTAGTGGCTGCTAATTACAGTGCACTCAATTATCAATATTTCAGTAAATATACCTAACATAAGTCTTCCTTATTATATTACATTAACTTCTGTACAAACAGCACATTATTTATATGGATCACTTTTTTATTTATTAACACGTGCTTAAGTGTAATTAGATTAATTAAATATGACAGCTTGTAATTTAATTGTTATCTCGCATCGGTATCACTATTTTAGTTATTGAATTTTCAATAATATCATCACGATTTTCTAGACCAAATTGTCTAAGTTAAAGTTATTACATATGAAATTTTATCATTTAACATTTTTCCGAGCAAACTATTGTTTATTATTTCACTCTTATCAAACCACTAACTCTACTCCGTGTTATCTTTTCCTTATACACGAATGTGTAAAATGACTAAAAAAAAATTATTTAAAAATTTCTTTATATATTTTACATTCAAATTTCCACTTAAAAAAAAAATTTTTTTTTTGAAACATTAAAAATAAAAAATTAATTTCAAATAAAAAAAAATCCAACTTCTAATTATAGAATTTAATGACATTAGAGACAAATAGACAAATAATAATGTTTATCTAAATCTCTCTAATTCATCTAAAAATAAATAAATAAAACGATGGCATTAAAAAAAATAATTAAAATAAAAAATTACGTACTTGTAACGAGGTTTCTATTAGCCTTAAAAATAATTTAAACAGATAAAATAAAAAAAAAAATTCACAATAAAAGAGTATTTACAAAATACATGGGATAAAGTAAACGTTTGTTGAGAAGGACTGCGGAGACTGTACGTCTCACCTGACGGGCGGTCTGTCACACTCTAGACTAGACCTAATTGTATATACGGCTTATAAAATAAATGACACGTGAAAGAGACCCCGGGGTTATTACGTTAAGCGTGAGCGAGTGTACTCACACTAAATGAATCTCACTCGGGGAGTTAGAGATGTTATATTATTCGCGTTATCACCAATAGCCAAACTGATTACGGATTACATTTTACCTCAAACATCATCATCGCTCTCAAAAGATAAAACATACATTTTTTTATTTCATTGTCTTATTGCTATTATCAACAAAACTTATTATCGTTAAATAAAAAATACCTTTTGTCAACTCCCACTGAGCACACACATATAAATAATTAAACAATTATTATTTATTTAGATCAGAGTAATCCACTTTTTAAGTTCATTATTTTTATTTATATTATTATTATTATTTTTTAAATAAAACGCAGATTTTTAAATCCAACAATTATACTGCGCTGTTCAGCAGACAAAGTGTAACTCGACAGTCTTTAAGTATGCGGTAATATATATACCGAGTATGTAAAACGACGTAAATACACGTGAGGGTCGTTTGTGTTGATAAGTCATCAGTAAAACGGACTCGTTATCATGGGGGGGACCATGTTACGTCCTCCTCATTAATTTCAGAAATATTTAACTAGTCTTATTATTGTCTATGAGTTAAAAATAGAAAAATATTTGAAATTAACTACCCACAAAACAAGCAAAAGGCTTAATAAATAAATAACAGAGGAAATCAAAATAAAATTGTTTGTATTTTATATTAAATAGGGGATAGATCCGTTCGTATTCGCCCGTTAACTACGATTAACGTCGCACATATTATGTTATGCGTTCACACTTTGTCTCCCTTTCTCTTGGGATAAATAGAACCACCACTTCTCATTTAATTCTGTTACAAACAACTGGCACCTTCATCTTTACCACCTCCAATTTCTTCTCCTTCTTTCCTCTGGATGTAAAGCGTTAAATGTAAAATGTAAAATGTAAAATGTGAGTTTCAGCTCTTTCTACTCATACTTATGTATTTAAACTCTTGTATATTTATAATACATAACATTACGGAGAACAAAATCACACGACATAACAGAGACAGTTTATAGAGTCTATAGAAGCTATAACTTAAAGCATGGTAGGGTTAGATTCGATCTATCGTTTTCTCCCGATTATTTTGTCCTCGTTACAATCGTTAGCTCCTACTCTTATCCTCACAATAATTACAATAGTCGGTAAAGTAATGTAACAACACATAGTAACATTACATTGGTAGTCGTGTATGGATACTTTTACTCCCTCGCACCTCTCAATAGCGACAATAGCATTATCTTTATTGCACTTACGGTTTCAAAATCCCATAAGCATGTCTGCATTCTCGATCTCGTTCTTCCTTTCACTTTTTTTCAATACACGTGACTCGTATTATCTGGCTGACCATTTTTTTAACTATTTTATTATTACAATACCGACGATTGTTTCTCTTCTTTTATTTTAATCTCAATTATTGTTTAATTGATTGAATTAACTTTCTAATAAATGTAATTCCTTTTTTTAGCAGGAATCTTTATCAGTTTCTTTCTTTAAGGTATTTATGATGTCGCGTAAATTTTCCACTGCTCCAAATACCTGTAATGCGTATTAAATGTTTAGCTAATTATTATTAATATTAATTAATAATTGTTAACTGAGCCAAGTTTAGATATTTGCGTTGAATTGCCGTGCTATTTTTTTTATCTTCTAGCGTAATAAATGTAAGTATGTTAATTTTTTTTAATTGTTCTGTAAATATTATTAATGTGTTTAACAAAAAAAGTTTCATTAAATTACGTACTTTTTTTATAGTAATAAAAATTCTTGAAAATAATTTTTTTAGGTTTAAAAATTTGCTTTATAAAATTTAAAAGTGAAAAAATTTATTTTTTATACTTGATTTATGAAAAATTGTTATTTCTATAATAAAAAAAAAAAAAATGTTTGATAGAAAAAAAATTTTTAGGGACACTAAATTTTTTACTGTGCTTATAAATAAATATTTTTTCAAAGATCAAAGTCATTAAATTTTATCAATAATTTAACGATTCCTAAGAAATCATAATTATAATTTGTTTTTTGAATAAATAATTTGTTTTTCGTTAATTTAATGAGGAGTTACTACCGTTTACGGAAAATGAAGAGTATTATTCTTTGTTATAAATTCAGAGAATTATTAATGGTATAAAAGTATAATAAAAAATAAAATTTTACAGAAAAAATAATTATTGTGCAATAATATTATTATTTACTTTAGTATCAATTTTTTTCTTCGTATATAATTCATTTCAATGAAGAGATATTCTAAAAAATGTTGTGATTATTTAGGATAGAATTGAATTAAAGAAATAAATTAATTTAAAAGATGACAATGAGTAATAGAATAAACATGTAATGTTTTGGAAGAATGAAAAAAATATTATGCTCGACAAGTGAGATTTCATATCTAGAGTTATCATTTTTTTTTTTTAATTTTCGAATTTGATAAAATTAATAGTAAATGATAGCGAAGCTCCGTCATTTAACAAATATTTCGTTTATTGATTCACGTAATGAGTCAAGAATACTATTCATTATTTTTTATAAATTTACATTCAGAGTGAAATAATATTATTTAATTAATCGAGTGAAAAATTTTTAAATATTTTATAATTGTACAGAGCAAAATTTACTGAACAATTATTATTTTTTAGCAAATAAATCTGTCAAGTATAAATAAAAAAAAAAAATAAACTTACAAACATAAGCAGCCATATGAAAAAAATGATAATATTTTTCGACCATCGGCAAAAGACATAAATAATTGGAGTTTTGTCATACCACTTGGTGGTCATTTCAACTGCAATAGGCATTAATAACATCGTGGTTGTCATACTGAACGCTGTCAATAATCCAAGCACCGGTACCATTTGTGGAACAGCTGCCGCGAGCATTGCTGTAAAAGTTTATCAATAAAAATAAATAAATACTAAGAAAAAAAATGAATTACCGAGATGATAAAAAAAATAAATGGGTTTTCCGACACTTAAATCACTGAGTAATTGTACGATGTATGAATTATGTCTTACTTGAAATGGTTACACCAGCTAATCTGAATATTATCTCACAGGCTTTCGTGCAGTTTCCTATTATCGCTATGTTTTTTCGAATTATCATTGGCCATAGAATACTTACAGGCACATAATAGTGAAGACCGTATGTACAAATGACGGACAATGTTACAACTATTTTAACGAGTTTCGACGCTCTAAAAATTCCAGTATTTTACATTAACATACATGCTTTTTATATGATGTATAATTTATATATACAATCACATGTTATTATTTACTGTTAATAGTGTTAAATGTCATTCATTATTCATTTATTTATTTATTTATTTATTTAATACGTATGTACGAATGCAGGATATTCCATTATTATAATTTATTGATATCTACTCAACCGATTTTATATGTTTATTACTTATACGGGTTTTTACACCGAGTTTTTTTTAAATAAAAATTATAGTTCATTCATTTATAATTCTCAACGTTCATTAAGCTGCTTTTAAAATTCATAAAGTCTTGAATTCTTTGTCAAAATACAATACATGTATAAGTTATATGATTTCAAAATTAATAGTACTTAATTTAGGTTCTTATGAGACTTTTTTTTAGAAGATGAAAGACGTCACTCAGGAGAAAAAATAGGGGAGAAGTACCGGTTTGAGTTATTTTTAAGCAAATTTAAATTTAAGCTATTGTGTAGAATATTATAATGTCAAAATAATATTTTCAAACTTTCAAAACTTTCAAACTTTGACATTTATATTTATTCTTTTGTCAAGATAAAAAATTCTTAGATCGAGTAAAATTTATTTGGATAGAGAACAATTTTTTAATTAAAAATTTTTTATCTTAAATCAAGTTAATTTTTGTTTTTTCAGTGTGTAAAAATTCAAATTGGGAAAAAACTCCATAGTTTTAAGGAAATTAAAAAAAAATGTACACCAGATTATTAATTTTTTCTTTTAAAATTTGGTTCTCCTTAAAATAAACAAAAAATAAGTTTAATTTACAGAAAAATCGATTGAATACTTTGTTGGATATTAAAATAAAACTAATGGAATATTCCACGGCTCTAAATAAATAAAATGAGCGATATTGCGCATTATGTAAAGCACTGAAAAAAGGAATAGATATAATAAAAAATTTACAAGCCTCTCTTGTAAACTGTAGTTATAGCTACTGATGCGTAACGAAATAGAATAAATTGCATAAATAAATGACTTAAAACGACTAATGACTGACTCACATCTCTCCAAATGGCAAATTTTTAATAACTGTATCACAGGCGTCCATGTATTTGTTGTACCCGAGGAATCCAAAGACCATGTAAATGAGCACGTTCAGCATCATACTGAGCGTAAGAATTCGCGGCATGTGTGTCGGGTTCTTCATGCTGTTCTCTAGCGGCATTATCACCGTCATATTGTGAACGGCAAACATAAATATGCTGCTGAAAATTGGTATTGCAGTGATGCCGGTGTACATTGGTAGGCGACTTGGTGATTGAAAGTCCTCGAAAAAGTAGTACAGAGTTATTGTCAATCCGAGGGCGAGAAACGACGCCCCCGCCGCCGAAAAAGGCATCAACCACTTGAAGTTTGGCATCAGTGCGAGGATGTAATAAATCGGCATGAACATTATTATGTAAATGCGAATGTTAATCGATGCGTCTGTTAAATTTTCAATTATCTGTAATTTGAAAAAAAAAAAAAAAAAAAAAAAATATTGAAGTTTATCATACGATGATTGATGATAGATAATAAATAGTTAATTCTCGTGTCAGTAAATTAAAGCGATTAATAAATAGCGATCACTAATTTCCGGTTCTACTTAATTTAATTGTATACCTAAATATTTTACAATTAACAACTTTTTACTCGTGATAGATTTTTATTTTTATTTATTTACAAATCTATATAAACCGGAAATGATTACATGTAAGGTTGATTATATTATTATTTACTTAGAAACGTTGTAAAATAATTTATTATTTGCTTAATCGACGAATCTATTAATCTGTATATCCAGATGATGAATGTCTATTTAAAGCGTATTTCCCTATCGTAAACAAGACAAAATACACGATCATGATTACGAAGATAAACAGCTTCCGGTTTCGCTCTACTGGAACTTAATTTTGTAATTACAGATCGTGATTTTTAATGAAATTTTTTGTTTACAAATCATTTCTATTTTTACAAGTTAATTATGTTGTCATGGTAATGTAATAGTTTCGGGTACTTTAGAATTCTTAAATTACGCTGGTAATATGAATGACCGATGGAAAATTTTTATGTATTAACAATCATAGAGCGCTTCCAATAACGATATCAGCTATCGCGTAGTAAAGTACAGACATATTACATAGAAATTAATATTTTTAACTTCCCGCTAAAAATCTCAGATTTTCAAAAATCGGGAAGTTATTGTTTTCACCCCGTTTTACAAAAATCGAGTTTTCATCAAATCTCAACGTTTGAAGGTCACAGGAAGCTTCTTTGACTATTTTTACGATGATGTCCGTACGACGGTGTGTGTGTGTGTGTTTTTTTTATAGAGGAGGTAAAATACATTTACGTATGCCAGGGCTTGGTGTTGTTGCCAGGACTAGGTGTTGGTGCCTGGGTATGTCGGACTCGGAAGTCAATATTTGCAACAATACCGACTAAACATCCTCCTCTCTCCTTTCCCTATAGATGTTACAGGGATGACTGGAACGGGACCGCGTTAGCATTACTTCAATCCAGTCCATGTTGTGTCTCATGACACCTACTTCTTGTTACTAATTACTGGTTTCTAATCCCTTTCTGCGATTTTTTCTTTTAAAAGGCGCTGCGCGTAGGCTGCGACAGCTGACCAGTTTTCTTCTTTTTTTATCATGCAGGTTACCAAGCTCTCAGGGAAGAGCGTGGTGCCTATTGTTTCTTCGGTGCTGGTTCTCCACCGTCCTTCCACCGATCACACTCGAAAAACGTATGTTCGGCGTTGTCAATTTTGTCTGGGCAGTATTTGCACGTTGGTGTACTGTGCAAACCCATCTTGAAAAGATAAGCATCGAACTGCCCATGTCCCGTCAATAGTTGGGTCAGGAAGAATTCCGTATCCCCGTGCTTCCGAGAAAGCCAGACGTTGATGTTTGAGATCAGGCGCGCCGTCCATCTGCCCATCTCTCCCGATGTCCATCGGTCCTGCCACTCTTGCTGCGTTTCCGCCTTTATCCTCGTACTTGCGTCCTTCATGTTTTCGTCACTATCTTTAGCGTCATAAAGTTTAGCTCTCTCGAACACTAATAGGTCGATGGGCGCGGCTCCTCCGTGCGGCTGTGTGTGTGTGTGTGTTTTTTTTATAGAGGAGGTAAAATACATTAACGTATGCCAGGGCTTGGTGTTGTTGCCAGGACTAGGTGTTGGTACCTGGGTATGTCGGACTCGGAAGTCAAAATTTGCAACAATACCGACTAATTTTTTTCAATTAATTTGATAATGTCAAAATTTACTAAAAAAAAATGGAAGAATTTTTTTTTGTACACCCTTGTGATTTAAAAAAATTTTTTCTCAGTAAAAAAATTAATTAATTTATTTATTTATAAAATACTCTTCTTGAAAAAGATCTTTAAAAAATGATACGATATTAAACATGACCTAAATCGCGTGATAATTAAAAAACTGAAATTCCTGAGAAATGATTCAAGCTTTACACTAATTCATAGTTGATAGTTCTAATGTTGACAATTACAGCAATCATAATAATGACATAATCACAATGCATGATATATGTGTGATATAAGTAAAGTAATATTCGTATTGTATATGAATTATTGAATAATTGTGGGAACAATGACGCACCTGTTGAGTAGAAGTACCGACGTATATCGAGTATATTATAACCGTTTCGTATTGAATGAAACACACGAGGACGTTGGTGAGGATGTTGAAGTGAACAGCGTACTTTCGAAATCTTTCAGGTCCAATCGTAAATGACGAGGATACTATTTCAGCAAGATCCATCGAGGGTTTTTTAAAGCGTCTACAGAGGATGTGTGAGCATTGCACCTAGGGGATTGCGAAATAACAACAGTAACTAAAAAATTAAATGGCTTTTATTTTATTTGAATATAATATATAAATATATTAATTATATTGGACATTGATTGATATTGACTTTTTGATTTATGATCATTAGTGGTTTGTTGTATTTTACTTATTTAATTAATAAATTATTATTATTAATACGATTGTTAGTAAGCGAAAATAATAGAAAGATCTTCATTATCATTGTCATTATTTATTATTGTTGCGTAATTCATATATTTAAAATCCTGGACGTGATATTTATAAGTCAAGAGTAGCGAGAAGAATGCTGGCGCACCCCTTTTATTCTTAAATCCATAACAAGTGACTGACAACATCTTTTCAATATATTTCAATCATTTTTTATTATTTTTGTGACGCGTGCTTTTTGACCGCCGATTTTTTACTGTCGAGGAGCAAAAATCAGCGACGCAAAAGTCACAGGAGATAGCAAAAAATGTTTTTGGTGAATATGATTGGAAAGAACCTTGACAAATGTTCGCAAAAAAAAAAGACATAGAGGATTTAGTATACAGTAATAAATAATGAGAATGATACTGCAGTTTAGTGGACTTACTGTGAGGACTGCGGTGTAGCAGCTTATCAGTCCGATCAGCACGCTGGAAACTAAGGCCGTTACATACCCAGCTCGGCTGAACGCGTGTGGAAGAAAAAGTATACCGCTGCCAATCGAGGCCTTCAGCAGGTGCATAAACACCACCAAGTCGCTAAAAGTTTATGATCACTTTTAATCTTTCACTGTTTTAATGCTTTGTTGTCTTTCATTATTTACTTTGTTGGAAAATTATTGATTATTAATATCAAAATTCAAATTTATTATTTATTTAAAGTTGTGTCAATCATTAGAATGCTTAGCGATGAAAATTTTAATTTTAATATTTTTCTAAAGTCATATTTTTTATTTATAAATTTTAAATATATCAGAAAATATTTTTTGAAATTTTTGAATAAAATGTTCTTTAATTTTTTATTATTATTATTATTCATAATTTAAAATTAATGAGATGTAATTTATGTTAAGTGGATGAATTTTAAGTAATCAAGACAAATATTTTTGGCCGTGAATAATTTGGTATGCGTGTCAAGCTCTGCTTTTAGAAGGCTGATATACTTTTTTTTTTGGTTTTGCAAAACATGTTTATTTCTTACGTCAGTCGACTGCTGCTTTCGTTGGTTCATTGTATCATTGGTTAAGTAACTGATTTATGTTTAATTGTTCAATTTAATACTTAAATTTTTTGCTATTAATTCAAGTCATGATTGAAAGTTGTGTAAATTTTCTTTTATCTTTGTAAAATTAACTTTGCTAAGTTAATTGCTTCGATTAAACCAAAAGAAAAATAATTCCTTTTATTATTCATAGACAGATATTATATGCTAGAAAATTGGCTAGTATTAATCCATTTAAACTATTAAGTTTTATAGATATAAGACTAATATGCGGGCAATTTATCACTTTTAAATGATAAATGCAAATTATGTATCATTAAAAGTTAAGAAACAAATGATTTATTGCCTTAAGATAGTTTTTTCAAGAATTTAGTTCTGAATAATACATTTTATGTTTACACTTTATGATTTTCAGTGAGAAATCAATAATTAATATCTGATAAATTAATAATTTATTTTTTGTTTAATTATTTATGGATAACGTTTAACCAATTGTTTATTATTAATTTGTATAATTAAATGCAATAAGTTTAATTAACTTATTGCATTTGTAATAAGGATTTAATAATTTTTAACACATGAAATTAAATACTACTTTATATATTTCTGCGTTTCGAGTTAAATTCTGTATTAAATAAAAAAAATAAATGTTCAATTAAAAATTTCTATTATAACTAATAAAAAATCATAAAATTACAGACTGCAGAGCGTGACTTGAAACCCTGTAACGACATTGACACAAAATTTTTGTTAATAATACCCAACTTTTATTACAATTAAATGACACATTGATATCAATGCCTTCCATACTAAAAATACTTAAGCATTAATAAAAATATCGGTATGTTTTGTTTAAATTCGGAGAAAAACCTTTTTTTCTTTCTCGAAAGCAGTAAAATTTTATTCGAGTAATTTTAAAATCGACAATGAGCCTTAATTTGAAATTTTAAGCCGCAGAGTTGAAATACCAAACTTTTAGTAAATAAAAAAAATTAGAAAAACGGTTCACTCTAAAGGCCATCCGTGCAACTTCCCGCTAATTCCATTCCTGGGCGCTTAAAATTGTACTTATGACATTTTTGAGATTTTTAAGCTCAAAAAATAATTTATGTGATATTTTGAGCTCGCTGAGTTGAAAGAAATAATGTTTCTATGCATTTGAGCTGTCCTAGCTCAAAAGTTTGATAGAAGTTTCATAGAACACTATTTTTGGAATTTTCAAACCGCAATAACTTTTGAATGGATCAACCAATTTTCACGCGGTTGGCGCCATTCGACGCAGTTTTATCATCCTCATAAGTGATTTTCAGGTTTTAATTGATCGAACCGAAAATTTCGGAGTAATCCCGAAAAAACCCTTTTTTCGGTTTTCTTTCGTTCACGATATCTCTCGAACGAATCAACCGATTTTGATCGGTCCAACGGTGATCGACTCTTAACCTTTTCAAGGTTAAGAGCTGATTAGTTTTTGGAAGTGATTGGTGAAGCCATTTAAGAGATTTTTTGAAAAAATATTTTTTTTGAAATTTTTCGTTTTCGATATCTTACGAACGAATCAACCGATTTTAATCAGTCCAACGGTGATCGACGTGGTTTTTCAAGATCAAAAGCTGATTAGTTTTTGGAAGTGATCGGTAAAGCCGTTTAAAAGTTATTCCAAAAAAACGATTTTTCGAAAATTTTGTTTTTGAGATTTCTAAAAATCTAGCGAACCGAATCGATTCAAATTTTCACGAAATTTAATGGCTATGATACTCTTTGGATCGCCACCGATTTCGATCTGATCGGCCAAGCCGTTCAAAAGTTATAAGAGGTTTACATACATACATACATACATACATGCATACATACATACATACATACACACACACACACACACAGCCGTACGGACATCATCGCGGGAATAGTCAGAAAAGCTTCTTAGGACCTCAAAACGTCGAGATCTGATGAAAACTCGATTTTCGAAAAACGGGGTAAAAACAATAACTTCCCGATTTTTGAAAATTTTCAATTTTCTTAGCGGGAAGTTAAAAATAGGTTTGTTAGTATGAAAAAATAAATGGAATTTTTATAAGTTATTTCCTGATTGTTCGTATTCATCGTACCACCGAATAAAAAAAGGAAATAATACCGCGGATTTTTAGTGAAAATTACAGGAAGCAATCGTGTAATAATAATAATAATAATAATAAGCAGACAAGGCCACTTGTGCTGGTATCCAGTAAGGTTGGTTACTAAATAACCCACATACATACTAACATGTCACACATCCATTTAATTCTATTTAATTGAATTAGTAAATTATAATGGTCATACGAGCTAGGCTGGGTTAAAATCCGTGCCGCGAACGGATCGTACTCCTCATTATCAGATTGTTGGTCATTGTCTTGAGCAACCTTCGGGCCACTGGACTCATTTCTCCCCCGCGTTATCAAGCTTCCACCTCTACTTGGTTCCATGGCAATGAAGATAATAAAATTACAGAGAAAAATACATTAATTGACATGTAATGAGAATAAGAAAACATAAATGGAGTGCTGATAAATGCTCTCCAATTACTATAATTATTATTGTTATTATTGTATTATATTAATGCAAGTAAGTACTCGGCGCTTACTTATCCATGTCACGATACTTCACCACACGATGGGCTCACCACCTTGCAGCCTTACGATTTACAAGGTCCACTTCAAGGAAGAGCTGCTTATTTTACGCTTCCGTCTCTCGGAGGTCGCTAACAGTCCGAGTCATCTAATAAATTTTTAATTTCATTAGACGATAAAAAATATAATAAATAACTAAGTACAAGTTGAATTAATTAAGTTTTATAAAATTATTATTAATTATAAATGTAATATGATAAAATATATAGTGATTGAATTTTAAAAGATTGCAACGAATTAATGAAAGATAAAGTTAAAATGACTTTCCAATCTCGTTGATAATTATTTACATGTATATATATCTTGAATGCTAAAGTGTATTATTATACTGTCTGGACATGAAGTATAACAAGACCGTCACTTTTTACCTCGAAATGCAACACGAATGGTATCAATTATTTTTTACTTTTATGGTCTTTATAAATATTTATTATTTTATTTTTTTTAAGGTAAAAATTTTTCCAATCTAACATTTTTTTTTTTAATTAAATTTTTTTCATTTATAAATGACAATTTATTTCTTAATCATAAATTTTCTTTTTGGCATTGAATTTATTCATTTATTATAGCAGTAAATAATCTATATTATTAAGAGAATAAGCAAACTTTTGTGATCAGTGGTTTCATATCATTCTCACCAATAGTCAATTTATGATGAATAAGTATTTAGGCTGCATTCAAAAATGCTCTATCTCTAGATACATAATTAAGAAATTACCTTGTATCTCGTAAACTATTGACATTTTTAAAGATATAAGCTCATCCTGATGTTACACTCGTCAAGACCTTTCATTTAAGTACCCACATCAATTTTTCATATATTTATATATATTATATATATGTATATATGAAAAATATATCAAAATCCATGTGGGTACTCAAGTGAAAGCTCTTGATGAGTGTAACATCGGAATGAGCTTATATCTTCAAAAATGTTAATAATTAAGGAATTATATTGTATTTTGTCACCTTATGATATTTTTAAAGATATAAGCTCATCATGATGTTACACTCATCAAGACCTTTCACTTGAGTACCCACATCGATTTCTCATATATTTATATATATTATATATTTATATACATATATATTTATATACATATATATGAGAAATATATGAAAATGCATGTGGGTACTCAAATGAAAGCTCTTGATGAGTGTAACATCGGAATGAGCTTATATCTTTAAAGACGTCAATAGTTAAAAAACTACAGTGCAATTTAACAAAAGTCATTATTTAACAAAGCAAAATTTTATTTATTTATAGTTTACTAGTCTCTAAATTATTATTATACATTTAATAAATGCCTATAAAAAGATTTACAAAGAACATTAAAATGATAAATAAAATAATTATGACTATCAAAAAAAAAAAAAAAGCTTTTGATTTAAAAAATCCAGCAATATACATTAAACATTTTGATATATGTTCATAATCCATAAATATAAAAATAAATCCATATATCAGTATGGCTTGATCATGGCGAGTTAGTATTACACAATCGTACTTGACCGCAAATTTACCATGATATCTGATTAATATGACACGTTTGTCCGGTGACGTTTGACAAGTTTGTTTAAAATAATTAAATATGGATTACCGTTTGAATTTATTACACGCAATTTATTATTTCAAAAACTGAGTTATTTTAAAAAATAGTATTTTACTTAAATAGGTAATTACTATAATATACTCACTATGTACTTACGGGCATAAGGATTTATTTATATCTATGTATATGTCACTACAGCTAATAAATATTTATAATAGTAATTATAATGGAGATGAAGGCGATTAAAATGTTGATAACCTGAGTCAGAAGTCAGAAAAAAAGTTTGTTGTGAATTATATGGCAATAGTTTTGGACAAGGCCGCCTTTCGTCTTGGATGTACTCAATTAAATTCAACGTATGTCTGGTTCATCACCTTGCGTAAGTGACAGGAATTTTATCCACGCGTTTGTCATATGTTTACTCTGATATTATCTCATGTAGTTGTTTATATAAATTCTCTATTACCTACAATACATTGATATTATTTTTATTATTTATATATTGTACATATTTGTCGAAGTACGAATTTTTCTTAAAGCAATTTCAAGTGTCTGGGATATTCCACTAATTTTATTTACCTTAAGCTTAGATCTTGATAAATAAAAAAAAATTAAAAAGACATTTTTTTTAAATTACAAATATTGCGTCAGACTTTTTTTAGAGATGATCTATTAATAAGTGTAATTAATGATGTTTTATTTATTGTTTATTTTCTAAATAATGGATTTTAATTGAATTAATTCTTTTAACAGATGAAAGAATATACTTTTGTTTATATTTGTGATAACAACTCTTGATGATAATTATTGAGTGATAAGATTAGTTCACAATAAATGATAGTGACGTTCATTAAATGACTATCAAAGGCTTATAATTATATTATCTATTTTTTTTTTTTTTTTTTTTTTTTTTTTTTTATTGATGTATCTTCTTCATTGTCTTAATAATTTTTATTTATTCTCTATTTGTTGATTTTTTCACAAGAATTTGATGTTTATTCTACCCACTGGTTAGAATTTTATCTGATTTTTTTGAGAGAAATTTATTCACGTGATTCTTTATTACTTTGAATAAATAATTATATAGATAAGCACATCTTTGTTTGAAGAACTACCATGTAAGTGTAATTGAAAGGTCGATTGAAGATAATAAAAAATTTTTAAGTTTATTTTGATTAAATTATACCGCTTTCGTTTTTTATTTTATTTTTGTGGAAAAAATAATTATTCTATTTTATAAATAAGTAGGAAATTTAATAAATTAGCAATATAATACATGACGAATGTGTTAAGTAGGTTTATTATATTTATTGAGATAGTAATTGCTAATAAAATTGAACCGACGCGTTTTTATTGCAGTTTTTCTAAGTATCCAGCCTTGGTGTTAAAAGTAAGGACGGGTGTTGAGACCCTGAAGCAGATCGAAGAGAGAAGGACATAGAAACATTATAGATTTAAATAATTATTTTAAAAATCCCAGGAAATGTTCTTGTGTCCTAGAAATTTTTTATTCAAACTTGTATTGTAATAAAAAATCTTTTAGGCCACTAATTTCTTGTGGTTTACTTTTTTTTTAAACTAATTTTTATACGTGAGTTTTGAAAATCTAATTAACACTAATAGCTGGTTTTATTCCGTTTATCTTAATTTTTCGAGCAGAAAGTAATGGATGTATTCTGAGAGTCATTTCCTAGAAAATAGTACATTCATTATATTATATTATCTGTAATTTATCTATTTTTTTTTTTAACCGAGTGAGAGTGACATGAATAATTAATGTTGGTTGATTCAATTGGAAAAACCCACGAATTTACTTTTATAGTCTTAAAAAAATATTTATCAAGCATTTTAGGGCTAAATTTAAAATTTACAACACATAAATAAAAGTAGATTTTTTTATATATTTACAAATAAATTTTATATCTCTTATACAAATCGGAATTTTAAAAATACAAGGTTGCGTCAAAGTACCCTCGATATTAAAAACACTTTTAATGTCTACAGTTGTAACTTATAAGATTTAATTAGCTCATAACAACAATAAAAATTAATTAAATGCAAATTTCATTGACTCACACCGAGAATTCATACCGCAAAAATTCCGACTTTTTTTTTTTTCAATTAAAAATACGCTAAATTATAATTTTTACAATCATTTATGTAACATGTTTTAACCGTAAATTACAAAAATAAAGAGAAAAAAAAAACAGTAGGGTGAAATTAAAAAAGTCTTTGTTGATTCATGTATTTTATTTTTTTATTAATAATAATCTTATCAAGTTATCACGCATTCTCATTACACATTATTTATTTACATTTACAATACCTAATTAAATATTTTCACGACTCAATTTTATGTTATGATTATTTTTATTATTATTATTATTATTAATAATATTATTATTGTTAAAATTATTATATACAGAATCCGTTATTGTTTTGGATTATTTCGATAATTTAATACACTAACAAGTAGCTTTATAACATTAATCGTAGTCAATTATTCATAATCAATTATTAATTCACAAATAATAGTCAATAATTAATAACCAATTATCAATATACAGCATATATATATATATATTTCATATTTAATATCCGTATTTATATATTTATGTTGGGTAATAATTTAAATATCGAAGTCACTCTACAAGACTGTCGATAGAAATACAAATAAAAGTAACTATTGTTTATAATTTATTAATAATAGTTTTGTATAATAAACTAACGGGTATCAGCGTATAAAAATAATAGTCTCCTGTTGCAGTGCGTTAAGGACATCTACTCAATAAAAAATAATTACAATCATATCATTTTATATATTTTTATTTTTATATCTTGTCCTTTAGCTGCACGAATTGTAATAATTATAATTATAGTTATAGTTACAGTAGTATCTGAGCATATTGTTTATTTATTTGCTTTGAATAATCTTTGAGTTATATTTTTCTTTGTAATATATTTTTAAAATCAGTCACAAGAATCTACCAATTGAATTTACATGCAACACGATGTAAAAAATCTAATGCGAGATTTTTTTTTTTTTTTTTTCAGTGTTGAAAAATCAGGCAGTAAAATAATAATAGATATGATAGAAATATAATTAAATAAAGTTATAAGTATGTCCTGTCAGTCCTATTTAAATTATTAATTAATATATTAATCACAATTTAGTGACTTTGCGTACAAGTGTCATCAAATGAGCATGACAGAAATGTTTTTAAAATTTTTTTATGATTTTACAACTTTGATTAATATTAAGTCAAGCCATTTGTACGCATTATCTTTACTTTATACATATTTATTATTTGTCTAAATCACAGTTTTAGTTATATCTGTGATAGCATTCATTTTAATCGGTTTTTGTATTTTTTTGTTTATATTCAAGCAAACTTTAAAATTTCATTTATTTTGATACTGATTTACTCCAATTTGATATGTTGATATTTTAAAATGGTCACACTAATGTATAAACTCTTCAAAAATATAAATAAAAATATTGAAAATATAGTCGTGGATGATTATAAAAATTTTTTTTTGTATTAATTAAAATTTAACTGATTTAAGAGAATAGTCTAGAAAATTATTAAAAAATTCTTTTCTGAGCTATACGATAGTGTGGCCATAATTAATTTTTGACTTTATAAAATAGTAAAAAAATCTATGTAACATAATGACAAATAGAATTAAATAAAAAAAAAAATTAATGAAAAAACATAAATCACAAATACTTAAAGGAATGCAATATTTAAATAACAATAAAATAAAATTCATATAAATAAAATTGGAATGAATTTTTCCAAACTGGCTGATGTCCAATCTGATTTGTTAATATTTACTTATAATGAATTACTAATTACTAATTACACTTATACTACTATGAAACAATCACAAATATTTATTACTATCAACTTATCAATAAAATAAATTTTCTACATATTTACATATTTAATAATTCTATAAGCATAACAAGTAGATGGACACAGCCAGTTTATAAAAAAAAGTTTTACAATAAAATAGTACAAAAATTGTTTTTTAAACAAAAATGCATGATTGAGACTCTAAGTGATACACTTAATAAAATAATTTGTCGTAGCGACGATTGTTCAAAGAATTCAAAGTTTGCCAAGCAAACTGATTCTTGATTAATAACTTATTATTATTTTTCTCGAGGTACTAATTTATTAACATAGTGTTTTATCAGTAACATAAAACAAAATTATTTCAACTAAAAAATAATACAGTTAATTACAGTAGTATTATGGAAGTTTTTTTTTTTTAAATATTTACCATTATCTCTGTACCTCAAATCAATGAGTTTAATAAAATAAATTTATAAATTTGCGATGTTTGATTTTTTATTTTATTACAAATTCACCCCCTAAATATTTTCGTCGACTTAAATGAATAATATCTTTTAGAGCCAAAAATAATTATACTTAACAAGTACTTTTTTTAATTACGGAAGATCGTTAGGTAAATCAGTTGTTTACGTAAAAAAATTAATAGTATTTATAAAAGTTTCCATAAATTTCAATTTTAATTCCTTGATAATTAATTAGATTTAATTATTAAAAAAATCTACATGATTGTAAAAATCGTTAGATTAATATTAGTCAATAAATAATTTAGTTAAATAAATAAATAACATAACTAACTCTTGAGTGCTGAGTCAGGAAGAACGTAATTGTAATGAAACAAAATGAATTTTTTATACAATTTTTTTTTCGGAATAATTAATTGAATATAACAAACTCTGATTATTTATCCATAAATAAAAAAAAAAATAAAAATAGCTGAATGAATAAAAAATAAAATTTTTTTATGCAAAAAATTATTTGATATATTTTTCATCAATATTTTAATTTGACAATTTAAAAAGATTCAATAAACTGTAATGTCAAAGTTGAGCGAACGAATGTTTAATCCACGTTTGAATATTCATGATATTTTTATAGTTCAAATTACCAAGGGTCAACCACGAATAATTTTTCGATTCAATACACCTGATTAAAATTAAATTCAATTTAAAAAAAAAAATTGGATTTTTTTATTTAAAAATTAAAATATTGGTCTTTTAAATAAGAAATTTTTTCCATCATAAAAAAAAATATCCAATAATTTTAATGATAAATATTCAGAATAATTTTACAATTACAATCCAAAAAATTCCTAGTAGCACTCAAGAGGTGAATAAAAAAACTAATCTTCACTAGAAATAGGATTATCATCCAATGAATCGCACTCGGCGAGCGCTTCGCCACTGCGGGGTGGAAATTCATCAGTCATAAGACTTTCTGGCGCCATACCACCAGTCCCAGTCGACGAATTGATACTATCAAAGTACTGCTGATGGTTTATGTGCTGATGCTGCTGATTACTCTGCCAGGGGACGGTTGATTTGAATCTTCGCGTCGGTGAGCCAATCATAAACTCTATTTTCGTTGATCCAGTTATCGATGTCGCTGTATTGCTGTAGTCATTATCTTCTGGATTCAGTGAATCTGGGCACAGCGAGGAGTCACTGAGTCGAAACCCGCTGCTCGACGAGCACCAAGATGACGGTGGGTCCGTCAGAGCCTGTAATTTACAAAAATATTTAATTTTCAATTCATAAATCACTAAAATATTTATATTGTTAGTTTTTAATTAAATTTATTAGTATTTATCAATTAATTTATTTTTTTTACTAAAATAAAACTATCAAGTGCATTTTTGAATGCTTTCTTAAAAATTTTCACTGGCTAATTTTTAAGTTTTTATATTGTAAATTATTTTATTTAATTATTAATTGCCAGGCGTACTGACAACAGAATTATTATTACCGCAGGCCAAGCAGGTAAGCGTGTCGTTTCGATGATTTTATTGTTAGTTGATTATATTATTATGGTTTTAAAATAAATGAAATTGTTAATGAGTAATGTAATTAAATTATTAATGAGTGAGTTATGTTCTATTAGTGCGATTACTTTCTCCTAGGGCAGTATATTTTTTTATTAGCCATTAGGGACAGCAGAAAATAAAACAAACTTCAGCAAATTAAAATAGCGAATTAAATATAATTTTTAATTAATCTAATTAGCATGCATATTCGTATAATAAATAAATGAAATATAAATTCATGCATTTTTTTAAATATACAATTTAATAAAATAATAAATCAATTTTTTTATTTGAGATAATATTGTAGAGAGTTATTTATAAATTAAAATTTAAATGAAAAATCTCATTAGTAAAATTTTTAATCGAACAAATTATAATTATTAAAAAATTAAATAAAATTTTTTCTAAAAAAAAAAAAATATTTTAATCTCGGTTAGAAATATTTTTTTAATTAAATAAATTTTACTAAAATACAATGCTGTCATGTGCATATAACTCTAAACTCTTTAATATAATAACTCTAGAATGTCAGCTGCTTCATATTAACCCATCCCGACATTATTTCCGACCATTTGTTACAAAAACTATTGTAACTTATTAAACAATACAAATAATTACAATAGTATATTTTTTTAATTTTTATAATAATATTTATTTAAACTTGAATTAAAATTTTGTTTCTTAAAAACTTTTAAAGTAAATTAAATATAAATAATTTACTACCAAGAAACTTTTAAACTCTTTTGTGAAATATCGAATTTTTAATGTGATAAGAGCTGCTATTATACACGACAAAAAAACTTTTCAGAAAGCAATTTTTTCAAGGGACTAGTAATCGAGTAGTTAACCATCTGCTCGCAATTTTTTTCCCCCTTTTAGATGTTACATGTGATAATTTTACAAATGAGATTTTCCCTCCACCATTAACCATAACTGATTGTCTCAAATAAATTTTTAAAACACTAAATAATTTATTTTCCAATAAATTTAAATAAAAATCCAGTAGCATAACTTATTTATAAATAAATTTAAATCACATAAATACCTTAAAAATAATTTTCTAATAAATACTCGTGCACATGCCCATATAAATGAATAAAAAACTAAAGAAAGGAAAGGAAAAATGTAAAACTACGTTAAAAATAAAAATAATGCTCCAAATAAAGGGCACAGGCGGGTATGGCTCACCAAAATAAAAACAATCCAATCCATTCCAATTGAATAAAAAAAGAAGCGATTGAAGCAAATGATAATAAAAGAAGCATAACTTACGAGAGACTGTCGTACGCGAGTTAGGGCCAATTGCGTATTTGGACAGCCGATGGGGCTCGAATGCACGCTCGCCTGCGCTTCTTTCACACTTTGTTCGTAGCAGTTGTACCCGTCGCCGTTCAGTCGTCTTAATACTCTATTTTATTTATTCATTAACGTACATCTAATCGTTTACGTTACTCGTTACGTGTCCTTGTTAATTACATCTCTAAGTGCCCACTTGCTTAATAAACACTAAACAGTACCGAACAGTGTCAGTTAAAAACAAATTTTTTTTTTAATCACAAATCATATTTATATTTTAGCTGCGCGTTAGCAAAGAAGTGTACCGTGTTTAGTATTGTATTAATTTCCTGATTACCCAATAATTATTAATCATTAACCCTTCGTCCGTCGCGCTTCTATTTAAATAATTATTTTTTTTTAAATTACTCTCTAAGATAATTTTCTTGAATTAAAAAATAAACTTTTTAAGTTTAAGGGGGTATTCTAGTCTAGAAGCATGAATTTTAGGTAATTTTTTGAAGTGCCGTAAAAAAAAAGACAATCAATATTTTTACTATACATTTTTTTATAAGTTATTTATTAACATTACAAGAATACAGAAAAAAATAAACAAATAAAAAAAGTTAAAAATTAAAAAAAATTAGCAGCTGATGAAGTGGGGGGGCGGTCTCAAAAAATAAAAAAGATGACCCCAAATTTCAATTTTTACTATTTTTAAAAAATTCGAAAAAGTTAAAAAAAGTAGTACAAAAAAAAATTTTTTTTTTTTTTCAAACAGTCGCCATTTTTTGAAAAAATTTTTTTTCATTTTTTCCCTAGTTCATGTCATAGCGACATTACTCTAGATTAATAATCTTTTTTATTTTTTTATTTCCGATTGCTAGGAGGGTTGGAATCGTGGGCATGGTCACGTGCCAATTTTTTGAGACTCACCCACTTCATCAGCTGCTAATTTTTTGAATTTTCAACTTTTTTTCTGTATTCTTGTAATGTTGACAAATAACATAAAAAAATGGATAGTAAAAATATTGATTGCCTTTTTTTTACGGCACTTCAAAAAATTACCTGAAATTCATGCTTCTACACTAGAATACCCCCTTAATAGATTTTAACATAACTAGATAATAAACTCTACTATAAAATTTTCTCCGTGTAGTTACAGATAACAATAGCCTAATTATTGATTGTTTGGATGAATTAAAGTAAAAAATTATACATGTAAAATTTTAGATTGATTTTTAGATAAAAGAAGAAATCATTATTTTAATTTACTATTTCTTCACATAAAAAAGAGGAATTTCCAAAGGGGGGCGGTCTCAAAAAATAAAAAAGATGACCCCAAATTTCAATTTTTACTATTTTTAAAAAATTCGAAAAAGTTAAAAAAAGTAGTACAAAAAAAAATTTTTTTTTTTTTCAAACAGTCGCCATTTTTTGAAAAAATTTTTTTTCATTTTTTCCCTAGTTCATGTCATAGCGACATTACTCTAGATTAATAATCTTTTTTATTTTTTTATTTCCGATTGCTAGGAGGGTTAGAATCGTGGGCATGGTCACGTGCCAATTTTTTGAGACTCACCCACTTCATCAGCTGCTAATTTTTTGAATTTTCAACTTTTTTTCTGTATTCTTGTAATGTTGACAAATAACATAAAAAAATGGATAGTAAAAATATTGATTGCCTTTTTTTTACGTCGCTTCAAAAAATTACCTAAAATTTATGCTTCTAGACTAGAATACCCCCTTAAGAAAAAATAAAAAAAAAAATTTCACTAGAATTTTCCTCTAAATGTTAAAAAAATTTTAAATAATAAATTTAGAAATTATTACTAAATACGGACGAAGGGTTAAATAGTTTTATTGTAAAAGAGTCGAGAGTTTTAATTACAGATGTCAAAGTCTAGTAAAAGTAGTAAAGAGTTTTTGAATAATAATATTGATTAGTTGTAAGTAAATGAATTATAAATCGAATTTAGTAAGTCAGGCCTATCCCTAACGCTGCTGTACGGCAGTCAGACAAGCTGCGTACTTAGGCCCAGTGTAAATTCATTTTTATTGTTCTAGTATTAAAGTGTAGATCTACTTCATCCAGCTGGTCCAAAAGGCGAGCTTTGGTGGTCGTACCTTTCCGGTTGTGTCTGTGTCAATAGAGACGCGTACTAAACTGTGGGAACGACGGGCCGGAGCCAGTGGCCTTCTTAAAGATGAACTTGTGCTAGATGTCGATGTCGAGGACTGTTGGTGATTACCATTAATATTATGATTGCTATTAATATTATTATTATTGTTGTTGTTGGCTGCAGCTGAATTCATCAGATTGGTGTGAGCTGACTCGAGCGAGTCCCGGGCGCGTGACAAAGATGATCTGCTGAGAGAATCACGAGCTGTTGCTGAATTATTGCTCCTCGGCAAAGAAGATCTCGATAAAGATTCCCGGCTGTTAGATTCTCTTGGATTTTTTGGTAGACTTTTGTTCAGTGACTCGCGACTTGAGTCCCGTGTCTTTGCTGAGAGCGACTTGGAGGCGTTGGGATTCTGCCCGCTGGTGAAGCTGTCACGACTAGAGTCCCTCGGGGGTTTCGCGGTCAAGGACTTCAGCGAGCTCTTCAGAGACTCCCGGCTCTCACTCTTGCCGTTGGTGAGGGCCGAGTAGGAGGCTCTGGAAGGCGCCGATGAGGAGAGTGTCGACAAGGTGGCTGACTTTGTCGAGGAGTCCGGCAAGGGAATGCGACTAGGAGGCCGTCTCCGGGGTGAGGGTTTTACTGCTTCGTGCAAAGTCGTTCCAGCTTGGCTCAAACTGACTGTTGCTGGCTGATGGTGGTCTCGCGCTGACTCGGTGCTGCTTCCAGCTTCTAGGCAGCAGGGCTCGCGGGTCTCTACTTCGGACTCTGGATCACCATCGACCGGTTGCAGCTGCTGGTGTTGCTTCTCCAGCACGCGCACCAACGCTCTGGTTCCTTCCAACTCGATATTTTGTCTGTCAAGCTGAAACATTTTTTATTTTTTTTATAAGAAAATATTATTTTATAAATTATTGTTGAAGAAATAAAAATTAGACCGTACCTGAAATCTCAAGTCGTCATTTTCTTCTCTCGCTTTATCTAAACGTTCGGACAGAGTTTCTGTGCTCTTTTGCACCTCATCTAATCTTTTTTGCAGGCACTGAAAAAAAAATAATTAAATTGTTAATTATCTATTGCATTTTTAATTTATTTTTTTACAGTTGAAATTATTGATGGTGAATTATTAAATAGAAGTCAGAGAATTTTATTGAAAGTTTTAAATGGTCTTAAATTCTCTGATTATTATTTTACTATTCATCATCAAGAGTCTTATTAAAGTGAATTTTTTTTTTTCAGTCTTAATATTGTAATCTATATTATTAAGAGAATAAGAAAAAGTTTGTGTCCAGGATAGTCATATGATAAAATCGGTTTTTTTTTTAGTGAAATTTAGTGTCATTGCAAAGGTCTTGATTTGAATTTGTGCCTTTTTAAGGTTTTATATTATTATTATATAAGTATTTAGACTGCATTCGAAAATGTTTTATCTCTAGATACATAATTAAGAATTGACCTTGTATCTTGTGAACTATTGAGATTTTTAAAGATATAAGCTCACCCTGACATTACACTCATCGAGACCTTTCATTTGAGTACCCACATGGCATTTTTTACATATTTTATATATATATATGGTATTTGTGAAATATATTAAATATATAAAATATACGAAAAGTTGATGTGGGTACTCAAATGAAAGGTCTCGATGAGTGTAATGTCAGAGCGAGCTTATATCTTTAAAAATGTCAATAGTTCACAAGATATTTGTTAAAATGTCCTGTATTTTCTTGAATATTGCGGTTTTTAAAGATATAAGCTCATCGTGATGTTACATTCATCAAGAGCTTTCACTTGAGTACCCACATGCATTTTGATATATTTTTCATATATACATATATATATATAATATATATAAATATATGAAAAATTGATGTGGGTACTCAAATGAAAGCTCTTGATGAGTGTAACATCGGGATGAGCTTATATCTTTAAAAACGTCAATATTTAAGATATTACGCTGCAATTTAACGAAAGTCATTATTTAATAAAGCAAAATTTTATTAATTAAAACAAAAAATATTAAACCAAATAGCCACCTGATTATGGACGGTAGAAGTAATAAGATGTCGTTGAAGCTCAAGCGGAGAGTGCTCCCTCAAAATAGCAGCAATCTTATGCCGATCGACTCCAGGCACATGAGCGACCCTCGTCGGAGACACAAGAATAGAGTCCAACGCTCCAAGCCTGACGCGTCTTTCCTGGACCGCCGCATCAGGATCAAACTCCTCGGTGGTAATCGGAACATTAGCGAGGACATTCTTTTCAATGGTCCTGGTGCGAAACCTGCTTTTATGCGCAGTCGACTTACTGGACCTGGTGATGGTGGTGGTGTTCACGGGGGACTTTTTGCTCGGAGACTCTGGGGACTTTAGCGTCAGAAATTCGCACTCGGGTCTCTCTGTGAGGCCCCTCAGCCGGTCCTCGAGGTCGGTCTTTATGGCGGAGAGTTCAGCAACTTCTGATTGTAATTGCTGGGTGCGGGTCCTACTAGATATTGCTTCAGCTTCCAGCGCTGCTACCTTGTCCAGCAGCTGCTCTCTTTCATGGGTTAATCTTTCGACTACTTGAGCTTGAGCTTTTTTATTATTATCATTATCATTAAAATTATTATTACAATTAATATTACTAATATTATCAGTTTTATCGTGAGTTGCTTCATCAGTGGTGCTGATAGTCGTCGAAGAGGACGAAGTAACTCTTTTCACAGCCTCCAAAACATCCCCAGCAATAAGATCGTCTGGAGCTGGAGAACTTTCTAGCCTACCTTGGAGCGACTCAACTTCCTCCCGTAACCTGATGCCCTTGCGGTGGATCACGTCCAGGAGGTTCCAGAGCTCATCTTCGGCCTCGTCGAGGACGGGCTTGGAGGTGTTGGTGACGCTGGTGGTGTTGGTGCTCGGAGAGGCCGGCCTGATCAGGGGGATCGCCGTCGAGGCGCTGTCCTTGGAGGAGGTCTCGGTGCTGAAGCCCGAGTCCTGGACGGTGGCACTGTTCTTGCTGCCCCCGCTGTGGGAGTTGCTGCGGCTCCTCGGCAACGAAGTAGGGGTCTCGGACTCCCGGGGGGCCGCGGCTATCCTCCGTCTGACCTTCCCCGGCTCCCACTCGGCCGTTCGTCGGGCGGTGCTCGACAGGGGCAGAGTGTGCGAGGAGTTCCCCGAGTTCGGCGAGGAGATCACCGATGCCGTCGCGGAGGCCGCCATCTTGTGCCGGAGGTCTGGGAACGTCTCGATGACGAGGTCCCGGAACTCAAGAAGGGCACCGACCTCATGCTGCAGCTCCCGGAGGGCCAGTCGGGACTTGGCCTGCTCGCTTAATAGGTAGTCAAAATGCTCTGGCCGCAGGGGCATGCAGTCCATGCCACTTTGGTCCCGACTCACTACTAAGTCGCCGTTACTGCTTCCGCACTGCTGTAACATTCAAAATTGTTTTTTTTTAATTACATTAATTAATTTTCATTCGTTTTGTTTTAGATTATGGTAGTTTTAATTTATATTTATAAGAAATAAAAATTAATTTGACTGAAGAAGAAAATAAAAGACAAAGTAGACTATTTTGTTAAACTGAATGAAAAAAATTGTAAATAGTATGTAAAAATTTTATACTGTAAATTTTAAATAGCTATAAGCTAACTAAATAAACATTATTATTATTATTATAAAATTGTTGAAAAAAAAAAAAATCATTTTGAAAAGTTTTATTGACTTCAATCAAGACGAAAAATTCTATAAGAGTTTATATTTTTTTTTAATCAAGTGGTTTTTTTTTAGAGCAGCATTATTTTTTTTTTTTTAAGGAGAAATATATCAAAATTTTAATAAAGTATTGGTTTATAATTATCAGCACAAGTCTGGATATTATTTTGAAGAATCATTCAACTATTTCGGTTCATTAAGTTCAAAGGAAACCGAAAAATTCTCCGGTAAAATTTTTACTTCTCGTAGTTAGGGGAAAAATAATTAAAAATAATTAATATTCAGTAGATTAATTAATAACAATTTTCTTTTTACCATAAAAAATAGATTGTAGTTGATTTATTTATTTTTAAATGAAAAATTTATGTAAAATTATGAATCGAATATATATTTATTTATTGAAGTAGTGCTAAAAAAGTGTTGACATTTGAAAAAAATTGATCGAGTATTTTTATCTCTCCAAGTTTCAGTAAAAAAAAAAAAAAAAAAAGTGTCATTTTATAAAAGAGCATGAAGTTTTAAAGTCCACATATCTCTCGCGACACAATAGAGCCGTCAGTTAAATTCAAGCTATTGTAAGATTTTCAGTGAACAGTAGAAAATAAATTTTTATAGGGATTTTTGTGGTATATCTGTAACAAAAGTGATCTTTTTATATGTTTCTTTCGAAATCTAGAAAATTTATCGATCGGCATAAAAATATTTCTCGATCACAATGAATACAAAAATTTTACTAATAAATATAAAAATCAGCTTTTAAAAATTTCTTTTAATAAAAATATGCTACTATAAATCTTTGAATAAATTGTGAAATTTTAAACAAGCGTTCAACATCTCTCATATTTCCAAGCTAAGTCTGTTATCTAATTTTTCACAACTTGTACTTTGCTAGAAGAGCAAGTTACTGAACTCGAAGGATCAAAGTATTTACAATCTTTTTACTTGTTTCATTTTTCCCACGCTGACTTTATTATCCTATCCTTTCGTATCCCTAAAATATTTATCTTTCGAACTATATAACTTGAAAAACTTTTACTTTTCAAGAAACAGAAACTTTAGAACGATATTCAATAATTAATCAACTAAAAGCTTCTATTCTGACTTTTATTTCTAAAGCTTAAATAATACATTTAATAATTGAAAATAAATTACAGTAACACCGAGTTAAATGGTGAAGATAACTCCATAAAAAGCGAACCGGAGTAAAAAAGTGTAAATAGTGGAGTGAAATCGTCAACTTTCTTACTATATGTTACAATTTTTATGATTTATTACATCTCCGTTTATGTCACGATAAAACATAGATATTTATGTAAGTACAGAATAATGCACACTCACACACAAGCCGTGACTAAATACTTAAAGATCAAACAACCGTGTATACATGATTTGTAATCTTTGATGAGTTATGTAGGCAGAAATAGTTAACTAGCGTAAGTATTCTCAAGAAAAAGCCTCTCGGTAAAATAGTAAAGGTATTTCATAAGTTTTACTAAACTCTTATCCTCCTAAGATTACTCACAGTGACGAGACTTTTTTATAATTGTTATTATTATTATTATTATTTTTACTAATCTATCAACTTTTTACAGCTGCGATTACCTCTTACATAATTCGTTATACACATGAAAGTTTAAATTATGTGCCCACCACTTATTGTGTTAAGTAACTATTTTTTCACCTCTTCCGTAAAACTAGTCATCAATAAATAAAATGATATCCTTTGTTAATAGGCTTTGATAAATTGGTTCTTTCTTTTTTATTGACATAATTAATTATTTAATCATTTAGCCATAGTCTTAAGTCAAGTGCTTGAGAATAAAAAGCTTGGCAGTTGGGATGGTAAGCATGTTTCGCAAAACGAACTATTTTTGTCCTCTTGTGTGAGCAATTTATTTCAATAAAATTTCCCTGAAAATCCCGTGGATTGATAGTTTCTAACTTTAAACACTAGTTGGTGTAAAAATGATGAAGGTAATTAGCTCATCTTTGAACTTTTCTGAAGACTCGCAGGAAAAATGAGTGCACCGAGTTTTATAAAGATCTGTTGAGAATTTTAGGCTCTATTCTGATGATTATTTTACTTGCCCGCTATTTCTAGACTCATTTATTCATTTTTTCCATCTTCGAGCTAGGCCAAAGTAGTTATCCAAAAAATGCCACTTAAAAATTTCATAGAGTTCGTATGAGAATTTTCAGTGCTGCCTTGCAACATTGCTACCACAGTAATAGTTATTATAGTTATAAAAAATGAGTCTACTAAGATAACCAGTAGTAGAAAAGATGACACATCAAACTGAAAGCAATAATACTGATACACTGACAGTTAACTGGCGTAGCGAGAGGATGTGGGCCAGACATTGACTCTATTCACTCTATATAACATAATATATTATACCGAACTGTTGTAACACACATATAAAATATAACGTATAATAGATCTATGTACGCATATCTATCTGTCTTCTATGTAATGATAATAAATAACAATAATAACTAAATACATAGGAGCGTATATTTATAAATATAAGGACTGTAACTGTTGCTGAGCAATATATAGATGTGTAACATTATAGTTCTCATAATCTTTCATGATGTTTACTACCACTACTTATTTATATTTATTAATATACTAGTGCGCTATCCACTAAATTATGATAGTTAAGTCTAGTAGTTTCCCATTGGTATTTCTTGATGAGTATTACGTACATACGTACATTGATGTACTGTAACTTTTTAAGAGCTAATACTAGTCCACTGCCAATAAATTTCTGTACAAGTTAACTCGTTTTAATTATCAGGAAAGTACAGAGAAGTAAAGAGAAAATGAGGCTTTTATGCCATATATATATATTTTTACTAAATAATTAAATCCATTTAATAATTGCATTATTTTTATAGAAATATCTGGAGCAGAATGAGACATTTTTTTTTTAAACTTTTACAGAAAATAACTTAATTGTGCAAAAAAAAATGCTTGACATTTTTTAAAAAAAATTTTTTTATTGTAAAAACTTTAAATTATTATAATAATTCTAGGTGAAATTTTTGTAAGAAAAAATTATGAAATGTCTGAGGGCAATTTTTATATTATATTTAACTGAATTAACTTTTTTTTATGCTTATAAAAATAACTGACTATAAAATTATTACCCGGGATGTGGAAGTAACTTTTAAAAAATTATTATTACATTGTAGTAGCAGTTTATGAAAGATGTTTAATGTTATAAAAAATTATTGCACGTGAATAAAGAAAGTTAATACATATTTTTTTTTTTTTTTTTTTTTCAGTCATTAGTTACTGTTAGAAAGAAGTGTAATTTTAATTTATGATGGATATGGATTATCAATTTTAATTAATAGATAATAAAAAATAGCATGTATTTTGAACAAAATTGCAAAATTTATTAAAAATAATCATTATTATTATTATTATTATTTGTTTATTTATGTTACTCGGTACTCGGATGGTGTTGCGAAAATAATATACGGAGATAATGAAGCGTACGTGAGGTAGTCTTGCATGACAAAGAGCACGCAATATATCAATTCTGGCCAGAGACCTTGGAAACATATTTTTATGAATGCGACTAGAAGCAAAGGTGGTAATTCTATTAAATTTCTTAGTGTACCTGTGTTTAACAATAAAGGGATACATGAGCACTTTGTTTGCTTTTTTGGTTTTGAAGAAAGGTCTGAATAATTGTTTGGTTTTTGTTGCTAATGACCAGGGACTTTTAAATAAATAAAACATTCACTGGTAGTGTGTAATATAGTATAATGTAACACAACATAATGGTAAATTAGCAAGACGAGCTGAATAGAGGGAACTCGAAACGACGCATAGCGCTAAATTACCGCGTCAAATCGAAAAGAAAGTCGGACGTTAAAGTAATGGATGAAATAAAATACGGGTGTAAAGTCATTTGTAATATTGTTTTCTCGGATATTGTTATTGTTTTTTAATGACAGTTTAGTCTATCTGGCATAACGCTGAGCTGGTGAGTTGTGGAAAGATAATCACTCAAGTGATAGTGGTGAACTAGATACCTCGATAAATATAATAATCAGTGTAGTACAGGATTACTTGGTATTTTTCTTATCCTTTTTTTAGAGATAAGACGTGCTTTTAATTATTTTTATTATTTGACTTTTGCTCATTTTGAGTCAGCTGTTCTTTCATTTAATATTTACTAGCAACCTGCAGCTACTATGTGGTTGTTAAGAATTATAATTGTTAATAAAAAAATTTTTCCTCATTCTTTTAATTATATAGATTAATTAAACTTATAATTTTATTCAAATCTGATAAAAATTAATTTAGTTCAATATTTGATAAGTTAAATAATCAATAGATTTGAATATTGTATAATTAATCATTCTGTAAACCAATGAATTAGTAACATATAAGGATATAGATGCAGCTATTACATGTATAAAATCCTGGTGAATGACTGTTGGTTTATAAATGTCAGTCTAAGATAAAATTATTATTCAAAATGTCAAAATAAAAGTAAATTTATTAAACATGAATACTGAAAGATATTCACTACGTGAATCTGTGAATGAAACTGTAATTATAAAAACACATGTAAATTATATAATACATATATATTTGTATTTATATTAAATAATCGACTACATTAATCACAAGTTATTTGGTACACATTAGTCATTAAATAGTCATTGTCAGCCTACACATTTAAACAACAAATTATAATGTT